CACAGGTTGGATACAGTGGCACATATCGAATTCACAAGCTCTCCGGCAAACCGCAAAACAGCAAACTAGACGCTATACTGATCCCACCCGCGCCCTTGTGTAGTGCGTCTGTTTGTGCAGTTGGCAATGGATAAAATTGAATGGATAACTCATGCATGACAATGCATTATAAATTATAATGCATAATAACTATAACTATACTAATAACGCATGGTAATGCAACATATGGGTGCTGGCATGCACTATTGAGCACCATCTAGTGTGACAGAACAGAGATGACGAACTGGCGCTCTCACGATAGCAGAGGTCAGCCACTGCATCGTTCTAACTCGAAGCCACACTTTCCAGCTGCATGGCGTGGCTTGGGCCGCCTATCCAATCCACCGGCCGCTGCAGAAGATCTTCAACCTGACCAGCAAAAGATCTTCGGTCAGGCTCCAAAGTTTGCCAAAGAACTCACAAAACTTTTCCCAGTTCTGGGGTCCATACCTCTGGCACCATGAGCGGGCAAATCTCATTCTCCACCTCCGACCAGGCCAACATGAGGAGAATCAAAAGGATCCATTCAATGACAATGGCAATCCCTCCAATGACTCCTGTTGGTACAACTTGCTCCCGGCAAATCGTTGCAAAAAGCCTTTGAATCTGAATTTTGTATGAACATGTGGCGGGACAAACTCCATCCATGATTCCACTGCACTCATGATAAGCGGACCCCCAGGAATGACCAAAAGTCACATAATCGTCTGCCTGGTCCGAAGGTAGCGTCCAAAGCAGGCCGCCCTCTGCCCGCAACTGGCGTGCCAGCGCTGCACTTGAAATCAAAGTAGCGGCAGAATGCATCAGAATCCTAGAATGGGGTGGGACATGTTGAGACGAGTTGAGACCGAACCTTCTTTCTTGGAGAACCTACCTGACTGTACCCACGTCTTGCCGTCAGCAACCAGCTGCAGGCGGACCCGGCTGAAGCCCTCTTGGGGAAAGGCCTTGTCTGCTCGTTCCTTCCATTCAGGACAGTTCTCCTGCAAATACTCCTGAGCGGAAACAGCGCAAGATCCCAAGTCCAAAGTGCTTGGAAGGTCTTGGAGAGAACATGAGACACAATTGCATTCAACATTATTGAATGCTCCCGAGCTAGACCGACCGAGATGAACACCAAACTGCACAGTAGCTAGTGGGGCAAGTTGTGACTCTATGGATCCCCAACAAGCAATCCAAAGTGTGCTGTGTCTGCTAATGTGCATTTTTACAGAATGGCCGCTATCTGTCATCCCGAGGTCCCTGGAAAGAGTCAACATAGGAAAGAGTCAATAATATAACCTTTCAGATTACAAGTTCCCAAGTGCACTGCTCCCAACAAAGCTGAACTCGCTTACATCGCTCTTCAACTTTGTCTGAATCTCGTGCTTGTCACCAAGAAGACGAAGGTTTCTCTCCAAGCCCCAACACTGACAAGAGCATTGCGGATCACTTTCTCTCTGGAGACTCGGGGAAAAGCTGGGTACTGAACTTGGCTCACGGCCCTGAGGAATGAAATTCCATAGGTCAGACCCCATCCCAAGGTCCCAAGCCAACTTCGCAGCTTTGTGGCGCTGAATTTGATCACGCGCCAACTGATGGCGCAAGTGTACCTCAACAGCGTCTCCCATGACATTCGCCCAGTCGGACAAAATCGGCACGCCAGTAAGCCAGCCATAACATCTTGAAATTCCTCCTGAACTCTTGCAGGTACAGTTTGCACCTGTCAACTGTTGGACTGTTGGACAGCTCTGGGACAAGCTGGAAGGAGTGATGGATGCAGGCTCTGCAAGGTGATCTGCCAAACGTTCTGTAACATTGCAATCAGCCGCCACGGAGGTCAAAACTTCCTCTGGAAGCAGGACAGCAAAAGCCGGGATACTGAATCCTGCGCACGACACCGCGGAAAAAGGTGCACTCCAAGCACTCCAACTTAATCAGCTTCCAATCAGCTTCCAATCAGCTTCCATGCTCCATGAGCCTCGAACTTGCTTCGATCATCTTTGTTCCATCACTATGCAACTGAGCTAGGCGGCAAACTCCTTCTCCCCCTTGCAGCACACCAGCAATTACTAATAATTATATATCAGGATATATGCATATATGTGTGTGTGTGAATGTATGGCTTGTGCAACATCGTGATCGCACAAAGAGCACCGGGGCTTGGAGACCAACCACTTTTCACACACTGGTGAAAATGATGCACAACTGAGCTACGTCCGCTTCCACGTCATGGCAAATCAAGCAGGGGCGCAGCCATCAAGGCTAGTCGGCTAGTCACTGCTAGTCGGGCTGGCTCGAGGATCCCATCCGCTTGTGCCTTTCTGTACATGACGTGAAGAGAACCCGTTGTGTATTCAGCTCCGTATTGAGCATGTCCTCAGCGCTTGCTTTGTCAAACACCTCCGGCATCTTGGACCATCTTTTTGGGTTCTGTGATGCCGTTGAAGCATCTTGAGCCAAGATATGGCAAGGCCCGCGGCATGCCGACTTGCGCTGGTGACTAAGTGAAGGATTCGCCACAAAGTTTATGCGTGGCGTGTGCTGTCAAATAACAAGAGTTAACAAGTTAACAAGTCTGATCTGTCCAGAAACTGTCTCTCCAGCTCCTTGCCAATCTCGAAGGGTCGGATTGCCTTCTGGCTTGTGCAATGGCTGAGCAAGACCTGCAGAGGTCACCCGCGAATTCATGAGCTTTGTTGCAGTTTGCCTTATCAAAAAAACGGATCCAGAAACTCCGCGCTTTTGCAGTTTCTACCAGATTCATCACTTGGCGCTTGGTGATTGCATGATCAGCTGGAATATGGTGGAATCTTCATCTCTAAGGTGCCAGCAAAACCGTAAGGCAAAATGAAAATGTCAAGGTAAGCTCTCGTCAAACAAACCATGTTTGATAAAGAAACGATATTTAATATATGCATGCTGCATTGTGGAAGCACCTCATGTCTGTCGAGAAACGGCAAACACAACAGTTCAACAACAACAAAAAAACTGTCGAACGCATTGGGCACACTCAGGCTGATGGCTGCCCTGCCCATCATCATTTACAATCCACTTGCGGCACAGTAGCAATGACAACGGACGGGGTATTTTTGGGTGGCAGGCATACAGACAAAGAGGACAACCATGGAAATCAACGTGGTCTCAGGAGAACATCCAGAAACTGCATCCTCCACGGATCTTCGCCTTCATTGGGTTGCAGTTGTGCCAGTCGTAGAAGCGGCGTGTGCGCACCTGCGGCTAGTGGGGAATGACAGGAACCACCAAACTTTCTTCAGGAATATTGGCACCCAAACACTGAGCGACGTAAATTGAGAACTGTTTATCCTGATTCTCGAGTTCTGGAGCTACACTTTTGCGTACGGGTGACCTGAAAATAGATCCTTCCCCAAGAACTGGGGCCAAGACAGTGCAAGAATCCAGGACTGCATCACTGCGGGCAAACTCTGCACAGTCAAGTGCCAGCAGCGCAGCAAAACGAAACCGCAAGAAGGAATAGATCGAAAGCCCCCACTTTCGAGCTATGTTCTCATGTTTTGACTCCAAATGCATGTTCGACTGCATGGGATATGCCACCTTGCCTCATCGTAGCTGACTTCTCTGCTCTCGCAGGAGTCCTGAAGCTTCAATGCAAAGCATGTTGGCCTGTTTCAAGTCTCAATCCCTTGGGGATGTCTTCCGGAAGATAGGTTTTCAAATGTGTTCAAAACTTACAGGCACGAGGCAAATTTTGGTATATAAATCGTTCGTCGTGAAAGGCTTTTCCAGAACCCGGGGGTGATTCAAGTCCACAGTCAAATGCAACTGAATAACTCAGATTGGCAACGCTTGAAGACCTACCATGCGCCAATGAAAGCGGGTTATGGGGGCTCTTGATAAAACATGATAAAACCACCCAACTTGCACCGTGGCATCATTCACCAAAATGAATCATGAATTGAAAACTAGGATTTCAAGCGGAGAGCACCGCTGGTATCCACCAATCGTCACCCTTTTGTGAAAAGCTTCTCAAGGACGGCAGGACGGGAAGCACATTCAAAATCCTCGAACCAAGCCGAGACTTTCCACCAAGTCCTATATCCAACTATGAATGCGCTACACATATTTATGAACATTTCAAATGTCGCAGAGCAGGCTGCCAAACATTGCGAACCAATATCTTTTTAGCTCACCGCACTTTGCCATCAGAAGTCAAGGCAGGCTCCATGGGTTGGGCGGCTTTGGCTTTGAAAGATGCCACTGTGACTAGATTTCAGTGTGATCAGATCTTTTCATAGTCCAGCTTGCCCTCAAGCTTCTTGTTGTCGGCAATCTTTCCTCAGTCCAGAAGGTTTTGCGCTAGAATGCCTCTATGTGCACAGCGCCTCAAAAGCTTCTTATGTGCTCATCTATGAATCTATAAAATTTGTCAGGGCCAAGCATCTAGCAGCCTTCATGAAATCCTCTTCAACCACATAGTCGCGCTCAGCACGAATGGCGAACATGCCAGCCTCTGTGCAAATGTTGCGCATGTCAGCATTGTTGAAGTTGTCCGTCAGCTTCCTCATGGCCAATTGCCGCAATGTCATGCTTCGCATTGGGTGCATTTTTTGTTCCCAGCTTCAGGACCATAGCTAGAATCACACAAAAGAATCAAGAAAGAAAAATAGAGAAAAAATATTGCGTATGTTGGTCCATTCATCACCTAGCTTCACAATGGCCTCATAGTCAATATCTCCATGCTTCGTGATGGGATTTGCCTGGTGAAGCGGTGCAAGGACAAAATAGGACACGGACGAAAAAGCCGAAACCAAACACACAGGATCATTTTGCCACAGCTACACAGCCTGCAGGGAGACCGACTTGCAAGAACAATGTGATGCTCTGACGTTCTGACAACTTCAGGCTCAGGTAACTGAGGTCACGTACTTCGCTTAGGTATAACATGGTATATAATATGGTATATGGTATAATTAGGTCGTGCTCCTCATTCCTCCTCTGTATCCAGAATCCACATCTCAGCCAAGTTGCATGAATCTTCAGCACCTCAATCCTGGCCTGCTCGTTTGGGAGTGGAATCTCGATCTTTCGGTCCAATCGCCCAGGTCGTAGCAAGGCAGGATCCAAAGTGTCAGGACCTGACAAATAAACACCACTGCGCCACTGACCCTGGGTGATCCAACCTCATGACCTTTATACGCTACTTGATCTACTTGTACTTCAAGGATCTCCAAGGCTACAAGACCTGCGGTGACAATTCGACGAATTCGACGAATGTATTGGTGACTATTTAACAAATTATGAATGTTCTTCACAGCTCCAAAGGACGACCTTCTGAGGCGCGAACGATTGGTGGCCATGATGATTTTCACACGGCCCAAGTCATCGAAGCCATCGAGCTGGTTCAACAGCTCCATCCTTAGCTATCGTGAAATCAGGTGCAGGGGCATGGAATTCTTGACGATTCAGAGATAGTTCTGATACTATTTGCATCTGCATACAATGTGTATACATGTGTATACTGTATACGTATATTTATGTATGTATATACATATATACATACATAGACATAATCATATATTTAATCATATATATATTATATTATCAATCTATATAATACATCTATACATTGACATGGATGCAGGATGAGTTCGGGCAATCATCACTAAACGCCAAAGATCTTGCAGGTTTTGCACTGACTTCCTTTAGCTAAAATGGGAAAATGGAGGCACTTCACTTCGGCCCACCGAAGCAAGTCAACCCGTGAGCATCCCGATGGATTCCTGGATGGAAGTCGTCAGTGGAAGGTTTTCTGAACCCCAGCATACCCCAGCAGCAAATTCCCACTGCTGACACTGTTTGGCCCAGCAGCAACGTGCGCTGAATTTCTCGATCTGCCGATGTTCCCTGAGAGAATCGCTTTCCTCCAATGGCGTCGATCTCATCCTTTGACTGGCCGAAAAAAAACACCAAAAACACAAGTGACACATGTTGAAAAAACATCAAACAATAGCATACGGGAGACAAAGTGTACTTCAACAATTAACATTTCTTCAACCGCTTACTTCTCTCCTTCCCTTTCCTTCTCTGGGCGTGGGCGGGCGGGTGCATCGGGTGCTACCGCCATGCGGATTAAAAGATACTGGGTATGTACAGAAATTACATGAAATTACCAAGGGAGAGCCCTTTTCCTCTCAAATTATTGTCGCATTTGCCTTGTGGCAGGCTGCAAACAGTCTATGAGTCTACATTGGATAATGCAACCAGATCCAAGGCTGTCACAACAACGAAGAATGCGAGGAATGCACATGATATCAAGAAAGACCCAAAAAAACATCTGCTATCCACGCAGCAAGCATCCATGAAGATGATGCAAGGTTGGTGCTCCTTGGCATATCCAAACATCTCTCGAATGATTCTGGCGGATTCCCCGATGTATTTGTCCACAATTGCAGATGCAACCACCTTGACAGCACGACAGGATGTCAAGGGCAAAAGTCTTTCAAGTGAAGGCATCACATGGCAACCCCTTCAGTGTTGGCTTGGCAGTGCAAGCACGGATTCTTGTGGCCCTTCACCCTGGTGAATGTACAAGATATCACTGCAGCTTGTAATAAATATACAATGACAGACATGTGCTTTCACCTCCTTGCTTTGGCCTCTGAAATCTCTCTTGCTAGTGACTGCTAGTGGTCTGTCGTTGTGAAACCCGTTGGCCACACAACGTTTTAAGATGTTTTAAGCCTCAGACTTTGATAAAGGACGCCGTCATGTTGTGCGCCATCGCACGGGCCAGAAGCGTCTTGCCGGTGCCCGGAGGGCCATAAAGGAGCACTCCCTTGGGCGACTTGATGCCAACACGTTTGAACAGCTCCTTGGCAATGGAAGTTGAGAGAAAACATTACAAAATTAGACAACAAAACTCCCCCGTCAAAAAATTTCCGACCTGACTTTGTCTTGCTGCCTGTCAGAGCCTGGGTTTTGAATGCAAATTAAGCTTCCAACACAAAACGCACTAACTCAATAAGTACATTTATGATGAACTTCCTCCTCAAGAGGCTTGGGGGTTCATGATGGGAAAATGTGGGAAAACATCCTTGCCCACGTTCCCAGCAAATTTCAATGTCATATGAATCCTCTAGTGTTTTTTGCAAGTGCTGTCTAACGAATTTGCATAGCTGGATCAATAAATGCAGGAAGACCATAGGGGCACAAGAATGAATAAAGTAATGTACATTAATTTATGATCATTAATGTACAATTTCATATTGTGTGTGTGTGTGTGCGCGCATGCTTTCACTTGACGGTTTTTGCAGTGGCAAAGCAGCACTCCAAACATTCCACTGCGAGCCTTTCCACCAAACTTCCACAGTTCCACACATGTTCCGTGAGTAGTGACGGTGACGAAATTTGCGCAAGTGATCTAGTCGATTCTAGTCGATTCTAGTCGCATCGCCTCAGAAACCTCCACAACGATCCCCAGTGCTGTGCTGAGATTCCGGGTTTGTCAATGGCAGCTCGATGACTTCCCGCATCTGCCGGATCTGCTCCGTGAGTCCGCCCACATCGCTGTAGGAGATTTTGCCAGGGTCTTCGTGCAACATGCTGAAGACCATCGGATCCACCTGCCCGACTTTTAGCCAAGATCAACTGGGCTCAGCTCACTCATACTCCAAAGCAAGGGATGTTCATTCGGATCCTGTTAAAACCGTGGGCCCATTTTTCCCCTATCTACTGCTAGCCCAGACTAGCCCACCTCACGTGGCAACAGCCGCATGATTGTGAGCGTGGTCATGTCTAGTGACACACGGCTTCCGGAGACAAGCTTGGACTTGTCCAGCTTCACTTTGCACGTCACGACGTAGCGAGGTCCACTGGAAGCTTTCACGATGAAGCGTTCAGCATCGAGCTGTCTCCTCGGAGCAATGCTTTTCAGAGACAGCTTCAAAAGACAGCAGACAGCACAAAATGCCACAAGTGCGTGGACCACAGCGTGGACCACAGATGACCACAGTATGGATATCTGACGATATCTCACATGGATTCACATTGCAACTGTTATGCTATGGCTTGGACCGTGGATAGTGCCGGTACCGCGACGAGACATCGTTGACATCGCCAAGGCTCAAGACCTCTCCGATGATCTGACCAACGCTTTGAAGCGCCCTGAGGTGATCTTCGGACTTGTCGTAGTCCACGCTGTTCTTCTTTACCTTTTGATCTGACATCAGCCACAAAGCCCACCATGGAAAGTGGGGGGAGCTATGTATGTATGTATGGATGGAGGATGGATGGATGGATGGATGGATGGATGGATGGATGGATGGATGGATGGATGGATGGATGGATGGATGGATGGATGGATGGATGTTTCTTCATTTATGTTCATTTACTCATTTAATTTTATCTATATTGATTTATTGTTTTATCTATGCATGTATTTATTCATTTTGAAAAGCATGAAAACAAAAAAAAAAAAACTTAAAAAAAAACACTTCAACTATATATGTTCAACCCACTTCAGGCTTCCAAGTCGCGGTCTCTCTCAACTTCTTCACCCTGGATTCGAATTCACGATGCTCTTGCACCTTGGCCACGTAGCGCTTCAAGGCACCGTCATGTTCACTCTCACCTTCTGCCATGGTCTCGGCCGGAACAACGATCTTGAGTGAGAATGGCTGCAAAGGAATGGCTGAAGAATGGCAGGGCTGCATGGTGCAACTGTTGTCAGACGCTTGTCCCATGCCTTGAAGCCGGGAGCATGGCTCACCCACATTCCCGCTGTCATGTACGAGCATCTAAGATCTAAGAAACGCATTGAACTCTCGTAAAACATGAGTGTCGACAGAATTTGACAAATTTGACAAATCCATCCCATTTCATCTTGTTTGCTTTTCAGCAGGTAGCCTTCTCTCGCTTCTCTGCTCGAAGCTACACGTCAGCATCACGACCACTTTCGGCCTGCTGTTTCTCAACAAGTCTCGTGTAGTCACTCCTTAATACTTTGGCAAAGAACTGGTGGAAAGCCCGGGCGAACCACAAAAAGACGCAAAAAGTGGCCTAGTCTCAATTCATCGAATTCCCATACAAATTTGCGGGAACATGCAGAAACACATAGTAGAGTAAGGAGGAAAAACAGCTTAGGGGTTTGAATCGGTTTGAACATTTGCCACCGTATGGCCCAGCCGGAATGATGCAGCTTTCGAAGTGCTGAATCCCTTTGCTTTCAAAGACTGCAATGCCTTGCCTCCTGCCACGTCTCATAATGGAAATCACGAGATCAATTTGATGCCAAGTCACTTCTCCACCTAAGCTGATCCGCAGGGCACTACACACAAATAAACGAACAATTTACATTAGTAATGATTCATATGTGTAATGTATGTGTATATTATTAATATGTGTATATTATATGTTTATATAATTATATAATTGTGTATATATATATATATATACCTTTGTGATGATGAGGCAACTGCTATGTGTACCAATGGCTCCGAAGTGAAGACCGCAGGAAAGGAACACATATTCAGACAGAATGTTACAAGTGTGCTCAGTGTGCTCTGCCAGAAAATCTGAAAGCTGTCTCTCTTCAAGTCTAGGAGAAAACTGACCGACTTATCGACTTATATAAACACACTTAAACTGTAACCGTTCAAACATATTCCAACCACTTCTCCGAGGCCTCACCATTGGACCAAATCCGTGGCATTCCTGTTCCGAAATCCATCCCCACCTGGCGATTGAAATCCTCAAGCTGCGAGAAGTTCTTCCTCTTGGAGATCAGTTTCTTCAATTTCGGAGGGTATCTTGGTGCCGATGCCAATCTGCCAAATCATCAAATCTACAGTTGACATATGTTGACATTGACAATTGCAGCCGCCAGGATCAAAAGCCGAATTAAGCTGAGCAAAGCTGAGCTAAGCAGCTAAGTCGAGGCCAAGGTGCTGTCCCACGCAATACCAACTGCCAGGTGCGTCACAAATCCGGTTCGCAGGGTCTGCCACCCACGCCTTGGACTCATTGGACACGTTGAGCACCTGGCTGACAGCCATGCCATATGCTATAGATATCTATAGATCATGAACATTCACGAACCAGCCGTGAACCATACATATCATATCATAATCATATCATATCATTTCATTTCATTATACATCATTACACTATACAAGTTATACGAATATCATCTGCATATTATATATATATATATATTATATATATATTATATATATACATAACTGTGTGCGTGCACAAGTAGCAGAGTTTCAAATGTCCGCCGACCCCGGCCTTGGCCAAGGCAGGGGCGGCGCCTGGGACCACCGCAGGTGTGGAACTTCTCCTTCTTCGCTTTCCACGGTCAAACCCATCTCGCAGCCATCAAGCTGCCCCAACGCCATATCGCGTAAACATTTTCCTGGCATGCTTCGTCCTCCAGTTAAGACTTCCAGGCATTTGGACATGAAAATTACATGCTTTGGGCAAGTACGTTTTCCTCCGGAAGGTTTTGTCTGAAGGTTTTGTCTTTCAAGGCTCCTTCTTTGCTTTCCAAGGTACCCTTAAAACCCTCCAAACGCTTCAAACCCTTAAAAACCTTAACACCCTTTGACCCTTACAACGCTGACTTGGCATGCTTCATCCTGCAGCCAACAGCCACCCCGAGGCCACACATCAATGGCTTCTTATGGCCACCCCGACGCCACACATAAATGGCTTCTTATGGGCACCGCGAGGCCACACATCAATGGCTTCTTATGGCCACTCTGGCAGCCAACAGGCACCCCAAGGGCACACATCAATGGCTTCTTATGGGCGTCCAAGTCTGCCGTTTGCCAGCCCTAAAACCCTCCAAACCCTTAAAACGCCCCAAACCCTTAAAAACCCTTAAAACGTTGACTTGGCATGCTTCATCCTGCAGCCAACAGCCACCGCGAGGCCACATATCAATGGCTTCTTATGGCCACTCTGGCAGCCAACAGGCACCCCAAGGGCACACATCAATGGCTTCTTATGGGCGTCCAAGTCTGCCGTTTGCCAGCCCTAAAACCCTCCAAACCTTTAAAACCCTTAAAACGCTCCAAACCCTTAAAAACCTTAAAACCCTTAAAACGCTGACTTGGCATGCTTATCCTGCAGCCAACAGCCACCCGAGGCCACACATCAATGGCTTCTTATGGCCACCCCGACGCTACACATGAATGGCTTCTTATGGGCACCGCGAGGCCACACATCAATGGCTTCTTATGGCCACTCTGGCAGCCAACAAGCACCCCAAGGGCACACATCAATGGCTTCTTATGGGCGTCCAAGTCTGCCGTTTGCCAGCCCTAAAAGCCTCCAAACCCTTAAAACGCTCCAAACCCTTAAAAACCCTTAAAACGTTGACTTGGCATGCTTCATCCTGCAGCCAACAGCCACCCCGAGGCCACACATCAATGGCTTCTTATGGCCACCCCGACGCCACACATGAATGGCTTCTTATGGGCACCGCGAGGCCACACATCAATGGCTTCTTATGGCCACTCTGGCAGCCAACAAGCACCCCAAGGGCACACATCCATGCCTTCTTATGGGCGTCCAAGTCTGCCGTTTGCCAGCCCTAAAACCCTCCAAACCCTTAAAACGCCCCAAACCCTTAAAACCCTTCAAACATTGACTTGGCATGCTTCATCCTGCAGCCAACAGCCACCGCGAGGCCACACATCAATGGCTTCTTATGGCCACTCTGGCAGCCAACAGGCATCCCAAGGGCACACATCAATGGCTTCTTATGGGCGTCCAAGTCTGCCGTTTGCCAGCCCTAAAACCCTCCAAACCCTTAAAACCCTTAAAACGCTCCAAACCCTTAAAAACCTTAAAACCCTTAAAACGCTGACTTGGCATGCTTCATCCTGCAGCCAACAGCCACCCCGAGGCCACACATCAATGGCTTCTTATGGCCACCCCGACGCCACACATGAATGGCTTCTTATGGGCACCGCGAGGCCACACATCAATGGCTTCTTATGGCCACTCTGGCAGCCAACAGGCATCCCAAGGGCACACATCAATGGCTTCTTATGGGCGTCAAGTTGCGTTGCCAGCCTAAAACCTAAAACCCTCCAAAACCCTTTTTAAAACGCTCCAAACCCTTAAAACACCTTAAAACCTTAAAATGTTGACTTGGCCAGCTTCATCCTCAGCCAACAGCCACCGCGAGGCCACAATCAATGGCTTTTATGGCCACCTCTGGCAGCCAACAGGCACCCCAAGGGCACACATCATAGCTTTCTTATGGGGTTCCAACGTCTGCCGTTTGCCAGCCCTAAACCCTCCCAAACCTTAACGCTCCAAACCCTTAAAAACCTTAAAACCCTTAAAACGCTGACTTGGCATGCTTATCCTGCAGCCAACAGCCACCCCGAGGCCACGCATCAATGGCTTCTTATGGCCACCCCGACGCTACACATGAATGGCTTCTTATGGGCACCGCGAGGCCACACATCAATGGCTTCTTATGCCACTCTGGCAGCCAACAAGCACCCCAAGGGCACACATCAATGGCTTCTTATGGGCGTCCAAGTCTGCCGTTTGCCACCCCTAAAACCCTCCAAACCCTTAAAACCCTTAAAACGCTCCAAACCCTTAAAAACCTTAAAACCCTTAAAACGCTGACTTGGCATGCTTCATCCTGCAGCCAACAGCCACCGCGAGGCCACATATCAATGGCTTCTTATGGCCACTCTGGCAGCCAACAGGCACCCCAAGGGCACACATCAATGGCTTCTTATGGGCGTCCAAGTCTGCCGTTTGCCAGCCCTAAAACCCTCCAAACCCTTAAAAAACGCATCCAAAACCCTTAAAACCTTAAAACCATTACAACGGTGCTTGGCATATGCTTCATCCTGCAGCCAAAAGCCACCGAGGCACACCATCCTGGCTCTTCTTATGGCCACACCGACGCCACACATGAATGGTTCTTATGGGGCCCGCGAGGCCACACTCAATGCCTTTTATGGCATCTGGCAGCCAACAGGCACCCCAAGTCTACACATCAATGGCTTCTTCTGGGCGTCCAAGCCTGCCGTTTGCCAGCCCTTAAACCCTTAAAACCCTTCAAACAAAACCCTTAAAAACCTTAAAACCCTTAAAACGCTGACTTGGCATGCTTCATCCTGCAGCCAACAGCCACCCCGAGGCCACACATCAATGGCTTCTTATGGCCACCCCGAGGCCACACATGAATGGCTTCTTATGGGCCGCTTCAACAATCCCTTGGCATGCTTCATCTTGCAGCTAACAGGCACCACAAGGACTTGGCATGCTTCATCCTGCAGCCAACAGCCACCCCAAGGCCACACATCAATAGCTTCTTATGGGCGTTCAAGCCTCCCGTTTGCCAGCCCTTAAACCCCAAAACCCTCCAAACAAGTTTTACTTGAGCTGTCACACGTGCGTATGGCACGGTACTGTAGTTTAATTATGAAGTAATGTGCGGGCCCCCAAAGGCCAAATCAATTCTCTTAGGCGTCCAAGGCTGCCGTTTGCCAGCATTTACATAATTCAAACGATACCCCAAAGCCAGATCAATAGCTTCTTCTCGGCGTTCCAGCTTGTCGTTTACCACCTTTCTCTTTCACAACGCCGTCCTTGACAGAAAACTGCTTCCCACAGACACTTCGATGGTCTACTTGCCCTGTCTTCACGTTACTGGCCACATTCCCTTTGCAAGCGGGGCAAATGTAAACATACGCTTTCTCCTTCACTACGCCGTCCCTCACAAAAAACTGGTTCCCACAGACGGTTCGATGGTCTATTTGCCCTGTCTTGACGTCACTGGCCACATTCCGTTTGCAAGCGGGGCAAATGTACACATACGCTTTTTCCTGCACAACGCCGTCCTTGACTGAAAATTGGCTCCCACAGACCGTTCGATGGTTTATTTTCCCTGTCTTGACATCACTGGCCACATTCCCTTTGCAAACGGGGCAAATGTAAACATACGCTTTCTCCTTCACAACGCCGTCCCTCACAGAAAACTGGTTCCCACAGACCGTTCGATGGTCTATTTGCCCTGTCTTGACCTCACTGGCCACATTCCCTTTGCAAGCGGGGCAAATGTAAACATACGCTTTTTCCTGCACAATGCCGTCCTTTACAGAAAACTGGTTCCCACAGACCGTTCGATGGTCTATTTTCCCTGTCTTGACGTCACTGGCCACATTCCCTTTGCAAGCGGGGCAAATATACACATACCCTTTCGCAACGACCTGCGCATCCCACACCTGGAAACGGTTACCACATGCACGCCGGTGATCTACTTGGCCCGTGCGTATACTGCTCCTCACAGACTTTTGGCAAGCGGGACAAACATATTGGAAACTCTTGCCTTCCCCCGACATCTCCGTCGCACTGCCCTTGCTCTGCTGCTTGCAGCTCATTTCTGCCTGCCTGTCTGTGCTTCTTTCTGTTCCGCCGTCATCTCTACGTTGCTTTGCGTCCGGCGGGGCTTCCTGCATTTGGGCGGTGTCCTGTTCTGTTTTCCTTTTTCGTTCCACGCTGGCAGCCGCGACATCAGTCGTCGCCTGCACCGCCCTCTGCCTTCCGTTGCTGTCGTCCTGTTGGCCATGTACCTCTGCAGGCCCCTCTGTGGTCATTTCTGTTCCATTCTCTTGTCTGCGCTGTTTTGCCTTCGGCTCTGCTTCCTTCCTTTGGGGGCTCTGCTGTTCTCTCTTCCGTTTTCGTTCCGCGATGGCAGCCCAGACATCGGCGATGGCGCGTGCCTTTTTTTCCTCCGCTGCCTGCCTCGCCACTTTCGCCTGCGTTGCCGTTACCCGCTGTACCGCTTTGCTGATGCTTCCCCGGGGAATGGGGCACTGCCAGCAGTTGCTACAGACTTGGTCACCATTACAAGAACGATGTTGCGCCAGCCAGGATTCAAAAGCGCACGCTGCTTGCTTTACCTTGCAGACGCTGCATCTCCACCAGCCCCATGCTTTACCCGAACAATCTAAACACACTCTACCGCCTTTGCGTGCTCGTTTCCAGGCCCCGCCAGAAAATTTCTTTTCGTACTTGCGCGTATTGCAAACACTACACACTTGTGTCTGTTCGCACGTTTTACAAATACGATAAAATGTGGCTTGTGGCCTTGCATGTTCTGTCTTGAATGCATCTTCCTGTTTCCAAGCCGTGCAGACCATGCATTGCCACGGCTGCTGCGCCTCAACGTGCCTACGCATGCATTCCTTGCATACTCTCGCCGCATCTGCTTGTTTCCATCGACCAGCCGTGAATGCAGACGCCGGCTTTGCTTCATTACATTCTTTGCATTGTCTTTCGTCTCGGTATTTCGCCCGCAGCGCGCTCCAATCCATTTTTTCACCACCCCAGAACCGCAACAGCAATTCCCGCCCTACTCTTGCCCCTTTTTGAAATGGTGCTGCAGGGAACGGTCGGTACACAAACAAACCATACCTGTCTTGGACCCGCGTTAATGCAATGTAAGCTGTCAATGGGTCGCCTGCTTCCCCAATGTGCATGTCCATGACAACGCCTTCTTTGCACGTTTGCCCTTGGGCTGCATGGGCGGTGGTGGCAAACCCTGGAGCCAATGGAAACTGCTTCCGCGTGACACGGAGTACTGGCCGCTTCCGCCCCTTGTCCAAATACCACGGTTTCTTTTGCGGCGCTACGGGAAAAACGTTGTCTTCATCGATCCCTTCGACACGCCAGGTGGTCTTGGTCTTGAACCGGACCAAGATGCACGCCGGCAACTCGTTCCAAATCTGCGTCGCCTCTTGACTCGCCCCTCCGACAGCATCGGCATGCCAGACCCAGCCAACGATTTCCCCAGCACACCCACGTAAAATTCCACGGGTACGATCCAAGTGATCTGCGGCAGCAACTGGCATACCAATGCACAGCGGGAAAACACCATACAAGGATCCACAGTCCTGATCGTGGCGCTGCAGCCATGTCAATTTTTCTTTGCCCAGATCTGGCTTTTCACGCAAAGCCGCGCTTGATATCCTATCTCTTGCAATGGCATGGTGCAGCACCCCAGAAGGGGGTCGGCGGCACCCGGGCGCTAGCCCCTTCTATATCATGATACATGGCTTATGAATGCTTATGATAGTTATGAGTGGCCTTGGGCTGGTGTGTCTTTTCAATTCACTAATCACAGTATAAGCAAGCCTCACTGAGTTTCTCGCTATAGTCTTTGACAGGATGCCTTTATATATAAGAGTTCTATGTGGCTTCCTTCCAAACACGTAGCCGCCCCAGGTTAAGTTCGAGCCAGAAAACGCCTTGCTTTGAATCCACTTCCGGCTATTTTGGGAATCATGTTGCCAAATTTGCAAATCCTGGCCTAGCTTGTCTTGCTTCAGACTTTTTGTCCTGATGCGTTTCATCCTGCAAGTCAGAGTGCAACAGTCTCCAACGTCTGAGTTCATTGCAAAACTTCGGGAAAATATGGAAGATTTTGCTTGAAGAGTGACAAAAGTGGGACCTTTGGAACTTCCACAATACAGGATTAATAAGAAGTTGCTGCAAGGTTCCTGGATGATCCTCTTGATGTGATTTTCACCTCGGCAGGTCGTGTCCAGGGCATATGCCTGAGTCAATTCATCCCTTCATCAGCCTTCATCTATCCTCATCATTTCCTCAAGCTGTACCAATTGTTCTATGCACATGGGCCAAAGGGATCCAAGGGGTCCAGCCGTAGCATCTGTTCACATGTGCAGCCGAAGAGCGGGTCACTCGTACCTTCTTCCGCGCCATGATGCGCGTCGCGTCCCCAGTCTGAAGAATGCTGAGGCACGCTTGATCCCAGAGAGTCACAGAGCGCCCCCAAGTCTTCAGATACCTGCGAATTCCTCTGGTGAAAATTAAGTTCGCAATTTGCAGGACAGAAATCTTCCTTGGTAAAACTTTCAGGTAGTTTCTGATTTGAGTGTTGCTGTTGTACTGTCAATTTGTTTGCCGCTGTGTAGTCTTCCCTGGACGGAATCGCTTGCATTGCTAGCTGTGGTTGCCCTTCTTCTAGATTCTAGAGGGTTGTGACCGCATCAATTTTGACATTTTTGACTTGCGGCGTCTTTCGGCCTTGGATGCCCAAAACCTGATTGCAGTTTTCATCCGTCAGGACTTGCATGGACTTGCTTTGCTGGCTTTGCTCAGGTCAAACCATGGTTTGCAAAGGCCGGCTCAATGGCACTTCCTGCGCTTCTGTCTTTGGATATGTCATCTCCACCATGTCGTGCCTCATCCTCGCATTCGCAATCCCTGATGCTCACCCCAGGAGTGTCCAACTTCAACACCGCCTGCGCAAACTACACCACCACAACACAACGAGATATGACGAGATATGACGAGATGACATGACATGACAACAAAAACCTCCCTGCATCTCCCTGCACCTTCATAAGGTCGATGGCTTTCACGCCCTCTGGGACGATCTTTGCAGTCCTGAACAAGGGAAAAATGCTGGCACTTGCACTGATAATGAAGTGAAATGACAATCAAATACCAAAGGTTACCAAAGGATCCAAAGGGGTCAAAAGAGAAGTGATCCTTCTCCACACAAACCGAGTTGAACCTGGCAACCGATTGCAACCGACTCATGAGGCTCTGGCAAGTAGTGAGTCACAAAAGATTCCACCTCATGAATAAATCTCTTGCAGCGAGCCAAGGTGAGCGAAAGTGCCGGCCAGGTGACCGGTTGATCTGTCAAAGCAGACGTTGGTTCATACAAGGGATCTCCCAAATCTCCCAATATCAAAAAACTACGTATACCTAAGAAACATTAAGAAACCAAAACCTGAAACAAAAATATTCCCATATGAATGTGGCAACTCCCAAGTGCCAAGTTGCGGTTGTGACCTCATGGTCCAATGATGCCAAGATCTGGCAGCTCAAAGATCTATGTGCCAACTGCTGAAACATAGGGGCACATCGTCAGAAAAATGGGAACGGGAAGAATTTAATGTATATACGCATATAATCATGTGAAATATACGTCCATTTCATTCTAATTATATGTGTACATTTACATGGATGTGTGCTGTAACCCTTGATATAATATTCAAGCTCCAGGGGCTGACAAACTCTGCATCAAAACGGGTCTAGCCTGGCCACAGTTGTGTCTGCAACAGCAACCAGCACCAGAAAGAACCCCAAAAGATTCTGTCCTCTGCGGTCTCCGCCTCTGTTGCTGAGAACTTGCCCTGATGCCAAGCGACAGGTCTGAGAGGCAGTAACAAACACAACTGCTAATTGGTCAGCAGGGCTCGAGACACTCATCTGCCTCCTCCTCATCTGGCCGCAGCTGCTGCTTTGGCGGCTGCCAATCTTCAGGTAAAGAGCGAAGGGCCTAGGTCTGGAATCCAACATCCGGCGCACAGCTTCAAACCATTCAAACCGAGTTGAAAAGAAGGAGCTGAACAATCTAGTCAATTCTACTCATAGATTGCCATCCGATATCCCTTTCTCAATGGTATTCATTCATCTCTGGGCTGGAATGCGTAGGCAAGGCACGCAGCCAATAGAAGAAAATAGAAGGTGAAAGGAAACCTTTAAAAATATTTAAAAATATGATCCTGACGAGTCACAAGACCTAAATCTAAATCTAGCTGAATGCATGCTGAATGCCAAACCCCCGACGAGGTCCGTGCAATGCCCGAAGCTATCAGGGAGGCCTGGCATGTTCTCCATCTGTGCATGGTTCAACTGTGTCAAACCGCTCTCAGGGTGGGAAAGAATAAGTTTAAGGCAACTGAGGCAACAATGAAATTGATCAACCCCATAGCCAAGAATTTGGTCTGGGTATGTGTGGGTCCTGTTGTTTGATGGGCCAACATGTAATGGAAAGGAAGCCGAGCGGCTTTCGGCAACTCCACACCATTCCATACCCCTCTCTTGAATAATCTTGAATAATCTTGAACAATCTTGAATAGTCTTGAATAAGTGGAGGCTTTCAAGAGGCTTTCAACAAGCCTCCTGGTACCCTCAAGTTTGCGGCCTCCAGGTCGCGAAGCTGTCGCCAAAAGCCGCAGTTCGGATGGATGATGTTCCTGCACGATCTGCAGCAAGGTATTGGATCGTTCATTTCCACACTTCCGATCAAGTACTTGGTGATGAAATGTGATAAAATGCGATAAAAACTTATCTGATAAACCTTCAATGCCAATCTCCTCCACCTTTCGCTCGGTAGACAATCTATGCGTCACTTCTCCAATGACAACACACGATGAAAACCGACAAAGAACAAGCGCGTGCAGCGCAGTGCAGCAAAAGAGTCCTACCATGTCCTACCCTCATCCCTCGAAGCAGTTCGAAGCATCTCGAAGCTCCCATTTTTCTGGCCTACTTGGTGCATCTTTGCCTTTCCAGACCTGCCTTGAAGCAAAGCCAGGAGGCGCAGGCGCCACTTTCGCGCTGTTGCACTTTTGTGCTGGGTGAGACGCTTGCTACGCTGGCCTACTATGTCATGGTGGAAGGACGCATCAAATTACATCAATCAAGAACTTTGAAAGACTGATTCAAGCAATGCCTCTCTGCTTATCATTTACATATGTAAATATTAAATATACAAACATAATCAAACATACCATAGTTACTCTGGCACTAATTCCTTTGTCAACATCTTTAATGGTAAGTTGTCAATGATTTCAATGGCTGGCCCTGGAAGGCCAAGCTGAGCTCAAGCCTCCTGAGTTCAGTCAAACCTGTGGATTCTATGGATTTTCTTCATGGCTGTGGCAACCTGATTGGCCTTCGCATCTTCCGATAGTCTCACATCATCCAACCTCTTTGCCCCATCTGGCATTGGAGGTGGTGGCGGCTGCGAGTCAGTGATATCCAGTCTATCTCGTACCTTGGAATTGGAAGCCTCCACGGGAGCATCTAACATCAAATTCAACTTGGAAGCTAACTCCCGTTCTTTGGCTTGTCTATCCAGGTCCATCCACATGCTTTGTTCATTGGGTGCCATGGGCATCAGCCACCTTCCTCGGATCACATCCGACTTGGAGGTCTTGGGTCGCACCTGTCGTGCCGCCAACACGGGATCCTTGAAATCGACATCGCTCTTCATGATGCTGATGTCCATGTCATCCACGTGGTCTAGGACAATCGCCAAGGTTTCATTCACTTGCCGAATGCGCTCGCTGTTGTGGTCGCAGCGCTCCAGATTCTGCTTGAGATCGATGGACAGTTGGTGCAGGTCACAGGCCATAGCAGGTCCCCGGAGTTTGGCGCAGCCACGGAAAAACATGTCGGTATTCACGTTTCCCGTGCAGTCCGTGTCCAGCAGAGTGAAGAGCAAATCCAAATCTGCAAACGGGATCCGCAACATTTTCAAGCGGTCCCGTACCTGGGGTGGCAAACCATGACACCATAACAAGCTGTTCAGAACCTAATGTTCTGACCCTTGACTTCGAAGATGAGTCAATTAACATCCGGTTGAGTCAACCCCTTTGGCCAATCCCACTGAGCTGCCTGGTGCTTGCAGATCAATGCATGCAGCTCATCCATATCAAGCTCACCAGAGCCGTCCGTATCACCGTCATGGAAAATCTTCCGCAAGGAATCCATCACCGCTGCCTCGGCGAAAGTGCAAGCTGGCACTGTTCCAACTGTTCCGACTCGGCCGGGCCAAGATGGTGGACCATTTGGATCCATTTGGCGGCCTATCTTTATATTATTTTATATTTAGATGTACAATGATGTACACCATTGTACAGACCGTCTACAGATAGGTGTGAAGACATCGATGAATAGACATAGATATTGTACACATGAGAGCGGGCAGCTCCCAGTGGCACGAGCACAGCATGACTTTTCTCTGAACGCCTGAGCCCCACACTATCGTGAGGATGTCACATGACTCACAGATCAATGATGTGGTCCTAGTTCTAACTTGCAAAACTGTCGGTGCTAAATGGATTGCATCAACGTGTCTTCACCTGAGTGTGCACATTTCACACACCCCTTCTTAGAAGAGTGAAGTGCACGTTTTTGTTCTTTCTCCTGAGCTTTCAACTGTAAAGAAACATTTTCAGCAACACAAATGAAACGACCAACGCGAAGAACAAAATAAAGAAAATCCGGATTCGCACCAATCTTTGTCAGCGAGTCCACCACCATCTGTCTGGTGTCAACCCATCGCAGACTGATTCCTTGAGACTTCAAATCGGCTCTCACGACCAGCATATCGATCGCCATCCTTTTGTCTCGAACGACTACTCCATCACCATGACAGTGATCATAGATCGGCTTGTTGTCCGTCACCGCAATCATAGCAAGTTGTTGCCGGTGCTCTCGATCTTTTTGAAGTTGATAGTCAGGCTGTCTCGCCTCCGCAAGCAAGGATCTGATCCAGTCTCCTTCTGCCAGTGCTCTTGATAGAGCCATCAACTCAGCTCCAAGGGTAGACTGGGTTCTCCGATCTAACTTCCAAGACTTCCATCGAAGCGGAGAGACATCTGCCCACTTGTCGTTGGAGACATCTTGATGAGATATCATCACCATGTAGGCTGCCTGGCTATGTAGGTCAGAGCAATTGGCCCAGCTTGCATCACTCGTTACAGCCACGACAGCTTGATCAAGTGGAATGCTCTTGATCTTCAGTCTGGTGTGCTTCTTGTCGCGAATGCGAGCCACCAACTGATTCGCCTCGATGAGGTCAGCAACTGTAGCCTTGCTCGTGCGCTGCTGAAGCAAGGATGTCCATGCACAGATATCGGGACGAGTGCTACCAGCGAGCCAGTTGGCTGCCCCAATGACCCCACGAAACTTTTGCAGTTCACTCGGTGACAGTTGATCGTCTCTCTGTTTTCTTCTCTCTTTGGGAATAAAAACAGTTTGAACCTTGCTAGCGTATTCCTCTTGGCAGCAAACAATTGACCCATCTTGACTCTGTTCCAACCAGCGGCCCAAAAACTCACCCTTGCCTCGTTTCTAGTGTTTAAAAGGGTATTTTTGTCGAAGAGGTTCCAAAATCAACATTCTGAATTCATCCGTTCCACCACAAACCATGTCACCAACATGAAGAGACACAACCCCTTGCAAATGACGCTCATGTTCCTTACCATTACCATGCCAAAAGAAGGTACAAGGATCAAGATTACTTTGTTTCATGCCCAACGAAACCAGAGTGGACGTGATGCTCTCCCACCATTTCCTAGGTGCATCCATGAGACCATAAACACACTTACATAATTCAATCACTGAGTCTTCTCCTACGCCCGGAATACCTTCTTTGGGTATCTTTGCATATATTTTTCCTTGTTTTCTCTGCAGCGGCTCACCTTGAAGAAACGCACCTTCTATGTCCATGATCATTAGTTCCCATTTTAGGGACGCTATGAGTTGTAATGTCACCATCAAGGAGTCAGCTGATAGAGTTGGTGACTGTCGTTGTAACTCCAGTATGTCAGGATCTTGAAACCCTTTGAGCACCCATCTGCACTTGATTTCAGTCTGACCAGGATTGTCCGGTGATGCCCTTCGTGTTTTGACAAACCTACTGTCAATGAAACGTTCTTTGGGAACACTCTGCATGATCTGCTGAGCTTCTCGTCCTGTGTGGATCCTGATGGCTCCAGTTTTGATCAGCTTGTCAAACTCCTTTCTTTTACCTTGTATCACCTGTTCCCATTCATGCTCCTCAATCTGTCTATCTCGCAGTTCACTGTCTCTCTTGTGTCCTTCCTGATGAACCAAAAAGGATTCAAAGGCATCAGTCGGCTCAGGAACCGAAATCGTGACCTCAGAGGTTGCCTCTGCGTTGCTTCCAGGAGGTGGTGAGTACGGAGTTCTGGCCACCCTAGTTGACCCAATATCCAAAAATTCAGTACTTCTGTGCAGTGCCTCTTGAAGTGCAGTGCTGTGATGATGTGTGCCTTCAGCTCCATGATTTCTCTGATGCCGAATTGGCCCATAAGACCCTGAGCTTCTCTCTGTTGCACCTGCTGTCGTTTCCAGTGGATTTGCTACTGATGCTTCCACCAATCCTTGTCCAGTTTCTCCACTACGCGTACTTGGTGCAAACTCTTCCCCAAGGGACGGAGTGTACGTCTCTGACTCATCCAGTTCATCTGGCATCCCTTCTGGTGCCACCTCTAGGTTTTCATCGCCATCTGCAGTTTCCTCCACCCGAACCCTTTTCTGTGCTGGTTCCTCCACCATAGATGGTTTCTCATGTTCAGGTAGAGGAGCATCATGTTGTGGGTGCTCCTCCTGGCTTATGTCAGTGAAGGTATGTGCACCGCGATCTGTCAGTGCTCTCTTGGTGGCTAACATGTCCGTTGTCACAAATCTCAGAGCTGCTTCCTGATCGTCAGTCAATCGTCGCAGTTGCTCTGGGGCACATCTGAGAACCTTGTTGCCAATGGATATCCAGACCTTGGACCTCCCATCATAGAATCCAATCACTCGAGCTGGTCCTCTCCACATTCCAGGCCTACCATCTGTAATGTACCTACGCCAGTAGTAAACAAAATCACCTACACGCAGTTCTTGTGACCGCATCACTCTAGAACGGTGTTCAAGTGCCCTCCTTACTTTAGAGTCATCATCCATCTCAACCATCGCTTTACGTGCTTCGAGCCGGATTTGATTCGCACGGACAAGTGTTTCATCCCCATGGATCACGCCAGAATTTCCTGGTACATTGGGATTGTCATCAGTAAGAGACAAGGGAAGACGCAAATCACAACCAAACACATGTTGAACCGGGGCAAAACCATGTTTACGCATCATCGAATTTTTTGCAACAATAACATTGTCAATTAACTCGTTCACTTCTTTTTTGTTTTGGGGCTGAGCACCATCAAAGGCCTTAGCAAAGACATTTTTCCAAATACCTCCATGCCTTTCAACATAACCAGCTTGCCAAGGACTATAAGCCGCAGTTTTTTCAACATAAACACCATCGTCCTCAAACCCTTGTTGCACAACAGAATCAAACTCGGTCCCCCCATCCGTAAACACTTTGACAGGGTTACCAGCCCATCGCTTCCAGTACTTACGGTACGCCCCCCTGACTTCTTTGGCAGTGGCTCCCTTCCATAAGGGCGTACAAATTTGGAGTCCGGTCCCTTCACAAAACAGGTTCAACATCTTGAGTCTCTTCTTCTGAAAAATCTCAACTTCAAAGGTGTCCATGTTGAGTTGCTGGTTGACCCTTCAGCCCTCTTATGTTTGGAAACCGCATGACTGGGATATGGCTTGTGACTCTCGCAAATGCTGCATTTCAATTTTTTTGCAATCTCCATGGCCCGATTACTGGCTTTCGCACTTTTCAACATGTGGAGAAACCTTTCTTTGGAGGGATGACCAAGGTTGACATGACAACGTCTCACACTTCTCTCCAAGTCAGTCCTGTCCTCATGCAACGCTTCAACAGCCAAAACCTCATGCGCCTTTTGCCTTTTGTACTGAAGAAAACATCCAACAATTTTATCAACAAGTCTTTTGGGGTAAACCTGTGCACAGCGAGACCTGTTCACCCACCGACCACCAACCTGAGTTTGACCTTCAACCCTTTGGTGATCATGATCTTGACTGCACATGTTTTGGAGACCCTTCATGTGTTCACAGTTGGTCAAAACCCGAGTTCTTTTCCGAAACAACTTGTGATTTTGTGGGTCCTTAAGGCCATATTGACACTGATCAAACGTGATCTCATGCACCCCTTCTTGCTGTCTGACTTCCTCAACCACTGCTTCAGTCCAACTGGCAGCATTTTGGGGATGTTCAAACAGGAATTTTCTGCCCCCTTTGTGTTGAGTCATACAAACCTGCATGGCAAATCCTAGCAGCACACGCCCTTCAGCAAGCTTGCGTGCTCTCTGCTCGGGGTCTTGCCGCCTCAGGCTACACGCCTGCAGGGGTGAAAATGGCCCACACGGTGGACAAACCGTCACCAGTTCTGGTTTATATTTTTCAATGTCTTCCAAACACTTCCTGCGACACTCCGCATCCAGGAAGTTCCAACCAGAACTCAAATCATATGACCGAAGGCCTTTAAGCCCTCTTTTTTCTGCTACAGGCAAAATTCTGGGCGGCGAAAACACCTCAGCAAAATCTACCGGTCTTTGAATGTCCACAACAAAGAGATCATGAGGTTCCAACCCGTTGTGATCATCACCATTCAAACCAACATCACAACAACCCTCAACACCATGACGAATACACCAACTGTCAACATCTTTTTTGAGCCTCACTTTGCTCTTTTTGGACATGACATGTTCACCCGGCTCAGAGTTCACCCGTGTCGCACTGGACTCGTTGTGGTCGGATGGAAGAGCTCCAGCGTCTCCTTCATCTCCTCGATCATGTTCTTTTCCTCTTCTGTCACTGCCGACTGTGCTGGGTTCACCATTCGGACTGGCATGCCGTCCACACTCTCCATGATGAGCAGCTCTCTGCCCACTCCCTGAGTCATGACATAGCGCCATTCCATGTTCTCCACCTCGTCCGTCTCGCGTGCTCGCACACGACTCATGGGATTGGCCTTGGCTTTCGCTGCGTGCATCACATTCATGCCGGGGCGATTCCCCAGGTGTCGCTCCAGCCGCTCTCTCTTGGCTTGATCTCGTGTCACCACATAGACCTTCAGCCGCTGCATCTCGATGGAGCTGGTTGTCTGGATGTGTTGACGAATCCAGTTGACATAGTTCTTGTCCTGAATGTAGATCTCCTCCACCGCCAGCGCCTGCTTGCTCTTTCCATACTTGCCGTCGCGGATGATCGTCTGACCTTCCACCGGTAAGTTCTTCCCATCTTCGTCCATGTCTGGCATTTGGTCCAGCTCTCGATCCGAGTGCCGCCACTCCATGTTGCCCTGTGGTTGATCGTGACGTTGAAGGTTCTCCAACATCTTGCACAGCTCCGGATTCGCCATGTTGTTCTTGGGCGCCATCTAGCTGCGCAGGATCGGCTGGTTGTCGCTGATTTTCTCTGAGCCCAAGGTTGTGCTCCAGCTCATCAATGTGGTACTCTTTGGACATGTTGGCTGCGATCCGAATTTTCTCGTCACTACTAAAACATTCACTGCCAAAATCAAAACACCTCAAACCATAGTGACCCTTCTCAGTTTCCATCAAAGAGATCCAACGACCAAACAAAAGAACCCGATCATTCACAAGATCCAAAACACAATTCAATTGCTTCAACAGTTCCTTGCTCAGGAGAAGTGGGGTGCACCTACCTTGTGTTTCCAAAATGGAAGCACGAATCAAAAATCGATGGTCACCTATGCACGCTGGGATGATGGCAGATTCTTCGGCCACCACGGTTTCCGAGTTTCCAAATCTAAACTCAGACACCTCCTTACGCCTCAAGACCTTCAAGCCAAACTTCCTAAGAGTCTGCTCAATCAGCTGCAGCGTGTATGCTCCAACAAGCGTACGGCGGCATGCCGTGTCAGGTACAGCGCATTCTCCTAGGGTGCTGTCTGGCTGCGTTTCGCGGCCAGTCGGTGCACCATCCTGTGCAAAAACTTCAGTCACTAGGACGTCACGGCTCGGCTCATGTGTGGGGCTCCATGCTGTAGTGCCACTGTCTGCCTCGTCATTCTGCAACTCAAACAAGCGCCACACATCTTCGGCCAGCATGACATCGTGGCCCACGATTTCCACCGCATTGGTGTCATTCACGCCTTTGGAGGTAGAAGCACTCGAGTTGGTCTTGCCCTTGAGAAGTGGACACTCTCTCTTCCAGTGCCCTTTTGCCTGACAATGGTGACAGGACGTCCTTTGCTTGAGCATTTCAAGCCGTCCACGTACGGTGCCCTGCAACTTCCATTGTGTTGGTCCTCCAGTGCCTCTTGTGCCACCCCCAAAGCCCCTGTTCGTTCGTTGATCCCTCAACTTCTTTCTGATCTCCGCATAGCTCTCAAAGGTCTCGAGTACCTCTTCTTCGTCTTGAGCTCCGGACACTTGAAACTCGGCAGCCATCATCTCCGCCGCGTCGTTCAGTTCCTGCTCTTCATCCACCATCACCATCTCTTCAGTCATGGTGTCCGTTCCACCAGCTAGGAAGGCTTCCTTGGACTTCACCGGCCCCTTTCCTTCTGGAAAAATTCCTCTCACTGCTTTGACAATCTCCTCAAAGTCCATGCTCCCTTGGCTATGTGTCATCACCATGCTCTCCTGTGTCGCATCCAGTCGAAGCTTCTTCAGCAGCATGTAGCCTGCAACCGGTGCTGGCAACTCAACGCCCTGCTCCTTGAGCTTCCGACTGGCTGCATCATACCGAGCCAGGAACTGTGTGTAGCTCTCCGACTGCTTGACCTGGAGTTCATAGAAGTACCCCTTCAAGGCCTGTTGCATGAGATCACGTGGTTGTGGTCCATACTTGTCATCCAGCGCTTGCCAGATCTTCTTGTCCCCCCCCGACTTGGTGAGCTCTTCAACGGGGATGCTCTCTAGTAAGGCTTCTGCCTCCCCTTTGATGAACTCCATCAGCCGAGGGCCATACTTGGCTTCTGGTACATTGGTCGGCAAGCTCGCCAACATGAGCTGGGCTCGCCGCTTCCATCTCCTGTACAAACTGGGATCCGAACCATCGAAGGTCTCAACGCGGTGGCTCTTCTCTTCAGAGCTTGCCATGGCCAACTGTCAGCAGAACCGAAGTGGCTCCGCTACCACTGAGAGCGGGCAGCTCCCAGTGGCACGAGCACAGCATGACTTTTCTCTGAACGCCTGAGCCCCACACTATCGTGAGGATGTCACATGACTCACAGATCAATGATGTGGTCCTAGTTCTAACTTGCAAAACTGTCGGTGCTAAATGGATTGCATCAACGTGTCTTCACCTGAGTGTGCACATTTCACAACACATCTTGAATAGTGGGTGGGTTGTTTGGCGAATTGACAAGCGCTTAGTTGCGAGTCCGAAATACGTGTTCTGCTATGCTTTGCAGAATTGGGGAGTTTGCTTCCAGTGATTTGAGGCAACACTGAGACGTTCAATATCTTATATATATATATATAATGTTAACGTGTGTGTGCGTGTAACTCTATGTATGTATATAATCACTTCAGCAGGTTGCATCGGCCCGTAGCTTCTCCTCTTCCTCCCTGTCAGAGGATGACCTTGCAGCTGACAACGTGCACTCGACCACAACTGCGATGATGGAGTTCATGAGGGCCAAAGCTCCGATGCAAAAATATGATCCAAAAATGACCAGCAGCAAGGGCTCCGTCTTCACCAACGGAGACACCATTGAGCTGATCCAATTGTCTCTCGTTGCAACCTGAAGGGAGGCCCCGAACTTCAACAGCACCATACAACAGACATTCTGGATTTACGTTCTATTACTTGTTACTTTCTCTGACCCTGCCTTTGTCTGAAAAGCATCGTCATCATATTTACTATCCAGTTCTTGTCCACGAATAAATCTGCTCTTCAATCCTCTGTATTGTCTTTTAGCTGTCCGATAGTAAGGTATATTGTATATACGTTATATACGTTGAATCAACTAATTTAGTTTCCAGTCAAGCCTGGAAGAGCGAGAAAGCACTGCGAGGTACGCTGCCCCAGTATTCCTGGAAGGACCATTGGGAGTAGGTGAAATCAAATTCGTCCCCCGATCGGTCCAGCAAAGACCTTGGGACTCTGCTCTTGGTACCGACCACATGAAACAAGATGTGGCAGCATGTGTAGACTGTTTACATATGATTGTGGATGATTGGAGATGCACAAATGGCGTGCCTGGGAAAGCTAAATCCTAAAAGCGCTAAAGTAGATCTGATCTGTCTGACATCCTGAGCAAGGCACATGGAAACCAGAATCCCAAAGATCCAAATGACAAAAATCAACATGACGCCAACCCAGAAAAGTGTTTTCACCGTCTCTGCCACCGCCCCAATGACAATCCAAAGCTCTCGGAGTTCCTGGTCACTGCTTGTCAATGGTGACAAGCAAACAAAATCAGAAAATGAACAACAACACCTATTTGCCCCAAGTTTTTGTCCCGAGTTTTCATCCCGAGTTTGGGTAATGTTTCCCATAAGCCAAACCCCAAAATCCAAAAACGGGTGGTGCAAAAAAAAATCGGTTTCCAAAGCTTTGTTCTTGTAATACCACCAACGCTTCCTTAGTTGCTTGCCAATGCCTGACAGCTGGACCCATGCGAATAATTCGGAAGCCGCTAACCAGGCGAAGGCCCGATTCTATTCCCACAAGCGACAACAACCAGACGTCCAGAATCCTCAAGACAACCAGCACTGTGTCTATGCAATTCCTGGGCGCTCGGTTGGAGATCCAAACTCACACCATCAGACCATCAGGATTTGCGCGGATGAAAAACTGGAGAACTCCAAGCAACATCAAACAACACAGAAACAAATGAAACAAGTTTGCCCCACTTGCCCCAAGATTCACAATATCCAGTTTATACTTCACCTTGGTCTTCTCACCACAGAAAAACCGTCTTGGTTTTGCTTCAGCGAGACGAATACCGTTTTCGGCCAAGGGTAGAATCGTGAAAATCTGGGTGAGCAACTCCCAGATTGGTTCAGACTCACAGCGCCCAATATTGCATTTGTAGTCAGCTTCCAGGCCCAACTCCACCAAATTAGCAAGTGCCAAAACAGCAGATAGAGTTTGAAAGAACCGGCCTTTCGTTTTCAGCTCCGGATCAATGACTTGTGCAACAGAGGCTAGCGGTTTCCGAAAAATCCTGGGCTGTGGTGAAGGTCGGGGAAACAATCGCGGGTCAGCCGGGGGGCTAAAAGAATCTGTGCAACAGAAGCATGATGAAACAATATGAAACATGAAGGTCCTGGAACGTCAATTTTCCAGAAACAAAACCCTAGAAAACTGGGAACTCTGTAGCATTCTGTAGCCAAGAATCTCTTGCTCCTCATTGCCAAAGAGCCTAATTGAACCTTCTGAGCTGTCATCACTCCCAGAGAAGTCGCTGGTTCCTTTGCTTCGTTTGCTGGAAAATTCGCTTCGGGTTGAAGATCTCTTTGCATCCTCTGCCATCTCTACGTTGCCATGGACACGCAGCAGGGCCCGAGCAAGTCATTTCCAAGGGTACTGTAGGAGCCAAATCCAACGGTGCAACAAACTGTGAAACTGTGACGAATGAGACAGCAAGGAACGGAACAGAAAGACACTATGAAATTGCACAGCGCACTGCGAGACTGAGAAAAAAACTATATAAAGGGGTAGCAACAACAACAACAACAACAACAACAACAACCAACAACCAACAACCAACAACCAACAACCAACAACCAACAACCAACAACCAACAACCAACAACCAACAACAACAACAACAACAACCAACAACCAACAACCAACAACCCACAACCGACAACCGACAACCGACAACCAACAACCAACAACCAACAACCAACAACCAACAACCAACAACCAACCACCAACCACCAACCACCAACCACCAACCACCAACCACCAACCACCAACAACAGCAACCAACAGCAACCAACAGCAACCAACAGCAACCAACAACAACCAACAACAACCAACAACAACAACAACAACAACCAACAACAACCAACAACAACCAACAACAACAACCAACAACAACCAACAACAACCAACAACAACAACAACAACCAACAACAACAACGACAACAACAACAACGACAACGACAACGACAACGACAACGACAACGACAACGACAACGACAACGACAACGACAACGACAACAACAACAACAACAACAACAACAACAACAACAACAACAACAGAGCAGGCGGGCGACATTCTGGGCAACAACAGCAACCCTTGGGGCATCGCCTGTGTGCGAAGCTCTACAATAAACCTACGAATCACGTCAAACTCGGAGTCTGAAAACACGCACCTCACGGCATGCACCTTCCGAAAGGCAGCTTCCAAAGTCCAGTGCTCTTTCATCATGAGATACCTCAGCTGTTGTATTGCCACTTCAAAGCCCTATCAAGACCGAGGTTCTCAAAATTCAAAAAGGCATGAGTGGAAAGAGCAATGGATACGAGCAGTGAGAGTAGAGACTGGTGTTCATTTTCTGTTCTGGAACCCCAGCATGACTCACGGCTTGTGATGACTCCATGGAAGTGAGATTGTCCAAAACTGCCAGGGCAAGCGATCTTTCATTTTAGTCCAGCAGAGAACGGGTTTGGAGCTCTCTCTCTCTCTCTCTCTGCGCTATGCAAATACCAGCAAGATCCCGTAAGCTTGAAGTAGCAAAAAGAGATGAAAATCAAGAGGGAAGTAGCTTGAAAGTCCATCGAAATCCTTGGGAAGCTTTTGCACGACCTCTCCGCTGAAATCATCTGAAATCCAAGCGACGCTATGCAAGATGTGGAGGCACGTGAAACGCCAGCAGCGCAATGCACCGCAACACCACCTTTGCCTCTGCCAGCCTTCGGTGGCAACACTTCTACCCGACTCATGCATCATACAGCACCACATAGCACTGCGGACCTGACATGAAAAGAAGAGTACAGTAACTTATAAACACTTATAAATATCATAATGTTACATGCCTGTTACAACCAAGTAGTGATGTGCAATGTGGTTATTTTGTGTTTATGTTCGTTAAGGAGATCATCGGAGTGTCGGAATGCAACTAACTATGCCATTGAGAACAGCCAAGGCTGCCATCGACATCGACACTGTTCCGCCTCGATGAAGTCAGCAATCTCTTGGAAGTGCACACTGAGATTGCCTTGGTGACTGGAGTTGCTCAAAGAAATCCCTCACACCTTTTACCCGGAGATACCCTGAGATAAAACAATAGGGTGAAAATGGTGAAAAAATATGGAAAATTGGATGGAAAAGAAAATGGAAATGGATCGAACCTCCAGGTTTTATGGCATTATGGCTCCTCTGTGAGCAAATTGTGCAGTTATAGGGCCAAATTCGCGCAACAGCTGCTGTGGAGAGCAAGGTCTTGCACCACCATCTGTAGATATTTGTAGGTACCTGTAAATATCTGGTACCGCTTGGATCCAGCCTTCATGGAGGAATGCTGCTGGGAAATGTCAAAAAGATTCTTGTTCTTAAAAGATGGTTGAAAAGTTGAAACGGCAACAAAGCATCGTGATGTCCAGTTCCAACTGCACCACAAAGGATGTCCACCTGAAAGCATTTGAGACCAGGCTGCATTCTTCACAATCATCGGCACCGATGATCTTCACATCGAATTTCTTTGGCAGGTCTTCCAACTTTGTCTCTCCAGGTTTCTCAGTAGCACAAGCATCAAACCAACAAATTTCCCACTCTGGTCCACTGATCCACTCTTGCCCCTCAGCTATATACCTAGGAAAAGAACACATCACCACTGACACGAAGTGCTGTGTAATGAAACAGGTATAATGAAACAAGCACAAAGTTTAACAGGATCATACAGGATCTTTAGGTCAGGTCAACCTAGGGTGTGCCACGCCTTACGGTCAAAGGGTGCTGCCAGGGGACAACCCCTATGCCACTGTACAACCTGTCCTGCGCAGCGTTGAGGATGCACTTGATGCCTTGCAGCAGAGTAAATTGGCGGATGTATGCAAATGTCCTTTGATTGTCTTGAGCTTCTGTTGGGCCCTGGGCTGACTCAAATGTAGAGGTGCTGTTCACAAGTTAGTTATATACAGGATGGGGCATCTCCCAGTAGGTCAGTTGAATAGTGCCGGACTACACAAGACTGCAGCTGTTTGCGGCGTTTAGAAGACCATGACATGATACTCAAGCAGACTGAGCACCTAGTCGTCTGAGGTGTTTCTCGTCTGTCAGGGCATCCACGCCACAAATGAAGAAGGCCTGGGAGCCACGAGGCCAATACTGTAGGCGATACTTCGGCAGCACTTAAGGACTTAAGGTACTACTAGCAACCACCCGACTAGATAACTAGCTCTCATGGATGCGTCGTGCTGGGTCTCATTTTATCTTTTTGCACATGTGTATACGCACTGTATACGCGTGCGTTTGCGATTCATCCACGCACACGCAAAATGTCCAACAATGAACAATGTGCCCATGTCATAATATCATGTAATATCCATGTGCGTGTCTAGCTAAGGGCCCCCGCCCAATTCAAGAACATGTTTGGTACAGCTGACACAGCAGGCAGTCTCCAATAATGTCAACTCAAACAACGAGATGCTTGTGGCCAACGCCTCATCGATCTTGCAAACGCCTTGGTTCTTTCATCCCGACACATGCCCTGCCCAATAGGAAAAAAAAAACGTCATCACGCAAATTTCAAAGCACGCACTCCCGCAACAGCTCTAATTCTAATGACATCTAATGACACCGTGCGACAACTCCTCACAACAGTTACAAATCCTCAAGCGCCTGTGGTGAGTATTGGCTCAAACCTTGCTCATCTAAGAAACATTCCCGCAGGAATTCTTTGCCATTCCGAAGCTTCTCCAACAAATCCGCCCACCGCTCTGGCGGTGAAGGCGTGCTTATTGGGGGGCAAACAGCTACACTAAATGCTCAATCACATTTGTTAATATAGCAGTCGCTATATCAGCTTTAGCTGGGGGGGGGCACAAAAACGGTTTCGCACCGAGACCAGAATACGGTGGTGTTTTCGACATTTTTCGAGGATTTTTGGGTGTCTGAGCGCAAGAGGGTATTGAAATGGAATTTTGGGTCATTTTGGTAGCTTTCCGGCAATGGAAAAACGGCCAAAAATGAAAAAACACATTGTACATAGCAAGATTTTGCAGGGTTTTTGGATGCCAGAGCATTGAAAACACTGCAAAAACAAGTGTTTTGGACTGACGTTATAGCAAAAAACGTGTAAATTACCGTATGCTTGACTGGGAACATTACAAAAACACTGTCAAAAACAATGTTTTGGAAGGATTTACTGCCTTTATGGCAAAAAACGTGTAAATTACCTTCTGTTTGACTGGAAACATTGGAAAAACACTGTCAAAAACAATGTTTTGGAAGGATTTCTTATATATATGTTGGAGTGGGCTACCGGCATTGGAACATGGAAAAATTGAAGAAAACACTGTAAATAGCGGTATTTTCAACGGTTGGGGAGATAAGGGAATTGGAAGCATTGTCGAACATGATGTTTTCGACCGGTTTTATGGCGACAAAAGTGTAAAGTAACGTGCTTTGAAGGAAACCAGAAACCATTGCAAAAACATGGAAACACATTCAAAGAACACGGGATTTGGGGGATTATCTAGGCGTCGTTGTCTAGCTATTTGAAATTCCGCAGCTTGGAGCGCCTCCAAGGGAGGGAAAAGTGAAAATTCCATAGCTTGGGAAGCTGTCACGGCGGGGAAAAGTGAAAAGTCCCTAGCTTGGGAAGCCCCCACGGGGGGGAAAAGTGAAAATTCCCTAGCTTGGGAGCCCCCACGGGGGGGAAAAGTGAAAATTCCCTAGCTTGGGGAGCCCCCACGGGGGGGAAAAGTGAAAATTCCCTAGCTTGGGGAGCCCCCACAGGCGGGAAAAGTGAAAATTCCCTAGCTTGGGGAGCCCCCACCGGGGGGGAAAGTGAAAATATTCACGAACCCAGCTGTTATGTATGTCAATTCTCCTGTGCTGCTCTGCTCCTCATATTCCACACCACCCTTAGCCCCTCTCACGGACCGAAATAAACCTGCGGTGTGGGCGGCCACCCCACGCGAAGCGGGGTGAATAGTACCAAATGTTTAATCGCGAGGCCCCTGTCGGCTGATGAGTCTGTGTTATTGAGCCTGATAATGAATTTCCAAATGGGTTCGAACAGTTGACGAGGCACTCTTCCCAGCTCCCATTGTGGCGGCTGCTGGCAGGAATTTTGGAAATCTGCCGTGTGTTCAAATGACTTCAGTAACTTTAAACATACCAACTGCAAATTTCAGACACTCCAGTTGCGCAAAACTATGCAAAGCTTGTCTGCAAAAGCCACCCCTCCAATGACGCATGTCTGAGTTCGAGGTTGTGGATGATTGCCGGATGTTGTTCTTTTGTTTGCTTCATTGCAGGGGCCATATTGGCTCGCAAGCAGCCCACAAAGTTTGTCCACACAACATGAGATGGCATTGATGGCCATCAACAACAGTGAGCGAGGGTAAGCCTGCTAGCTACACCAGTAGTTGGTTCTTCCGTTCCTGTTGGGATACATCTACAAGTCAAGGCCACTTTTTTCTCTGCCGTCATGGCACTTCGGCTCCTGCTATGGGGGCCGCGAGAGAAGGAACTGCAGGAAATCTGGGACAAGGCACCAAAAACCTTTGGAAAACCGAATTCTGTTCTCCTCTCAACTAATATATAAACTCAATGTCTTGATTTTGGACAGGGGAAAAGTTCTGCTTGTTTTTTGGAATGCAGGCGCAGATTTCCTGTGTCCCGTTTGCTGTATCTCAAAGGGTCTTTAAACAATTTTGGCAGGCGGTGAAAAGCACAGTCCTTGCGGGGTGAAGCAAAAATTAGCACATACCTTCCCATATCTTCCCGTCAAATGTGCATGTGACGTGTTTGAAAATGAAACTGGTTCTGGAGGCGTAGCTTCAACCACAAGGCTGTCACTGGGCACTCGCGCTGACTTAAAGCCTTAAAGTGGGTAGCGCTGTCACCTTAATGACACACCCGGCCCCATATCAACCGTTTGCAGGAGGCCGTAAAACCATCACACAAAGAAGATGGCAGAGCTACATGAATTCGAACAGGAACCTCCAATGGTCAGAGGATGTCAGAGGCATATTTGCATTGCAACCTATGCAACTGTCTACTCAGAGTTACTCAGCCTTCTGTGGACACACCATTCGTTGACCTTGGGTCTCAATGTGCTCGCACGAGTTGAGGGCCGAGCCGACCCATTTCACTCGCAGTTTCGCCCCCAACAACAGTAGTCAACAGTGACCCTTCAGACCTCTTTTTCTCTTTGCGGAGTCGAGCCAATCAGCTTCGACTGGCGCGTTCCCTAGGCCCTAGGCCAAATAACCCTTGGCCTTCTCACCCTTCGCCCCTTGGAAGGCTTGCTGCTTCTTCTCTGGGTGCATAGCAAACCACCAATTGAGGATGATGTTCCGATCCTCAGAGCCTTCCACCTGACTTTTGGCCCAAGCTGTTGAAGCCCAGCCATGAGAACAAACAAGGGCTGAAATGGATGAAAATCATTGAATTTCAACCCATGGATTCCATTCATTCTACACATTTCCTTCCTGACTCATCTGATCTCCAGAACCAAGCAGGGCATCCAACTAGTGCAGTTTGGTGACACAATGCCACCATCCGCTTGGTAAGTAGAAGAGGTCTCCCTTCTCGACGCAAACCTCCAGTGGACCAGCGGCTCGCTGCAGCAACGGATATCGCGCCTGATCTTCAGACCCAAGCTCCTAAGGAGTCAAAACCAAAGCGTCAGCGAACTTGGCCCGTTGCCCCCTAACCATATGTAATCAATCCAAGAAATCTACTGTAATCACATCATATCACATCACGCCTGCCCCGCACGATCTACCAATCAGTTCACCAATCATTGATTGTCACTTGATCCTGGTTCATCACCCCGGTTCCTGGAAACTCCGAAATGGCAAAATGGAGGAGCGGCTAAAGTCCATGCTGGCACCCCGGTCCTGCAGAACTTCGGATCTTTGCCGACTGTTTGGGGGCACTTTGCATTTGGAGGAAAAACATTTAAACATCTATATACATCCAAATGCGTGCTGTATCCATGTCCATATCCTATCATATCACATCGAATACGTCACGCCGTATCATTTCATCTCGTGACATATCAAATCAAATCGTGTCAAATCATATGCTTTACATGGCGTCATATCAAATCATGTCCTTTCATATCATAAAACATAATGTCATATCACACACATGATGTCGTACGTACCGCATCATACCGTATCAAATCAAAACATATGCATGACGTCATATCAAATGAATATCACAGTGCATTGTATCATATCATGTCAAATCATATCGTATCGTATCGTATCACAAATCGCGTCGTATCGTATCACATGACATGGCGTTACATCGCAGCGTGTCGCATTTTAATGGCACTATACCATTTGATATCGTATGACCGAAGGAACTTTGGACTTTGGAAGTCAAACTTCCAACAATATGGACAGATGGAAAAGCAGAGGTGGGACGAGTCAGAGAAGAGAAGAGAAGAGAAGTGAAGTGAAGTGAAGTGAAGAGAAGAGAAGAGAAGAGAAGAAGAAAGAAGATCAGAGAAGAGAAAGAGTCAGAGGAAAGAGTCAGAGGAAAGAGTCAGAGGAAAGAAGATGCAGGCGCGCGAAAAGGTAGAAAAGTCGCGAAACAATATGTGTTTCCAATGGTTTGTGTCTCCGGAGGGTCGAAAAGTAGGCTCGCTAAAGCGACGGGTGCGGAGCCATCTGGCCGGATGAAGGAAAAATTGCACGCCGTTGTGGTCGAAGCACATGTCGCAGTCAAAAGTTAAACCAGACTCTCTCAGACCACTTTTGGAAGTTGAGGTGGTGAAAACATGCACACCGTTGTGGCGCGAAGCACATTTCCAAGTCAAAATGTACAAAACACACCATTCTCGGAGCACTCTTGGAAGTTGAGATGATGAAAAAGTGCACACCGTTGTGGCGCGAAGCACATTTCCAAGTCAAAATGTGCAAAACGCACCAGGTCCGGAACATTTCTGGAAATTGAGATGTCGAAAAAGTGTACGCCGTTGTGGCGCGAAGCACGTTTCCAAGCCAACATGCTAAAAACGCCACATGTTCGGACCACTTTCGGACGTTCAAATGTCTTCGCGTGGCAGGGGCAAGGGATTGTGCACCTTGTCAAAAATGAGCAAAACGTGAAGGTTTTGTAGCGGTTTCAAAAGGATTGGCAGGCGTGGGACATTTGAAGAGGATCTGCAAAGATGCATTTTCCGTGGCCGGCGCAATACAAGCGACATGTTCATCAGAGATGTTCGGAGGTCAGGGTGCTGACCTCCTGAGCGGGGTTGCATTTTGGAGCATCAGGTCTTCAGGTTAGATGATTTTGCGTGACAGGTGCAACACTTTGTATGACCTGGCCGCACTTTTTTCGTGGCAGGCGCAATACTTTAGACAGATGGTGATGGAATGGAAAAATTTCAAAATGCATTGGCACGAAGCCGTCAGCTCTGCATTCAACTTTCCATTTTTGAAGGAAGTCTCGCAGAACTGCTTCGTTTTTGATGCTGGGAACTTCAAAAATTGAGGAAGTCACGCAGTATAGCTTTGCTTTTGACGTTGTCAAGTTCAAAAATTGAGGAAGTCTCGCAGAATTGCTGCGTTTTTGATGTTGTCAAGTTCAAAAATTGAGGAAGTTCAAGCTTGCAGGTTGCAAATAGACAGATAAATGGATAGACAGCTACAACTACAACTACCACTACACTACACCACACCACTACTACAAATAAAAATAAACTACGCTACATTACCCTACACTAATTACACAGCACTGCACTAATTACATCTAATTACACGACACTGCACTAATCACACTACAACAGCAACAACAACAACAACTACTACTACTACTACCACCACCACCACCACAGCTACAACTACAATTACAACTACATTACACAATGCTACACTACACTAAGTACATTACTTTACACTGCAACTGCAACTACAACTGCGACGCAACTACACTACACTAATTCCACAACATTACAACTGCATCTTGCAACTTACAACTACGACTCCGCTACACTACACTACAACTACAACTGCAACTACAACTACAACTGCAACTGCGCTACGCCACACTACGCCACACTACATCCAGCAGTTGTGGCGAGGTGACCGCTACAAACATTGCAACCACTCCAAAAAACACAACCACCTTTCGGTCCACAAGGGGATTCGCTCTGCCATCCATGCATCATAACAACTCACCTCTCCTATAGTTTCCTATCTTTGAAACTTCCGCCACCGCCTTGCGCGGTACTACTGGTAAATCATATCATAGACATGACGTCATCTGATGTAGTATCATATCATATCATGTACATTTCGTCAAATCAAATCATATTATATCATATCACATCGGATCGTATCATACAAAAAGCACATGCATCATGAATCATGACATATCAAATAATATCAAATTGTGTCATATCAGATCATATCGTATCACATTCGATCAAATCGTAGCCTATCGCATCACACACAAGACGTCATATCGTATCGTGCTGTTTCATGTCACCATATCGTGTCATATGAATCATGTCATTTTTCCCCAGAGCGTCTGAGCGAAGGGTTCTTCTAATAGTCGGGGCCTGTCAAACATTTTTCACATACTCACATCGTCTCATCTTCACATCCTCACATCTTCACATCTTCTCATCCTCACACCCTCACATCTTCACATCTTCTCATCCTCACATCCTCACATCTTCACATCCTCACATCTTCACATCTTCTCAGCTTCACATCTGCTCATGCTCACACCTTCTCATCTTCACATCTGCTCATCTTCACATCCTCACATCTTCGCTCACATCTTCACATCTTCACATCTTCACATTCTCTCTTGCCCTCTTGCTCTCTTGCCCTCTTGCTGTCTCCTTCTTTTCTATTTCTCTCTTGAAGGCGCGGGGCAGTGCCAACGAGACGGCACGAAACGCAACCCTTTCGCACGAAATGAGGTTCGATCGACAAAAAACTGAGGTAAAATTGCAAATTTACAACCTCCGCGGTAACCCTGTGTGTAAAAGTGTCTCTGTGTAAAAGTTTCTATGTGCACACGTGTCTGTATGTAAAAGCATCTGTGTGTGTGTGTCACCGCGTCTGTGTGTATAAGCTTCTGTGTCTAAACGTGTTTGTGTAAACGCGTCTGTGTGTAAACGTGTCTGTGTGTAAAAGCTTCTGTGTGCAAAAGCTTCTGTGTGTAAAAGCGTCTGTGTGTAAAAGCGTCTGTGTAAACGCGTCTGTGTGTAAAAGCGTCTGTGTGCAAAAGCTTCCGTGTGTTAAAGCTTCTGTGTGTAAAAGCTTCTCTGTGTAAAAAAGCGTCTGTGTGTAAAAGTGTCTGTGTGTAAAAGCGTCTGTGTGTAAAAGTGTCTGTGTGTAAAAGCTTCTGCGTGTGTGAAAACTTCTATGTGTAAAAGCGTTTGTATGTAAAAGTGTTTGCGTGTAAAAGTGTCTGCGTGTAAAAGCGTCTGTGTGTAAAGGCGTCTGTGTGTAAAAGCCTATGTGTGTAAAAGTGTCTGCGTGTAAAAGCTTCCGTGTGAAAAGTGTCTGTGTGTAAAAGCTTCTGTGTGTAAAAGTGTCTGTGTGTAAAAGCTTCTGCGTGTAAAAGCGTCTGTGCGTAAAAGCGTCTGTGTGTAAAACCGTCTGTGTGTAAAAGTCTCTCTGTGTAAAAACTTCTGTGTGTAAAAGCTTCTGTGTGCAAAAGCGTCTGTGTAAAAGGTTCTGTGTGTGAAAAACTATAGGAAGGATAGGATGCAAACTATTGTCTTGTACTTGAAATATATTGTCTTGATACTACTCTTCTCGTCTGCCTATAATACATCTTTAATATATTGTCTTGCAATATAGTGTCTCAATACTAACAACAGAAGACCCTGCTCCTTCTTAAGCCCTCCGGCCATCCGTCGTCTAGTTGATATACACAGACTTTTCCATATGGTAGAAAACACGGACCTGGCTGTCCTTCGAGATAGGATACACAAACCTGGCATCCCCTGGAGGGTAGAGCCACACACGCTTTCGACCGCACAGGCACACCATCAGATTCCTGTGCAGTTGGAGGTCTGCCACGCAACCCAGGCAGAGCCCCGGATCCAAGCACTTCGAAATCCACCTATATCTAGGTGTGAACTTGCAGCATGAAGGGTTCTGCCGCCATAAGTTTCATGGATGCAAGTGCTACAAATATGATACCAGCCACATTTCTCTGTCGGGCTATTCTGGCTAGGCGTCTCATGAGCATCATAGTGAACTGATGTAGTGTTTCGTCCACAGCCAAAGTAGGTGAAAACGCCCTCCGGCAGCAAGTCACCAAAACAGCTGCTGTACTCCTGGCGACGCTGAAACTCAGATTTGGCTGCCCTGTGGCAGTTCCCAATGGCTATCGGCAAATGTACTTGAAAATCTGAAGGAAGTGGCTATCCCGCATAGAAACTTGAGGCCCAAGGGTAAGTGACAAAAGCTAGCTTGGCAGATAGCTTGGCATGAAAACACTTAGTATTACTCACAATCTTGTCTGTGGTAAGGTCTATTAAATCCAAAACAAGGCTGCCCATGTTTTGGTATAGACTGAAGGGGACACATTGAAGGGAAATCAATGTCACATATGAAGAGAACACAAATAGATCACGCGCGTGCACATAATGAGGAAACTCCCACTCAGTAGCGCTAAACGGGAAGAAGATTCAAGGCCCACCTTCAGCATTGGAGTGGTCCCTTCAAGGCTTAGAAGTTGCAAGAGAAGATTGGAAGGGCGGCTAGGTAGGACCAGCGCAATAGCTCCAGAAGGATCTTTGCAAACTCATCTGTATGAAGGAATATTCGAAGGAAGTTTAGAAGTCAAACTTCCGACAATATGGACAGATGAAAAGGAGAGCAGGGAAGAGGCAGAGAGAAGAGGAAGATTAGAAGAAAGAAGAGTAGAAGAGAAAGAGTAAGAAGAAAGAAGATGCAGATGCGCGAAAAGGTGGGAAAGTCGCGAAACACTGTGTTTTTCCAATGATTTGTGGCTCCGGAGGGTCGAAAAGTAGGCTCGCTAAAGCGGCGGGTGCGGAGCTGCTGGCCAGATGAGCGATAAAAAATTGCACGCCGTTGTGGCGCGAAGCACATTTCCAAGTCAAAATGTACGAAACACACCATGGTCGGACCACTTTTGGAAGTTGCGATGTCGAAAAAGTGCACGCCGTTGTGGCGCGAAGCACATTTCCAAGTGAAAATGTGCAAAACACCTCAGCGTCGGACCACTTTTGGCAGTTGAGATGTCGAAAAAGTGCACGCCGTTGTGGCGCGAAGCACATTTCCAAGTGAAAATGTACAAAACACACCATGTACGGACCACTTTTGGCAGTTGAGATGTCGAGAAAGTGCACGCCGTTGTGGCGCGAAGCACATTTCCAAGTGAAAATGTACAAAACACACCATGTACGGACCACTTTTGGCAGTTGAGATGTCGAAAAAGTGCACGCCGTTGTGGCGCGAAGCACATTTCCAAGTGAAAATGTACAAAGCACAACATGTACGGACCATTTTTGGAGGTTCAGATGTCTTTTAGCGTGGCAGGCGCAAGAGATTGTGGACCTTGTCAAATGTGAGCAAAACGTGAGGGGGTTGTAGCATTCAATTACAACCACCACTACACTACACTACACTCCAATACATTACATTACACTACATCTACAACTACAACTACACCTTCACTACATTCTACTACACTACACTCCACTACACTACACTGCACTCAATTACATTCAATTACACTACACTACATTACACTACACTACACTCCACTACACTACACTACATTACACTACACTACATTACACTACACTACACTACCTTCCGCCACACTACATTACACTACACTACACTCCACTACACTACAACTACACCTACAGCTACACCCCACTACACTAAATCACACTACAGTACATTACACTACACTACACTACATTCCACGACGCTTCACTACACTACACTACATTACACTACACTGCATTACACTGAATGACACTGCACCACAGATAGACAGGTAGACAGATAGACAGATACATAGATAGATAGATAGATAGATAGATAGACAGGTAGACAGATAGACAGATAGACAGATAGACAGACGAAAGAGAGACAGGTAGACAGATAGACAGATAGATAGATAGATGGATAGACAGGTAGACAGATAGACAGGTAGACAGATAGACAGATAGATAGACAGATAGACAGATAGACAGATAGATAGATAGCTAGATAGCTAGATAGATAGATAGCTAGATAGATAGATAGATAGATAAATAGCTAGATAGATAGGTAGTCAGAGAAAGAGAGAGAAAGAGAGAGAGAGAGACCTCAACCACCTTTCGGTCCATCAGTGGCTTCGCTCTGCCATCCGTGATTCACAACAACCAATCTCTCCTATAGGTTTCCTATTTTTGAAACTTCCGCCACCGCCTTGTGCGGTACTACTGGTATGTCCAAGTCAAGCTTGACATTTCGAGAACTGACTGGAAACTACATGTGAAAGTTCGAAACGAGAATGAAGCTACTTTTTAGAGCTAGCCATGAACATGCCAATAGTGAGCGACGCTGCACCAGTGACTTGAAGCATGCGCCGTTAATGATGTTGAGGATGCGGATGCTGCCGATTTTGCATGCCGGACGGTATCCCGGGGGGGTTGAGCCACCACCAAACTGTTTGTGACAGGAGGGAAGGGGTGTTAGTTAACTATGGAGTTTCATGCGATTTCAGATTCCAGCCCCCCCAATACCTTGCTAAAGCAAGAGGGACTTCAGCTAGCAGAAGCTAGCTTTCGTGATGAATATTCTGTTCGCCAACACTCTGAGAAAGATATGGAAAAATCAAGTCGCGGTAGACTGTGTGATGCTTTTCAAGGAAACAATCTCAAAGGCCATCATTTGTGCATTCCGTGATCAAGTGATCAAATAAGATTCCATCGCATAATCGTCTGCGAAGCCCCACGGCCTGTTGCGGGCTCGTTTTGGCCGCATTCACCTCCTCAGCCAGCTCAGGCAGCTCAGCGCGTAACGGAACCTTCCCCAAGTAGTAGGGCATGGGACTCTCGCCTCCGGGGCAGAAAATTGTTCTTGTCAAATGGCAAATATTTACTGATTTAATTACTGGACCTGATCTGAAATGTTGAAATTGATGTGGCGATTTTGTGGATGACCATTTGTTTGAGACAAATGCATACAAATGTCAGGATGGGAGCATCCAAAAACATCCAAACGTCCTCGCTCACAGGCTTCCACAGCATCCAAGTAGGCAGAAAAGGGCAACTTCAATTCCTCAGCACTTCCAGAAAAACAGCGCAAGGAATGTTCAGCACAACACATCAGGAGACCTTTCGCCGATTGCGGTCTCAATGCTCAGAGCGGGGCCGGGTCTGTCATGAATTGCAGGCGGCCAGCACCGTCCTGAAAGCCCAGGCTCTTCACCAGCACCTGGCCAAAATTTGCAGCGCGACATTATCCTCTTTCTCCTTCTCCTTCATCTTCTTCTCCTTCTCCTTCATCTCCTTCTCCTTCTCCATCTCCTCCTTCTTCTTCTCCTTCTTCTTATTCTTCTTCTCCTTCTCCTTCTCCTTCTCCTTCTCCTTCTCCTTCTCCATCTCCTCCTTCTTCTTCTCCTTCTTCTTATTTTTCTTCTCCTTCTTCTTCTCCTTCTCCTTCATGCCCTTCTCCTTCTCCTTCTCCTTCTCCTTCTCCTTCTCCTTCTCCTTTTCCTTCTCCTTCTCCTTCTCCTTCTCCTTCTCCATCTCCTCCTTCTTCTTCTTCTCCTTCTTCTTATTCTTCTTCTCCTTCTTCTTCTCCTTCTCCTTCATGTTCTTCCCCTTCTCCTTCTCCTTCTCCTTCTCTTTCTCCTTCTCCTTCTCCTTCTTCTTCTCCTCCTTCTTATTATTTTTCCCTTATTCTTCTTATTTTTCTTCTTCTTCTTCTTCTTCTTCTATTCTTCTTCTTCTTCTTCTTCTTCTTCTTCTCCTTCGTCTTCTTCTTCTTCTTCTTCTTCTTCTTCTTTGTCTCCTTCTTATTATTCTTCTCATTCTCATTCTGCTCCTTCTTCTTCTTCTCCTTCTTCTTCTTCTCCTTCTCCTTCTCTTTCTCCTTCTCTTTCTCCTTCTCCTTCTCCTTCTCCTTCTCCTTCTCCATCTTCTCCTCCTCCTTCTCCTTATTTTTCCTGTTATTATGGTTCTTCTTCTTTTCCTTCTCCTTCTCCTTCTCCTTCTCCTTCTCCTCCTCCTCCTCATCCTCCTTCTTCTTCTTCTCCTCCTTCTCCTCCTCCTTCTCCTTCTGCTTCTCCTTCTCCTTCATCATCATCATCATCATCATCGTCATCATCACCATCGTCACCATCACCACCCTCGTCGTCAGCGTCATCTTCATGGTCATCGTCATCATCCTGATCACTAAAATCCTACAACATGCTAAGGCATTTTTTCGTTGATTGGCAAGCTGTGCTTGAGAAGAGGATGAGGTGAAAACAGTTTCATAAAGAGCTTCCACATCATTCTTCAATGGACCCATGCGATCCCTGCAACCCCTATGACTGAGTGTCAGACCCGCCGGTGGCTACACTTTCTCCTCAAAAAGGTGAAGTCCGGCAGCGTTGCTGCAGGCTGAAAGCGCTCAGGGGGGAAGGCCCCCCTTATGACCTCAGCCCTTTGTTCAAAACATTTCAAAAACACTTCACATCAACTGCCGTCTGGATAATCTTTCGCACACCCTTTTCTACATCTGGACGCGTGTGGATCATTTTTGATATGTTGTGAGTCTATTCTCCAATCATCCATGCAAATCCCTGGGGGTGGTGTTGCACATGCTGCCGAGACGCCACAGGTGTCCCTGTCAAAACATAACGAGTGAAGAAGGCTTCAGCAGAAGGCAACTCATGCAAAACTTGGACCTTGGCTTTCATCAAACCAGAACTCTTTCAATCTCCCTTGGAATTTTGTGGTGCACCCAAACCCCTGGATTCTTTGGAGGGACGCCTTTGAGGTACAAACACTCTGAAGATGTTTGGGACTCAATGCTTGACACGTATGAACTGAGACATGTTACTTGCTGCCCTTATGATCTCCAATATCATTGCACTATTTGAACCATGCTTTAGCAGGTCTGGAAAATTGACACGGTTGCTTGCGGGATGACAAGGGGTTCGAATTTGCTTCCACGACAGGGCTTCTAGAGAACCAGACAGGTAATCTTTATATGCGTATGAGGTATATATATATGTGTGTGTGTATATATATATATATATATTATTATTATTACTATATATATATATATGCATAAGAAATTTATGCGTATAACAAGAATCCATGCATGCAAAGTGGACGCAGTAATTCTCTAAAGAATGGCACTGTTTTTTAACAACCTGGATTGTCTGCTTCTTTCAGGGAGAAATTGAAATGAGTATCTCTTGCATCTGAAAAGTTGCGGGTCAAAACGTCAAGACTGGATGACCTTACCACTTGTCACTTTGTCGCTGTTTGAAGGCCCAAAATGCCACCAATGATTGCGAAGCCTTGATGTGCGCTTCTGCTTCTACCCGACGAACACCCCTTGGCTATTCACTTTGATGTTCTTGAAAATCTTGCTGGCGCCGAGGCCAAGGAACTTCACTGGGCACATCCAGGCCCCGAAGCAAATCCGCGTGAATCCCGAGCTGGGCCATCCTCAGGCTGCCCGGAGTCGGAAATCCGAGAACTATTTTCTATTTCTATTGGTTTGGTTTGTATAGCTCATGAGATCTACAAATGGCGAAAGATTACAAGATCGATTCACACGGTGGACCCCTGAATTCCAAAGCCTTCCCAGTCCTGAATAAGCACAAAATGGAAGGCACCGCGGGAACCACAGGCACCGTTTCTCCTGTCAGGAGCTCTTGCAGGAACTCTGCTGAAGACGAGGGGATGCTGCCTGGAAACAGAGCTGGCGACTGGGGAATTTGCAGGACGTGGCAAAAGCGTTGAATAGCTTTGAAAGCTCGGAATGTCTATTTGCAATGGAGCTGCAAGGCATTAATTACACTTTATCTGACTTTCATCCCAACAAGTGACATGAAATGACATCAAATAACATCAAATGACATGAAATGACATGAAATGACATGAAATGATTTATGACACGAAATGACATGAAATGATTTATGACATGAAATGACATGAAATGACAAGCATGTCCCAACGAAGTTCCTCCATTCTTCCCACCTTTCGATGTGGCTTGCTGGAGCATCTGAGCACACTGCTGCAAGAGCTGCAATTGCCCGTCACCGGAAAACTTTGCTGCCTCCACAGGATTGGGAAAAGCTATTGGGAGTTGGCAAGCAGCTTCCAAACGCAAAGAGACCGAATGAAATTACCAGCCAGTACTGTAACTGGCTCACACTGGAACACTGCACCTGCGACACTTCCTTGACACGCAGTTCTCAATTTCCTGTCCTTGAAAACCCTTCAGCTATCATCCAGACAAAACCCGGACAATTCGTTTGCAATGCTCATATCATGCAGGCCGTGTCGTCGGCCCCGCGCTGCAGCTGCTCTTCAGCTGTGGCATGGCGCTTTGGCAGCTGCTCAATCCCAAGGGCCTTTCCAAACAGGTGAAGGGGGTTAAACGATTTTTGTTGACACGAGAAGAAAACCTAGACGACGGATGGCCCGAGAGCGTAGAGGAGCAGGGTCTTCTCTGTTAGTATGGAGACACCATATGACAAAACAATATATTAAAGATGTATTATAGGCAGACAAGAAGAGGAGTATCAAGACAATATAGCACAAGTACACGACAATAGTTTGCATCGCAAACACTTTTACACACAGAAGCTTTTACACACAGAAACTTTTACACACAAAAGTTTTTACACACAAAAGCTGATACACACAGAAGCTTTTACACACAGGCACTTTCACACACAGACGTTTTTACACACAGACGCTTTTACACACAGACGCTTTTACACACAGACGCTTTTACACACAGACGCTTTTACACACAAACACGTTTACACACAAAAGTTTTTAGCCTCAGAAGCTTTTACACACAGAAGCTTTTACACACAGACGCTTTTACACACAGACGCTTTTACACATAAACGCTTTTACACACAGACACTTTTACACACAGACACTTTTGCACACAAAAGCTTTGACACACAGACGCTTTTGCACACAAAAGCTTTTACACACAGACGCTTTTACACACTAACAGCAAACAGACGCTTTTACACACAGACGCTTTTACACACAGACGCATTTACACACAGGAAATCGCAATTTGCTTCAGTTTTGGGCGATTGAACCTCATTTCATGCGAAAGGGTCGCGATTGGACAAGAGAAATTACAATTTCACTTCAGTTTTTGGCGATCGAACCTCGTTTCGTGCGAAAGGGTTGCGCGGGGCAACTTGAAATCGCCATTTTACCTCTGTTTTTGACAATCGAACCTCATTTCGTGCGAAAGGGTTGCGCGGGACAACTGGAAATCGCAATTTTACTTCAGTGTTTGACGATCGAACCTCATGTCGTGCGAAAAGGTTCGCGGGACAAGTGAAATCGCAATTTTACCTCAGCTTTTGGCGATCGAACCTCATTTCGTGCGAAAGGGTTGCGTTTCGTGCCGTCTCGTTGCCACTGCCCCTGCCTCCGCCTTCAAGAGAGAAATAGAAAAGAAGGAGAAGGCAAGAGGGCAAGAGGAGAAGATGTGAAGAAAGATGAGAAGATGAGAAGATGTGAAGATGTGAAGATGAGAAGATGTGAAGATGAGCAGATGTGAAGATGAGAAGATTTGAAGATGAGAAGATGAGAAGATGTGAAGATGAGAAGATTTGAAGATGAGAAGATGAGAAGATGTGAAGATCAGAAGATGTGAAGATGAGAAGATGTGAAGATGAGCAGATGTGAAGATGAGAAGATTTGAAGATGAGAAGATGAGAAGATGTGAAGATGAGAAGATGTGAAGATGAGAAGATGTGAAGATGTGAAGATGAGGGATGAGAAGATGTGAAGATGAGAAGATGTGAAGATGTGAAGAGGAGAGGATGTGAAGATGAGAAGATGTGAAGATGTGAAGATGAGAAGATGTGAAGATGAGAAGATGTGAAGATGAGCAGATGTGAAGATGAGAAGATTTGAAGATGAGAAGATGAGAAGATGTGAAGATGAGAAGATGTGAAGATGAGAAGATGTGAAGATGTGAAGATGAGGGATGAGAAGATGTGAAGATGAGAAGATGTGAAGATGTGAAGAGGAGAGGATGTGAAGATGAGAAGATGTGAAGATGTGAAGATGAGAAGATGTGAAGATGAGAAGATGTGAAGATGAGCAGATGTGAAGATGAGAAGATTTGAAGATGAGAAGATGAGAAGATGTGAAGATGAGAAGATGTGAGAGAAGATGTGAAGATGAGGGATGAGAAGATGTGAAGATGAGAAGATGTGAAGATGTGAAGAGGAGAAGATGTGAAGATGAGAAGATGTGAAGATGAGAAGATGTGAAAATGAGACCCCCACTATTGGAAGAACCCTGCGCTCAGACGCTCTCGGGAAAAAGACAAATCCCCGCAAAAGCTGGCAAACATCTACATATGCCACACGATGTATTCTCGAGCTAGTGCTTGCCAGAGTACCTTGTATACGTGTATCAACGAACAGCCTTGTGAGTCTGCGTGCGCATGCTTCTGATTGTATATGTACGTCTGTTTTGCCCGGAAAACTAAATGACGACTTGTCTTGCCAGCTTTTGTCTTTTCCTGGCGTTTCTGCTTAAAGAAAGCGTGTCGTGACGGCTGCCTGCCGGGCTTTGTTTGCCAAGTCCTCCAATTTGTCAGAGCCTTCACAAATACCTGAACCAGCGCATTACCAAAGTTGCTGCGTTGTCGTCCAAAATTTATGTTGGCTTCACCACAAATTTCAACCAAAACAAGACTAGACACACAAGGCAAGATATGTCACTAAGGACGCACCTGGATGCAGAAAAGGAATCCACATTTTTGGGGTTCACCGCTTCTTGTGGACACAAATGCAGCGCACTCCCCCATGCAGCGTTACAAACGGTACGGAGCCGCATTTTGGCCGTGCCAAGATGTTCCACACTGAGGTACGTCTTTGCACCGCATGCTTCATGAGGTCCACTCCCTGCGCATTGGCGGGCAAACCATACTTCTCCTAGGCACTTCTGCAGCATCGCGGCACATCAGAAACGTGATGAATTGTGTCAATGAACGGCCGCGGCCACGGAGTATATACTTTTTTTGTCGGTGCCGGTTGCCGGTGCCGGTGGCCGGGTGCCGGTTGCCGGTGCCGGATGCCCGGGTGCCGGTGCCGGATGCCGGGTGCCGGTTGCCGGTGCCGGACGCCTGCCGGTGCCGGATGCCCGTGGCTGCCGGTCGCGGATGCCGGGTGCCAGGTGCCGGGTGCCGGATGCCGGGTGGCGGTGTGGGATGCCGGATGCCGGGTGCCGGGTGGGGTGCGGGTGGGGTGCCGGGTGCCGTATAGGTTGCCGGGTGGCCGGGTGTGGGTTGTGGTGCCAGTTCCTGGTGCCGGTTGCCTTTGCCGGTTGCCGGTTTATATTCCTCTATCAATGCTAACTCACACCATGCAAGCCCGAATGTCAAGTTTAACGAGGCCTTTGGCTAAAGACGAAGTTTTACGAGGACCTTTGGTTTACCTCGGTTCGATAGAGCTCAGCCCTTTTTCCCCTCACGTTCATCGTCGCCAAGTTTTTTCCACATTGGTCGCCATTGCATCCCAATTTTTTATGGTATCAAAGCCACAAATGACGACCGAAAACTATATCGGTTCAATGCTGAATTTGACTTGAACCCCATTTGAAACTGTTGATGCATCATTGGAAAGCACTATTTTTTCAATCACCTTCAGATCACAGCCCCTAATGGGCCTTTCCAATTTGCAATGAAAAGCCACTAAGACTGACATTCCGGAGCTTTTGCAAAGCAAAAGTTATGATTTTTTGCTATTTTTTGCGTAAATTTCCAAACTTAAAAAATGTTTTCCTCAGGTTTCATGCTCGGCTCACGCTCGGTTCATGGTAGTAGTAGGTCTTCTGCCAGTAGTAGTAGGTCTTTAGAGGGTCCGTTCACGCTCGGTTCACGCTCGGTTCACGGTAGCAATTTTGGGCCCCTGACAATTCATATGCCATGCGTTCGTGGTGGTTCCGGCCCTGGATTCCCAATGGTAAAATAGCGCGGGGTACCCAAGAATAAACCACAAATTGGATATTTGGTAGGTGAAGGGAAGTACTTATCCTGAAATTTATATCATTTCCTGGAGGATTGTTGGAAGAAATTGCCCGCAGGTAAAGCTGTCATATATGATCATATACACATGATATATCATAAATCGCCAGAAATGACTTCATGATACAACTCAGAGCCATCAAAATACTAACAGAAACCAATCAAAAAAACTGATCGAAGTTGGTTGGAAACACTGTGCCACCCACAGGGTCCAAGTAAAAGTAGGTCCCTGGCAAGTAATAGTAGGCCCTGATCATCAAAGTTAGAGGGCCAAGTTTTACGAGGTCATTGACCTGGAGGGACAGGAAAGCAACCGCCAAGATACAAAACAAACGTGAAATTAAGGCAAAAACCATCTGGCTAGACATATTAAAGCAACCTTAGATAAAGACCAAAAAAGAAATAGGAGAAAAAGCTACAGCAATGCATCCCTCAACACGCGTCAAAGATCTGAAAAAAGACAAACGCCGATTGATAGGTATGCCCCCCTTGGCAGGTATAATTCTTCAATGAACTGGAGATGTTAGGTTTCACTATTGTAAGTTTTTGCTTGGTTTGATATTACAAAAAGCGCAAGAGGCAAAGCAAGATACGAGGCAAGGAAACCCAACAGATCCAGATTTAGAATCTGTTTGCTAGATTTAACGGTGTCCTCTTGAGGCAACCGGATGTTATTCGTCACTACATTGGGTTGCAAGAAGGGATTCGGCTGGCGTGTGTTTCTGTGTGACGAGTAAATAAGTTTGATCTCCAGGTGCCGGGTGCCGGTGTGCCGGATGCCGGGTGCCGGGTGCCGGTGCCGGATGCCGGGTGCCGGATGCCGGGTGCCGGGCGCCGGTGCCCGGTGCCGGTTGCTGGTTGCTGGTGCCGGGTGCTGGGTGCTGGTGCCGGTGGCCGGTTGCCGGAAGACAAAAAAAATATATTATGCGGCCACGGGGTACTTGCCTCATCTTTCCATTTTGTCCACGTCCGAATGCTATCAATAAGCCCAGTCTCGAGCACAGGCTTCTGCACGGAGAGAACCAGTGGCCCCAAAGCAGCTTGTAGGCCAATCTTCTTCAGAGCACAGCTATCATAAGCCTTGAGCCGTACCATGCAAAATTCCTTTGAAGTAAAATCAGTTCTTGATGTCATCTTACCATCCTGCTACCTACGCCGCCTACCATCTCCATCGGTGCTTTGTCATGGGCCATTGGCCTCCCGCAGGGATCGCTGAAACGTGGCATCTTTGTACTTCCCCAGCAGCTCGCTGAGTAGAGCCTGGCTTTGGCTGTCCACCAGGGCACCCGGGTGGCTATAAGCACAAGCAGTTTGAACATGACCTGCGAGGGGCCACTACCAATAACAAATCTCAAAAAAATATATCTAAAAAAAAAGTTAAAAAAATGCACTTCCACACTTTGCACGCACTGCAGACATCACAAGGGGGTAGAAGTCTGAAAGCATGAATATCTACACCGCCGGACTCTTGACGAACTGGAGAACTAGTGCTTATATACATGTTCTTACCGGGTTCCCGGTATGGCGTACGAATTCGCCTCTACACACTTACTGTCTTCATAGGTCTTCCGGATGGTTTCACAAATTGTTTTTTTCCAGCTTAAGTAGTTCCGCCCCATCCCCTCCCCATCCCCATCCATCTTCATCTCTGAGCTCTGTCCTCCAGCTCTGCAGCAGACAAATCCTGTGGTTCCTGTGGTTCCATGGCTCACAACCAATTTCGCCCGGCAGTTTCCATCTGTCTGACTTGCCATGACTTGTCTGTCTCCATGGCTCAGTTGGTCAGTCCCTCAGTCCAAGCCGTGGTGGTTCTGAGCTGCGGTGGGCTGACTGTTGCAATTGGGTTATTCATAAGTCGTGTTGGATCAGCTTGACGGCAGCGGTTCGGTGACTATGCATTCATGTCCGCAAATGCACGAGGCGAAGCCCAAGGTCTTCTTGACTTTCTCATCAAAACTGATTCTCTCTATCTGTCTATCTATCGGTCTACCTGTCTATCTGTCTACCGGTCTATCTGTCTCTCTGTCTATCTGTCTATCTGACTATCTGTCTGTCTGTCTGTCTGTCTATCTGTCTGTCCATCTATCTGTCTATCTGTCATCTGTCATCTGTCTTTCTGTCTTTCTATCTATCTTTCTTTCTATCTACGTATCCGTCATCCTATCTATCCTATCTGCCCTATCTATCCTATCTATCCTATCTAGCCTATCTATCCTATCTAGCCTATCTATCCTATCTAGCCTATCTATCCTATCTATCGTATCTATCCTATCTATCCTATCTATCATATCTGTCATGTCTATCATATGTATCATACCTATCCCTCATATGTAGCTGTCTCTCTGTCTATCTGTCTGTCTGTCTGTCTATTTGTCTGTCTGTCTGTCTATTTGTCTGTCTGTCTATCTGTCTATCTGTCTATCTATCGAATCTAACTCTCTTTCTTTCTATCTACCTACCTATCGATCTAGCTATCTAGCTATCTATCTACCTTTCATCCGATCTATCCTGTCTATCCTATCTATCCTATTTACCCTATCTATCCTTTCTGTCCTTTCTATCCGATCCACCCTATGTATCCTATCTATCCGATCTATCCTATCTATCTATGTATGTACCTATCTTTCTATCTGTCTATGTTTCTTTCTTTCTTTCTTGCTTTCTTTCTATCTATCTATCTATCTATATCTATCTATCTATCTATCTATCTATCTATCTATTTGTCTGTCTGTCTGCATCTATCTATCTATGTCTATCTATATCTATCTATATCTATCTATATCTGTCTTTTTCTATCTATATCCATCTAGTCTGTCTGTCTGCATCTATCTATCTATGTCTATCTATATCTCTCTATATCTATCTATATCTGTCTTTTTCTATCTATATCCATCTAGATCTATAATCTCCGTCTATCTATCTATCTATCTGTCTGTCTGTCTGTCTGTCTGTCTGTCTGTCTGTCTGTCTGTCTGTCTCTCGATCCATCCATCCACTCATCCTAAGTCTATCTATCTATCTATATCTTTCTAAATCTTTCTACTTCTATCTACATCTATCTTTCTAGATCTAAATCGTTCTATACCTATATCTTTCTATATCTATCTATCTACCTATCTATCTATTCCAATCCAATCCAATCCAATCCAATCTAATCTAATCTAATCTGTCCAATCCATCCTGTCTATCATATCTATCCTATCCATCCTATCTATCGGATCTATCCTATCTATCCTATCTATGCTATCTGTTCTATTTATCCTATCCATCCTATCAATCCTATCCTATCCTATCCCATCTACCCTATCAATCCTATCCTATCTATCCCATCTACCCTATCTATCCTATCTATCATCCTATCTATCTATCTATCTATCTATCTATCTATTTATCTATCTATCTATCTATCTACACTAACCCAAGTCTAAACCTCAACCCGAATCTGAGTCTAAATTTAAGTCTCATCCTATCCAGTCTATCTGTATGATGTGATTGTGTGCAAGCCCGAGTTGGCATGAGATCAGTGTCACAGCTGACAAGAATCCAAAGGGACAGCAACTGGTTACGGTTTTCAGGGCCCAAGCCGGAACCACAAGAGGCATTCAAATGGCCTCGGTCTACTGCTGTGTCAACCGACGGGAGACGCAACGATAAAAATTGTAGGTCCGGCTCACGGCTAACCAGCCAACCGGGGACCACCGCTACATGGACAAGACAACTGTCATGATGGTTCCGAAGACATAAGCCGACATGTCTCTCTAATTACAACATATTGAAGTCATATTACATACAAGACCACATATGAATCGTATAAATTCATATGATATCTGGATGAATATCTAGAGAGGCTCTGGGGCATCCAACGGGCTCTCCAATAGCCTTCGCCATAAAAAGCGTAGATCTCTTCTCCACAGTTGATCTGCCGAAGAGCGACGGCCAATGCTCGACGCTCCCTGCACGCACGCTGACACCGACCCACACCAACCCAGGAGGCAACCTTTTCTCAACCTTCCATAGCCACCGGCTGATGGTGTACAAGTTTCAAGCACTGATTGTTGAAAATAGAAGGTGGTTTTTGAAACCACCAGCCAGCACATATTTCCCGGATATTCCAGCCCTTGCCACACCCCACAGGATCTCACAGGGTTTTCAGCGACCCATTCACTTCACCTCTTCAGCTTTAGGAACTTGACATTGTGCTTCGAAGGGTCTGCCTTGGGAGCGCTGGCAGAATACAACCACAAAGCCAAGAGATTGCAATGATTACAAACACAACAAACCCCTGCAGGTGGCATTTATGGGAAGGTACCAGTATGTCTGAAGAGTTTTGTGGAAAAGGCGCGCCAGAGATACAAGAGCTGCAGCCACAAAAAGGCAAACGCGTCCTATCTTCTCCGCCCTAAAAGAATCTCACCTCATGTAACGCTCTCTCTCTCTCTGTCTCTCTCTCTCTCTCTCTCTCTGTGCTGCAAAACATGTGAAATGCTGATGTCCCGGCAGCTCAAACTACTGCAGTTGGGTGGCCTGGGCTTCGAATCGACTCTCCGAAATCTGCATGTCTATGGATTTCTCTCAATACTATCTCAATCTCCCTCTATCTCGTCCTTCCCCCAACGCTTTGGAATTCGGAATTGACATACTAACTTTGTTACATACAAGTAGTTCCCGGGCAAGCCGGGGGCGGAAGTTTCAAATTTGAAACCCTTATAGCCTATAGAGCGGAGCAAAGGCTGTGCCTATAGGTGACAGGCAAGCCTCCTGCGCTTCGCAGCAACAAACTCTTGACTTGTCAATCTGATGCCATGCCATTTGAATTCTGAACCTTTTCTCATGTCATCTGATCTCATCGCATCGCAGCTTCTCCTGGAAATTGCTCATTGCATCCCACTGTCACTGCAGTCTGTGTCAGTCCATCTCAAACTCATCTCATCTCATGTCTTCTCAGCTGTTTTCACCTCATCTCATCTCATCCCACCTCATGTCTTCTCAGCTGAACACAACTGTTTTCATCTCTTCTCATGTCACCTGAGCTTTTCTCATCTCTTCTCATCTCATCTCAGCTTATCTCAGCTGCTCTTGGATTTTCAAAGCTCTTCTCAACTTTTCTAAGCTCTCCGCAGCTCATTTCAGCTCATCTTATGTCTTCTCATCTCTTCTCTCCTTTTCTCACATCTTCTAAGCTCTTCTCACATCTCCTCAGCTGATCTCAGCTCTTGTCAGCTCGTCACACCTCATCTCAGCTCTTCTCAGCGCATGGCGTTAAAAGCAAGCGACCCCTACGCTGCCCACAAAGACACAGAAAATCCTTTACACACAGCAAGTTTTTGCACAGAGAAGCTTGTACACGCAGACGCCTTTACACAGAGACAGGGAAGCTTTTACTCGCAGAAAGCTTTTACACAGAGCAAGCTTCTACACAGAAAGCTTTACATAGAGAAGCTTCTGCACGCAGCAAGCTTTCACGCACAGGAAGCTTTTACACACAGAAGCTTTTACACACAGAAGCTTTTACACAGAGAAGCCTTTGAACAGAGAAGCTTTTACACAGAAGCTGTGACAGAAGCTTTTACACACAGCAAGCTTTTACACAGCACAGAGAAACTTTTACACACAGCAAGCTTTCACACAGAGAAGCCTTTACACAGAGAAGCTTTTACACAGAAAAGCTTTTGCACACAGGAGCTTTTACACACAGCAAGCGTTCACACAGAGAAGCCCTTACACAGAGAAGCACTTCTCTTGTTCACTTGGTCTGCCTTGCCCACGGGATGATGGCATTGAACTGGTGAATTCGGACCTTTTTCTCACCTGATGATAGAGACCATGCAAGCTTCCGACCACATCTGCCTGTGCTGCCCACTGCCAACTTCTCAAGCGATTGCGGTCCACTCAAAGAGCTAGCTGTGAAAATTGCAAATGCTGCCGTCGATGCAAAAACTCCAAGGGCCAGGTACAGCCCTGACTGACCAAGATTTCGCAGCTGGCGCACACTGCGGCATCCCACACCTCAGGCATCAGAACCCAGCTTCGCCAAGCAGCTGGTTGAAGCCACCGCCCAGGAGTCAGCTGTGCAGTTGCCACGAAGTTCCCAGGTGCCAGAGGTTGAGCGCAGGTGAAGAAAAAATGAAAAATAGTAAGCCAAAACTGTAACACCACCATGCCAGGTCCAGCTCATCATCTGCCCTTTGCCAAAAACATGCTTCTTGACGCGTTTATTGTGAGGGGACCTGCTTCCCACGAGATGGCGCATCAGCCGGATTGTACTCTGTGGGAACATAGACCAGGCGCAGCTAAGAGCAACGCGCCAATGCTCCGCATGATGCCCCGAATGCCAGGTGCAGAGGTGCTGCCTTTGCCCGCTGCTCCAAGCACTGCTTTTGCGTCAACAAGGACAACCAGCCGATGATGAAAATGCCTGCTCGTTCTAAGCAGCCCAAGAGCAGGCCGTGAGCTTCCAAGGATTGTCGCTTTTGCGCTGAGCACCACCTTGAACTGTCGCTTTTTGAAGGGCAGCAAGTGTGGTGTACCCAGGTGGTCTTTTGGCGTCGGCTCCTCCGGGTCCAAATAGAATTTGACAAAGTCTCCTGTCGATCGGCCAACAAACCGACCGATGTCGCTTGATCAACCGTGCACTTCTTGTAAACCACTCCAAAAGCACATTCAGGGGCTGCGTCGGAAGTTGTAAGTAGAGGCAAAAACCGCCGAGACAGGTCCCCTCCTAGTAATGGCATGAATAAGGGTGGAACGGCAATTTCTGCACAAACCATTCTGGGAAGCGGAGCTCGCACACTTGCTGGTTCTTGCTGCACAAAGTTGTACACCTGATCAAAGACGCTGAAAAGCGGCCTCCGCAAAAGGCAAAACCACTGATGAAGACCAAGGGCTCGGTTCAACCCGTGTGGGCTGGCAGAGCTTTTCCTCAGCAGGTCGATCCACGCCAAGAAAAACGGTAGCAGCTTCTCCGAAGAGGGCTCAACAGAAGCGCTTCTTGAAGACACATGACACCCCAAGGGTCACATCTTTGCTCGCGTTCTTGGGCATGCCGCGAGCAGCCATGACTGCGTCAAGTTGCTCCAACCTGCGCTGCCCGAGCGCCTTATCAGTATCAGTATGAGAGAAAAAAGAGTGCCATCTGTAGCCACTCCACATGTCTCTGTTCCAATCGCTGGAGGTTGATCCATTGTCATGAAACACGCCTCGCATGAAACTGTGGCAGCCTGAGCGACACAAGAAGGCCAACTGAAACCCATCGGCCAGGCTGTGCTTGCAGGAAAAACAAACTCGTCCCTGCCAACTGGTTCTTAGGTGTTGTGAAGTCCTGCATGGAGGTACGAACCCTTCTGCACTTACTTCAGGGATTGGGTGGCTTCAAGTTTGACATATGGAAAGCCTGGAAGTGCCTGGAAGACAAAGGTCCTTTTGCCTTTAGCTGCGGTTGAAACATGGGATTTTGGCTTTGATGAAGGCTGCGAGTTAGCAACCTCTACGCTGCTATTGCTTTTAAACGGAGGCATAGCTGCTTGAATTTTCTGGCTGCCAATTTCTGTTTTGCAAGGGCAATGGGCACGTACAGGGGTCACGCGAAGGCACAGCGTGCTGTTTTGAAGCACTTGGCCGGTCGTGTTGTCCGTTTTCTAGTTGAGGTGCAACAGCATGTAGAGAAGGATGCGCAGACGCCTGAGGCTTTCATTGTGTTTGAAAACGCATCGTCACATGGAATTTCTGTGCTACAGGCAGACAAGTTGGATCTCCGACCTGTCGCAGCCACTTGTGACGCTCAGCGCCACATTCCTCCGTGGTCACTGCTCCAGACACGCTGTTTCCAGCATGGCGCCATGGCGATACTGGTGAGCTCAGCATCTCCTGTTCCAGAGACAGGGCGGAATACTTGAAGCTAGTCTGGCGGCAACTGCAGTGTGGTAAGCTCTCGCTGCGGCGACAAGTTCATGCGTGTGGGTTTTTTTTCTGTGTGTGGGCATCAGCAAAATTGGAATGTCTCAATCATTTCAGCAATGATAATGGCAGAACGGCCGCCTCCATCCCTACCTTGCAAATCCGAGCTGCTTCGTGGATCTCATGTTTTTACTAGGGCAAGAGGTCTACATGTCAAAGAGGGACGTGCACACTTGACTTGTTGACGTGCTGTAAGCCCCGGAAGCTTTACAACCATGGTTTGGTCGAGCAGCGGAAACATGTGGAGAACTTGCGAAGGTGGCAGATGTTCCTGTCACGGCTGCTCAAGGTTTTGTGGTTGAATGCCCGTTGGACATTGCTCTTCCCTTCCTGCCAAGAATTTTGCCCTCGCATCAGCGCGCGCCATGTCACGCCGTCTCTTTGAAGGAGAGGCATGCTTGGCGTGTGGCCTGCTGCAAGAAAGATGCTCCAAACCCAGGGGGGCCTGAAGGGCTGAGCCATGGCTTGCCATGGAAGTGGCTGGCTGCAACAGAGGCGGAAACCAAGAATTCCTCTGAAGCAGCCAGCGAAAAACCCAGCCAACGCCCTGTTCGAAGCGCGGCTTCAACTGCTTATGCTGGGTGCTTGAGCACCAGCAAACCCATCTCAATTTCTCAGCTGCGCGGCCAACGGCCAACCATCCATCTCCGATATTATGATTGAAGGTGAACATGTCATCCACTGGCACATTCCAAACAGAAATATCTGTTCCATTTACGCGGACAAGCTTTTAAATTGAGAAACTCTGCTGACAACACACTGTCGCAGCCTTCATGCAGCCACTCCAATACGATTTACAATGTCCAGCTGCAAAACACACTGGTATTACGCACGCAGCCGCGGCATGAAGCAACCTTGACGCAGCCATTACAGTGCGATCTGCAGAGACCGAGTTGCAAAACACAATAAACCTACGTACAATGGCGTCAGAAATTGCAGCTCCAAAACCGGATCCTGACGCCAAAGCCAAAAAAAAGACGATCTTGAAGCACTTTTTACAAGAAATTTTAAAAGGAAAATCACTACTGCCAAAATTGAGAAATTACTATCGCAACCTTGGCGCGGGATTTACAATGTCCAGCTGCAAAAGACAGTAGTATTGCGCACACAGCCGCGCTCACGAACGTCGGCAAAGCCACGCCCGAACTTTCAGTTCCACTGCGGGGCCGACTCGGCCCTGACCTGACCCTAACCGAATGTGTTCCGCGCCCGCCCGCCGGACAAGTTTCCCATCCATCCTCCGGGACACATCTTGTCCTGCAAAGACAGCATTTGGTGCATCGGCTAACTTTCAAAAGCGCATTTCGCGCGAGACTTCCCTCAAAAAGTGAATGAAAGTTGAAGATGTGAAAACGAAGCTTTCGTGCGAGACTTCCCTCAAAAAGTGAAAGTGGAAGATGTAAAAACGAAGCTTTCGTGCGAGACTTCCCTCAGAATTTGAAAGTGGCAGATGTGACAACGAAGCTTTCATGTGAGACTCCTTGATAATGGTGGTTGTGATGATGGTGATTGTGATGTTGGTGATATTGTCATAGTGGTGATATTGTGAACATGATGATTGTGATTTTGGTGGTTGTGATGATGGTGATTTTGTGATAGTTGTGATATTGTGATAGAGGTGATTGTGATATTGGTGGCTCTGATAGTGGTGATATTGTGATAGTGGTGATGTTGTGATAGTGATGGTTGTGATAGTGGTGATTGTGATAATGGTGATATTGTGATAGTGGTGATATTGTGAGAATGGTGATATTGTGATAAGTGGTGGTTGTGATAGTGGTGGTTGTGATAATGGTGGTTGTGATAGTGATGAAACTGTGATAATTAATGGTGATTGTGATGGTGGTGAAATTGTGATAATGGTGATTTTGATAGTGGTGGTTGTGATAGTGGTGGTTGTGATAGTGATGAAATTGTGACAATGGTGATTGTGATGGTGGTGATATTGTGATAATGGTGATTGTGATGGTGGTGATATTATGATGGCGGTGATATTGTGATAGTGGTGATGTTGTGATAGTGGTGACCGGTGGTTGTGATAGTGGTGCTATTGTGATAGTGGTGATATTGTGATAATGGTGATATTGTGATAATGGTGATATTGTGATAGTGGTGAAATTGTGATAATGGTGGTTGCGATGGTGGTCGTTGTGATAGTGGTGGTTGTAATAGTGATGAAATTATGATAATGGTGATGTTGTGATGGTGGTGATATTGTGATAATGGTGATTGTGATGGTGGTGATATTGTGATGGTGGTGATATTGTGATAGTGGTGATATTGTCATATTGGTGTTATTGTGATAGTGGTGGTGTTGTGATAATGATGAAATTATGATAATGGTGATATTTTGATAGTGGTGATATTGTGATAGTGGTGAAATTGTGATAGTGGTGAAATTGTGATAATGGTGGTTGCGATAGTGATGAAATTGTGATAATTAATGGTGATTGTGATGGTGGTGAAATTTTGATAATGGTGATTTTGATAGTGGTTGTTGTGATAGTGGTGGTTGTGATAGTGATGAAATTGTGACAATGGTGATTGTGGTGGTGGTGATATTGTGATAATGGTGATTGTGATGGTGGTGATATTGTGATGGTGGTGATATTGTGATGGTGTTGATATTGTGATAGTGTTGTTATTGTGATGGTGGTTGTGATAATGGTGATTCTAATGGTGATTGTGGTTTGTTAAAATCCGTTACCCTGAAGTTAGACTTTCAAACTTCCTTTGATTATGAGAGTGCGGTGTCTGATCCAGTGTTTGGCACAGCCATCTTGGAACTTTGGTTCCCAGTTCTATCTCACTAGTCAAGTCACAAGTCCCAGTATTCGAAAAAGCTGGGGTGTTTACTGAATCACGATGGTATCCATACAGCTATATTACATCACCTCTATGCTTTTCACAGCAGATCACAGCTGCTGTTCGCTGCTTGCTGTCAAGTTGCATGATCATTGATGTAGCGAGCTAACACCTCTGGATAGTCTGCAGCATCAACACCTCAAGCAGAGGACCTCTGAACATCACTACCGTTTGCCACATTCGGATCGCACTAACAAGGCTCTTGATGCAATTCAAGCAACTGTACAATCCAAAGCCACCCATCAAATAGTCCTTGTCTGTCACATTTCCTTAGTTCAAATCAGGTTGCCTCTACTTGCAGGAAATCAAAAATTTACACCCCTGAATCCATGCAGGTTCCTAGCCTTTTGGGGTTCAAATTGCTGGGATGAGACCAGGGGGGCTTGCTCCACCTCAACAGTCCGGTAACACTTTTACTGGGAATGGCCGAAAAATTGGTGCATAGCATAGCATAGACACATTGGCATCCCAGAGCCCTCCTTGAGACAAGCGCGCTGAAAGTTTACAATGGCACCTGAAACATCCTGAAACATCCAGAAACATCGGGACTTCAGCCATTTTCCTCAGATATCCTCACATATCGACGCCTTCTTTCTTGCTGCCCCAGTCGCCACGCAGCACCTGTGCCAATGGCACAGCTTTGCCTCTGTAAACACAAACCAACTCTCCCGCAGCGAAAGTTCCTTGTGGCAGCCGAGGCGCATGCATCTCACCGCTGACAGGCAAAAGAATGCAACAAATGCATGTGCATCATGATGTCATCATGATGTCAAAAATATTCAACAGTGATTAACAAGCCACTGAACACTGCTTGTTTTCCGAACTCATTTTGAAGTCTTGGGATCCATTCCTGCCAAGTCACTTGTAGCGAAGAGACCGCTTCCAGCATCAGGAATTTTTGAGGGGAGCACTTCCAGCCCTCCATCATCCCCTCGCCTCGGCCAACAGTCTCAGACAGTGTCAGGACCGCTGTGCTCGCTGGCGCGGCTGACGATGGCCGGCTAAGCTTGTCGGAAACTTCCAAATGCGATTCCTGCAACATGGGCACAAATACACCATGTAGAAATGAAGTTCTCCATGAGGATGTGCTGCGCAAGCCTACCAGAAAGGCTGACAGGTTCGCAGGACAAAAGCATTGGCTGGCCAAATTCAGATCAATTCAGATTTTCGCATCGTCGATTTGCCCATTGCTGCGGAAGCTTATGGATGCCCATCCGCCTCGCTCAAGCCCTGCAACCGCAACTGGCTCTGCAAGGCCCGCGCCTGCTGGGAGATACTAGGAGTGCCTTTGGAGCTGCTGAAATGTTCCAATCTCCACAATGTCCATGAAATGTCCATTTCTGTTCCATACTCCAATGATCTCCAATGCATAAGCTACTAGTATGCTGCTATCTAAGTTATCTAAACTTTGTCCAAATCCTCTTGATGCAGCCCCTGTCCTGGATCCTCTGGCCATCCGTCGTGCTCACTGCAGCCCACTCTTTGGGGAAGTCTCGACGAAAGGCCTGGAGCGCTAGTTCGTGGCACGGCCATCAGCGTGCCGATTCTGACGACCAAAGTCCAAGAGCACATCGCACCATCAAGCAAGCAACAATTCTTTTGAGGTGTTTCGTCGTAGGCGAAACTCAACTAAGCAAAAAGTGGCTCCAAAGAGCCAAACCATTGCAGCTTTGCAGTAACTATCATGGAAAATATTTGCTAATTACATGATATGGGATGCTATGTGAAAGTAAGGCCCCATCTGTACAGTACCACAATGCAAACGATAAAAGGTGCAACTACGAGCCCATTCGAATCTCTGAGCAACTGTCTGCAGACTTGGCCACACAGCTGCAAAGACAGGAGGCCAACGTTTCTTCACCGTCATTTCCATGTTAGGCGGTGCGCGTTGCTTTCAGATGATTTCAGGACACATATTCCTAGCAAGAACTTCTATGAAGAATGCTATTCATAAACTTCGTGGGCCGGCGAGTGGAATAGCAAAGCGTGCCTTAGAAGAATTCTGGGCATCAGAAGCTTCGACGACACAAACCCTCTAGGAGGGGCATCTCACCTTGGGGATACTTCAGCACTGTGAGGCACCAAATATGTCTCTCCTCAAGGAGGGTGGCCAACTCAGTGCCACAGTAAGCTTTCCCTTCAAATTCAATGATGCGGTCCAGCACCTCAAGGGTATCGCTGTGAACGCTCCGCTGGGTGTTCCACTTCGCCATGAGCCCAGAGCGTTTGAGCTCTTTAACCACGACTCCAACAGATTTATCTGTGTAAGCCAGGGTCATACCCATGTCACCGGTCTTTTCCACAACGATTTGAATCTTTCTGGGGCGTTTGAAGGTCAAATACATCTTGTCAGGCAATTTGCTTGTCATCTTCTTCTGAATGGCTTCCCAGCTTTGGATTCCATCAAGGGCCAGCAAAACGTCAAAGGGGCGTATGTCGGATCCCACGTAGACCCTGTTGAATTCCTCGATGGCTCCTTCCTCTATTCCCAAAACTGTCGGTGCTCTTGTTTCTGTCAACTCCAGCTGCAGGCCCAACGTGGCAAAGTTCTTTGTTGGCACCGCCACTGTGATCGTTGGAATGCCCTTGGTCGACGCTGCTGGTGCCGCTGGTGGCGGAAGCGTTTGCAGGGTGAAAAAGAACTGCTGAGTCTCTGAAACCGAACACACCACCTCCAACTGCGGACGCACCTGCGGATCTGCGCCGGCAATGCAGCAAGCTAACATCGTTGCTCGCCACAGAGGGAACCTTGGCCCTACTGAGAACTTGAGCCGGGTAAAGTCAAATGGTCCAGAATTCGAAGATTTCGAAGTACCCAATCAGCAGCTTCAGGCACAGAATTCTCTGCATGTTTGTTTGCCAATTCTAGTCGCATCAGTGCCATGAAGATCCATGGAGTGCTTTTGACATGTTGGACGTTTTTTGCACGGGGGGTATAGGTCTCATTATCACTATTTGCCCGTTGTTTAATTATGTTTGATTTGTTTATTTCCACACATATTCACTACACCATGTCTTGAGCCACGGTCGACCAAGCCTCCTCTAGCCCTGGTTCCTGGATTGGAGCCCATTGGGCCCGTCGAGCACATACCCCACCCATGGGGCCATGAAGGCTGGTGCCAAAATGTCGGGACCAAGACGAGTTCGATGAATTTTGATCAATTCCGATCGCACTTTCGAATTCTTCATTTCCATTCATTTCCATTCATTTCCATTCATTTCCCATGACTGTGCCGAAATCCAGAAGCCATGATCCGAAAAAGATGACAAAGTCGGCCATGACCATGATCACAAGACTCATATTGTCATATTCATTCTGCTTGGCAAATGTCAGGTCAACTACACGGTCTGCATGTGTTGCACGCCCATTTCGGATTCCTTGAGCCACAATGGGCAGAAACAACACGCTGAATCTGCAAAAATGAAGAAAAATGAAGGCCTCAGTTTCAGCCATGGGAGCACGAACTGATCTGACAAAGAGTGAGAAGGTCGTGCACAAGAAAGAGCAAGCCTGCTCCGCCAACAGGATCACAAAGTAGAACCTGATCATCCTGGATGATTTTGGAATCCTGCTGCTGCTTATATAATCAGAACGAAAACTAGAACAGACTTCATCAGACACTTCATTGATCAGAACAAACATTACTGGTACTGGTACCTCGCACACCCAGGCGCCCAGAGACTCTTTTAAAGCATGCGCATGACACCCACTGTGTCCAGATAATGCCCTTGCATCAAATCCTGCCTTTACTGAGCTTCCCCCGCCTACATGAGAACAGCATTAGCCAACTCTTTTGGAGTGGGATGGAGTGGGGTATAGTATAGTTTTCGTATGGTTTCGTATCTCTTCACATTTGTTCATCAGTTTTCAAACGACATCAATGGACTGATGGACTCTGGTGTAGGCGTTGAAGTTGCTCAGGCCTTGATCCAAAAAAAACACGACCCGCTTTGCGTTTTTGCACCCATTCATCTTGGCTTGCCGGGTGCGATTGGGCCCGCAACTGACGTGGGTCCAATGCTTCTATTCATAACACTGCACAGCGGGTCATCAAGCGCAGGACACCAGAAGTGCAGAGAGACAAATCGGCAATCTGTGATGCAATATGATGCAATATGATGCAATATGATGCAATATGATGCAATATGATGCAATATGATGCAATATGATGCAATAATGGTTCAGAGCCCGTGACAGGTAGCGCGAACTAATTGTATGAGCTGCACTCGCTCTCAACTACTCCCTTACTAATGAATTTTACTGAATTTAAGCAAAAATTGAAGCAAGTGTCCGGTGTCCGGTGTCCCTGAGATTTGGTTACACTTCTGGTGTTCCAAGGACAATGGCAAGCGGCAAACACACCAGTGTGGGTTTCAGCTACCCTGCGACCTCGGTACTTTGGGTCATTTGGCTCTGGAAACATCGAGGCCAGCTGTCCCACCGGATGTGCAGTTCACACCTCTGACTGGAGCACACATTTTAAAGGAAATTTGGTCCGAAGAAGCTCTTCAGTGAGCTATCCGCCAGTGTCCGGTGACTTCGTATGAGTTGGTGCAATCCAACCGATCAAACAAAAAACACGCTCCAAGCTCCTCAAACATTGTCAAATCTACTTGAACTCTTGAAATGCTAAACGATGAGGGCCTGCCTCTAAAGTGAATACACTCCAAGACTTGGCTGCCTTGAGCACTGTTGAATTTTGCCCACCGCACACTTGTTCAACCTAACTAACCCACCCTGTAGTGTCAATTCGGTGTCACTGTCGGTGTCATTTGGATCAGCGGTCTCGCTCCTGAAGAAATTAGCCTCTCCAATTAAGGTGCGCTGTACGCTGTTGCAGCTCCAGGACCGTGAGACTTAGACTTTTGGTGGCGGGCACAAAAGACACGGGGCTGAAGGCCAATGACTTGCCACTTCCATTTTGATCATTTGGCAACTGGATGATAATGACGTGACATGACGTGACATGACGTGTTGGCAGTTCTCGCCGCTCTCAAAAGTCCACAAGTCTTCAAACCTGGCCCTGGCGACACACTCCAACGACATCTGCGAAGGAGCCATGCATTCGCCCTGCGATCAATCGCGCGTCAAATCTTCGGTGGCATACCTGCTGTCAGGACTTTAGATGCTCAAGATAAATTCACATGTTTTGTTTTGCCCCGCGTAACCTTAGTCTGTGAATGAAAAAAGCTGCCCTCAAGCATTCCTAACTTGATTGTTTCAGTGCCTGACTATGGGAGGCTGGATAGAATTCAGCCACCCAACAAGTGGAGGAAATTGGAACGTAGAGAACTACAGGTTTACTGCCATCATGCCTAAGATTGTTGTGTCCATTTGGCTGGTAACCATCATAGCAGCAATCACCTGTGGGAAAAACTTGGGAAAACATGGATATGGAAATACTGCTTCTTAGAGCTCCACTGCCGGTACGCCAGCCTTGCCATTGAAAGGCGCGCCACTTCTGGGCGGTATGGTATAAGCCACACAAATTGGACAACCCTGGTATACACCAACCTGAAAACCTTCAATTCAGGTTTTTGGCGTAGAAAGCCAAGCTTGTCCAGGGAACAATGCAGAACCGTTGGCCCCTTCGAACGCATTGTCCTTCAGTGGAAGCCAGGGTAGCACGCAATATGTAATCACGATTAATTATACAACTTACAACCTCTTACAACTATTAACAACTTGCAACCAAGAAATGCGGATTGAAGTTGACAAATGGCCCATTGAGCTTGAAATATGAAAAAAATGATGTGCAAATTTCTGGAAGGTCTCCATCCCCCTCTGTTCTGTGTGCTGTCTGGTACAATGGTCTAGCCGCTAGCCCTGGTGCACACACACTTTCGAATGATCGTCCCTTGGCTTCCGCTGGTATGCGCCAATTGAAACCTACTCTGTCAGCAGCCGCGTGGGGTATGGATTCTGCTTTGCACCTAGCAAATCAATGTGCAAGATGGCGCCGACATTTTGCTTGAAGCATCCACCTTTCCAATCCATTACAGCAAATGAAGCAAAACAGCCAACGCAATTGAATCACACATGAACACCTTCCGTCTCAACCCCTACCCGAAGCAAGCATGCGAGCCCCTTCAGCACCCCTCATACAGCAATGAAAGTCTTTTGCTGCCCAGCTTCAGTGCTTTCTGGTGCGCTCATCCTGACAGGTTTTGCAAGTGCGAAATCTTGAAGGCCAAGGCGGCCAAGCCTAGAAAGTGTGACCGGATCAAACAATCGAAGACCGCTGTGCGTACAGTTTGATCAGTTTCATCCACCTTGTCTTCTACCCTTTGTGTCCCATATATTTCCCAGATAGATCCAAATGTGCTGTCAAGCCACGCGCGGGCGGAACGCACATTGCTCGCATGTCCTGGTGCAGGTGCAGCTCTTCAGCCCAATGGCTCACCAAACACATCACAACACCAGCTTCAATATCTTCAATTCTGTGAAAATACAAGTGAGCAGGAACGCAATCATGGTCTCCTCAAAGTCAGCACCTGCCAAACGAAACTCTCAGCGATTCGTTTGAGATTCAGAGGTCGAAGCATCAAATCAAAAGCCTATGTTTGTCAATCGGGCTTCTGATCTCATTTGGCAATAGGTGAGGTAAGCGAGGATCGGGTGTCCCCGACGAACCAAGCCTGGCTCCCTTGGCAAGTCGTGTCCTTTGCCAGCTGCCCTCGGAACCATTGAGACTCATGAACCATTCAAAAACTACATGTAGAACATTTGCCTTTCTTCTCTTCCCAAAGATATGAAGTCAAATCATGCACGACCTTAGCGACGGACAATGCATTCCACGCACCAGTGAGTTTCAAGATCACCTCAAGCGCTTGCAGATGGTTGGAGTTCAGTTGGCTAAACAGGGTAGGGAAAAACACTGGCTAGAGCGAGAGCACTTTGTTGGGATATGTTCGGCTCATCCAAGATTCTTGGCTTTCCCTTGTGCAAATGCCAGCATCATCAAGATTGTCCTGCACCTACTTGCCGCTTGAGCATGTACATCCATATCACCTCCTCCCCCCCTGGGGTCCCAACCGATCGAGGGCTGTCATTGCCCTTCTCTTGAGCGGGTGGGTTTGAAGGCTTCTCAGGTACTGGGCCTGGGGCTGGGCCTGGGGCTGGGCCTGGGCCTGGGTTGGTGGCCAATGGCGTGGGAGCTGGTCCGGTCTGCGGCGGTGGGCCATTCAGGGCATTTGCAGCGGCGGGAACAGGTAGGATCGGAGCCCCTGGACATGGCATGGGTGGCATTGGCCCGGCTTGGACCGCACCCGGCGGCAGAGGCTCTGGGATGGGCATAGGCGGCATGGGTTGAGGCATGGGCGGGGCCAGCAGAGGGCCTGGAGGCAGCAACCCATTTGGAGGCATCGGGTTGGGAGGCATCTGATTGGGCATCGTCAAGACCGGCGCAGAGTTCACTGGGATCGTGCCCAATGGGGCCTCTGGCAACCTGAGCTTGGAATCATTAGAAAGGTTGGGAATTTGTTTGTTGGAAGATGTTGGAAATCTTTCTCCAGGTTTAAGGTGCTTTCCTGCATGCAGCATGCATTCTGTAGGACCCTCTGAGGCAGAGTCAGACATCCTGCATTGGAAGTATACCTCGGCAGCCTCAGATGAGTCACAAGTAAAGATCAATCCGGGATCCATCAGGTTTAAGTGCAATGGGGGACCACCTTGCTCGAAGAAATTCAAGGAATCTGCATGGAATCGAAGGTGGGACTGCTGCCCAGTGGCACAAGACCTGGTCCGTCCATCATGGGGCCTGGCCCTGGGCAAGGCCCTGGGCATGGTCCAGGCCACATTGGCGGGTTGAAGAACCTGTCGTGACAGGATGTGACAAGGAAAAGCTGCACCTGAGACATGGCACAACTGAAACACAACCATTAAAAAAACGGGGCACTGTGGTGGAGCTTGCGCCACCTAGGACTCGCCGTGCCACCCGCAGCTGCAATCATAACATACAGTATCAGTCATAGCTTCCTTTTCAATGTAATCTATTCTCATCTATTCTCTGGATCTTGGTTCCGGACAGGAGGAAACATAGGACCTTGTTGCCAAGGAGCCATGCCTGAATTGATATGAGCAACGCTGGAAATCAATGAAGCTGGAAATCCTGGTGGAACTTGGCTCAAAAAAGGGTCTACAGTCTACACCGAGATTTTGACCCGGCATTGGCATTTGCTGCATCCTTGGGAATTGCTCAGAACGTCCCGAGACTGCGGATCCCAGGAGCATCAAAATGATGACAAAAATTCAAAAATAATCACAATTCTTGGGAATTGTGGACGCTTTGCAGGCTGTTCAAAGAGGAACCGCATGGCCACAAGGCCCACCAAGAACAATCCTCAAACGTTTCTCAATATGAAGTAGGAATAAGTAGGATAAAGATGGATAAAGTGCATGAAGGCCGCTTCGTGAGCATGCCAAATTCCAGCGGCAAAACACCGCTGGAACCCTATAGTATCTGAGGTCGTCACTGAACATCGTTTACCCATGGCATGGCTGCAGCCTTTCACGTGGGGTTGGTGTGTTTTTGCAGGTTGGGGCCACCTACCATCCACCAAAAATGGACATGGAAAATCACCAGGTCACCAGGTCTTGCAGGGCAGTCATCTCTGGGAAGACCATTTTTCATATGTTGACAAGTAGTTTCAAGTAGCCAATATCTATAAATCTTTGGGGGAGCTCCCGTGTTCAAAACCCTCTGCCATCTCTTGATGGCCGGCAAACAGGATTCCCACACTGGATTGTGACAATCCCCGATATATTGGGCAGTATAATCGCCCAGAATATCCCAGAATCATCAATCAACAGATCTGTCAGTATAATCCCCGGACTAATCAATCAACAGGGGTCTTGAACACTCATTTGTCTCCCCGCCGTGTATGCTGTAAGACTCAGCCTTCAGCGTCACAAACCCTTCAAGAGAAGAACAAATGACAATGAGAACATGAGGAGGAGAAAGTCACGCTTCAATCAGTGTTATCATACTTATTCATAATTCACCTTTTGGTTTTTGCTCTCGAGCAGTTGTTGGAACCTGCACGGCCTGCGGTCTATATGCATATATATATATATTTATATTTATATTTATATTATAAATTTCATGTTCAAAAAGTTTGAAAAAACTGCCACATTCCTTAAGATCCTTAAGTGTGCATTCATCTCTCATCTCTCCCAGGTTCTATTGTGTCTGTCGTTTCTGTAGCAGGCCTCATCAGGCCTCATACCTTGGGCAGCCTGCGAAGCACGCAGAAACACGTCGTCTCGAGTCGTATCGAGTCTCGAGCTCTTGGATGCCATGCACATATTTTGGAATCAACTGGAAATATCCACATATGTAATTATGTATATATATAAGTACTATATATATGTATATAATATTACGGGAGATGCTTTGATATGCTTTGATGACATTTTGGAGAACATAAGAGGGACCAGAGGTCCAGGACTCAAGAACTGCGAGAGCAATGGTTTGGACATGTTTGGACAACGTTTCAAATCATTTCATATCCCAACAGGTCCCAACACATCTCTCATGACGCAAAGGTGCCCAAAAAAAAACAGAGAGATCCACACCAACGACCAAGTGACCTGCATGGGATCCATCGCCAGGTCAGCCGGCACAGTTGCCTCATTGGCCGCGCAACATGATTTACGCAAACAACTGACTAAAATAAACTAAACTGACTACTGTAAACTATACAGACTATACATATTAGATAATAAAACTATACACAGAAGCCCAGGAATTCGTGTCTTCACGGCTCCAGCAAATATCAAAGGAGGGTACGAGTGGGGGAGCAATGCAGGGCGGCATGAAGCAAGCAGGAGGTGCCTGGTCAGGCAGGTCCTTATCCAACTATGAACTGAAGCTTGCTCGAAACATTCGAAACATTCGAAACATTCGAAACATTCGAAACATTCACTGATTCACGATTCACGGGGCCTGTGCTTGTGGCATCATCCCCATAGGCCTAGGCTTTAGGCGGTTTAGTTTGGACAGCAAGTGCCACAAATCAACGAGAAGAAGCCAATCAGAACGCGACACAAGAGCCCAAGAGTACTTCAATTCTTGCCGCTTGCCCGACACTCCGACACTTGATCCCATGTGCATCTGATGTTGTCCATTCGTATCTTGGCACCACACCCCACATTTTGTTGCATAGCATGCATGTCGCCTGACAAGGCTCGCGGACATGAAATGAAATGGGAATGGTGGAAAGGGTTAGAGGCTTTCTGCTTAGCGGCTTAGTTTTCACAAATTATCCAAATGCAGTCACAAATTCATGTATCAGTCTTCAAAGCATCAACCCAAACTTCACCTGGGCCAGTTGGCGTAATAGGCTTCTTGATGCCTCGGCCACACAAGAAGTTTGGGCCATGTCTCTGAAAAGGCCAAGAACTGAGCGGCAAACGCTTACGCTTGTCGTGGTCGAAGTGACAGAACCTGAGCCACAAAGTTCACAGCTGGGTATGGGAATTGTTCATCAAGAACCCACCCTGATGAATCCCAAACTGGCTGGCAAATGGCTGGTCATCTCCCCAAAATATGGTATCACAATATATTACCTGATATATATATATATACACAAATATCCTTACATCCATTGCACTACATTACATTACACTACACTACATTACACTACACTACATTCCACTACACTACATTACACTACATTACATTACACTACAGTGCAGTACATCTCCCCTACCTTCCTTACCCCTCCCCCCTCCCCAAAATAATTTTCAAAAGGATTTTCAGGGGGTTGATAGTGTCTTCGGTAGTTATTCGATGAAACCCTCTTGAGGGTAAGATAATTACCCACGTTGGCCCCCCCCTCCCCCCCATCTCGGCGGGGGAACCTTCCTCTAAATTATTTCACCCCCCGCGGTGTTAATTATTTTACCCTCCCCCGGACTAGTCCAATCTTTACATATGTATACTTTGGGACCCCCCTCTTCACCCGACATGATCGCCTTCACAGGTGCACCGGGGATATTCCATCCCTTCAAGAAAAACGCAGGGATATCAACCAGGTTCTGGAATATGTTCAAAGAAGACATTTTGTTGAATAATTTTCCTAAGCAGTGGGTCTACGGATGTGCATATTGGAATATATGCAAATTATAATCTAAGCCTTCAATATACCCTGGAATAACTAGGTTTTGAAATAAATTCATATAATTTTTAAGTGGTTGAGAAAAAATGAAAAAAATATCCCCTTGGGAATTCGCGCAAAATGATGTTCAACCATCATCTTCATCACTGACTCTTTCCTGCATATTTCCATTTTTTCATACTTCCCCCTATTTCTCCCACATTCCCTTCATTTCCTTCCAAAGAACTCTGGGTGGGAATGAGTGCGAAAGGGAAAGCATTCAGTGTTTATAGATGTTTGTTTTTTTCAGCTGGCAGCTGCTCACTTTGGTTTTTGAGAAGTGCAGGGTATCTCCAATACCCCTAGAATAATTTCTCCCCTTGGAAAATCCCACGGAATGGTATTCAACTTAGCTCATTGCTATAGTGGTTTTCCCAACCTTTCATGTTTGTCCCTCTTTCTCCCATATTCCCTTCGTTTCCCTCCAAAGAACTCTCGATGGGAAGCGTTCGGTTTTATAGGTTTTTGAACACTTTTTCCAGCTTCTGGGCGAGCTGGGTGGTTCTGGAAGCTGCTCACTTTGGTTTTTGAGAAGTGCAACATTGTGCAGAATTTCTTGATGATGTACTTTGTGATTTTCTTCAATTCTGCTGTGATCGCACTTCTCGGGGCCACGCCATCGTAAACAACATCATAGAAAACCAAAATTATTTTGAAATATGTGTTTTCCATTCAGAGTGTTTACGTCAAAATTATTTTCAGGGGGGTAACCCAATGGTTAGACTATATAAATTTATACATCCAACATGTTAGATGTTTGAAATTATTTTGAAAAAATATTTTGGTAGGCACCCCCCCGAAATAATTTCATTAAGGTGGGAGGGATTACAGTACAGTACAGATCAGTACAGTACATTACATACAAACATCCACACACATCAACTTTTGGATACTATTGACCGATTCTCCTACGGCTCCACTATGGCTCTGCTATGACCGATATGTCCGATATGCGATATGCACTAAAGAGTTGAAGTTGTCGAAGTTGTCGGCGCCTGCATTCATATCCATTTGAGCAGCGCCCCTTGGGATGAAAGCAGCAGCGCTTGCAATCACCTGCCAAAGCAACGCAATGCTGCTGTCAATTTCACACTTGGCCCCTCTCGGTATATAATACACTATATATACAGTGCAGAATGTCGGGAAATCACGGAAAATGTCATGAAATCGCTATGGACTGGCAACATCTGGCAACAGCTGTTGCATCGCCTGTGAAGTGCCCGGCAGATCCTGGGCTGGGGAGATAGTCGACATCTCCAAAAATGTGGTTGTCAACATCTCACAGTTGTCCTTCCAGCACATTGGAAAGGTTTTGAGAGGGTCTGATAGGGTCTGAGATGTCGGCCAATGGATGGCAGGCCGTCGTGGATGTGTTCGGCTGTAGTCGCAGTAGCGATCTGGACAGGGGACAGTCACTTTGGCAAAACTGCTTGCAACACAAATGTCCTGAAGAGATGCGAAAATGTCACTTAAGCAGAATTTCATGTCAAACCCCACTGCTACAAAGAACGCCGCACCGTGCCAGATGGGGTCTGGAGCTCAACAGAATCCTCAGAAGTTGCAATATTTGAGGGGAATCAAATCTGTGCAGCGAGGAGGTTGGTGCATTGGCGCACATTCCGGTTCAAAGCAGAAGCATCATACACTTTGGCGACTTTGGCTTGCTTGGATTATCTTGGATTCCTTTGGACTGGTTTGAATTAGACGGTGAAACTTTGCCTCAGGTTCCGGCACATTCCTCCGAAGAAACGTTCTCTGTCAAGTGCGCCGGCTTGTTGATCGCCGGAGCTCCTTTCATGAAACAGCAATCTTCTCGACATTTGTCTACTAGGGACGGCAATGCCGCAGCTGGAAACACCCCATACTCTCCTTGCGCCCATATCCGTTCACAAGCAATTCATTGCAATTCTCTATTTCTGAGTAGTCCGGAGAAAACCCTGGCCCCTGCTTCTGGCCTCCTGCTTCAGACTGATTTGAAGACGTCGTTTCGTTGGCGTCCACTTCCGCCTCACACCAAGCACACTCAGAACGCATAAGAGCTGAATTTCAGAAGCATTATATTATATTATATAATCATATTTTGTAAAAGGACGCGGGTACTTCCCCAGTGGGGTTGTGGGGTACGCTGCTGTGCTTTTGATGCTGTGCATTGCTTTCCTGGCTTCACATGTGCTGAATACGGTTGCGGGACCTATATGCATCAGTCCGAGAATGTAATGCAATGCAACTGTGACTCAGTTCCTCAAACACCGTTCACTCGACTCACCACACAAGTTGAGGTACCGCTCTCCGCCGCCTGCCGCAGTGCAGCTGCCAGCTTTGCCCCTGCTGGTTCCTGGACAACGACGGCTGAAACCTGCTCCTGGAAAGGCCGGGCTCCGAATCCGCTCCTATTGATGCTATATGATGCTATTGTATATCCTAGGTCCTTGCTACAGAGAGCTGGTCAAACATTCAGAAAGCAGTGGATATCGCGCAACGATTTACTCGAAATATCTCAATATTACAAAGCCCCCATCGCAAGACTTTTGCAATTTCACACAGTTCCTGTGTCTCTTCCGGCTGTGTCACTGCAGGTACTTCTGGAGTGTGACAGGGCTGCACCGGCTGCACTGGCTGCAGGAGTGCTTGCTTCTCTCCGTTCTCTTCGCCCTTCTCTTCATGATTGTCCTTGATCTCCAGCCTCCTGCATATCTGGTAAAGCCCTGGGTAAACTGCGGCACGTCGAGTCTGACAACACATGGAATGATAATGTTTATCGACTTTCATAAATTTGACACATCTTGCCCTCCAGAACAATGGCATGACCATCCGATCCGACGCGAAACCACTGGACCTCTCTGGTGCCATCAGGCCACTGAAGCAGCTTGAACACCCCTGCAAGGCATGGCTAAAAGTGGAGCTCTGATACTGCAAGAAGCTTTGAGTTCTTGAAGTAAAATGAACTCTTGAAACAGGCTATGCTAAACATCAATTCCACCGTCCATCGTCACAATGTCCACGAATCTGTGGGGCGAGAGTTTCTGGTAGCATCCACAGTTTTTCCCCTTTCTGCCCCACCTTTGAAACATGAACTTTGCAGATCGGACTAAAGCATCAGGCAGTGCTACAAAAATCACAGCAGCACAACCACTGCAATTGGTATGAGAGCAGCCAACCAAGCCTGCCCCATTGCTCTGAGAAGCAACCTCGGCATTGTGGCATCTCTTGTCAAGCTGAAGGTGCCACCATTGAACTTTCCAAATTAAAACCGCGATCAAACAAGTGCGGCTGTACGGCTACCACTGGCAACACCTCTTCAGTAATACCACTCGGAGAACGAAGGAGCGAGAGTCGTGCAGATTCTTGGCTTCGCTCGGGTGGTTTTGAAATCTACAGGTCACATTTCCCCTGAGGCGCAGTCCTTGGTTCCCTGAGTTCCCGCAAGAATCCAAGTTTCTATTTTGCGAGCCAGCTGACGCCATGGTAGCAGAACATGAATAGTTTGATGGCAAGAAGCCTACAATTTACAACACCTCGGACAAACCAAAGCAGTTCATGCTTGGGGTCTGGGGATCTACGGATTTATGAACACCTGTCATGTAAACTTCCTGGCGAAGTGTTCTTGATGGCGGCAGCAGCACACGTTTGCCGCCATTTCACAGCGTCATTGAGCACTTGGATTTGAACTTGCTGCCCATCCTTCATCATGCTTCGCCGCTGGCTCTTTTGACGCGGGATAATCTCATTGTATCTTCAAGCTCTGTGGAGTCCTTTCAAAGCATCCTACATTTGAAGTGTCCAAGCTCATCCAACTCACAATGATAGGATTCGGATAAGTTGCCATTGGTGATGCTACTGGATTCCACGAAGCTTGCCATGTGTCACATCGCGCAGGGGTGCTTTGGCACAAACGCAGTTGCACACCGTGGTCGTGGCTGCAGCCATTCATTTACAGATGTTGATAACACCTTGGAAAAGCGTGGGTGCTCCAAGAAAAATTAGAGGTGCAACTCGCCACCAAGGTCGCAAATGCGGAGCTGCTGGCATTTCAGACTCCTGTCTTCAGGTTCTGACTTGGTAGCCCGAGTGTTGAAAAAGCTAGAATTGCAAAAACGACCGGATGGGCGTACTTAAGAGTTACGGACAGACTATCACACAAATGCCAACGAATTTTGGACATGTTTAGACACGCTTTCTCTTGTAACACACAATGGGCCCATGAGCCTGCAGCCCATAATTAACCGGTGAAACCATACATTGGAAGTTCTCCGGCTAGAGCTCTCTCGATTTTGATGCCTTTGCTGCAGCAATTAAAGCCTTAAATGGGCTCTCAACACAAGAATTCCGTTCCATTAATCTGTCACAATGTTTATATAACATGAAACAATAGCACAGACCGTAGAGTTGACGGGACGTAGGACCTTACCCTCACAGTGGAGATTCTGTCTGTGGCCGGACCAAGTCTCTGAGTCTCAGAGGATATGAGGAGATCGGCCCTGCACGTGACCAGAAATTGAGACTGCGGCTTATCGAAGCGGTAGTAGCCCCAAGACATCCCAAGACTGTTCAAACTTTGAAACTCCATGATACTCACAGTGAAACAGGCCCCTCTCCTCTGGCCGCGGCCTCAAACCTGCAAATCCCCATTCCCCGCATGTCAAAGTGAAGGAGTTGACAGTTGAACGGAAATGAATGGTTGCACTGTACATTTCATGTCGAGGCATCTGCGCGAGTTTGCACTGCATACAGGATGTTGGAAAATGTTCGCAGACATCATGAAGGGCGAGCGGGCGAGCTCGCCGGGCGAGCCATCACCAGTTCTCTCAAAAACAACTATTGTACTTCTTCAAAGTTCAACGAAGTTGAGCTTAAGTTGCATTAGTGTTGCATTAGTGTTGCATTTCAATTTTGTTCCAATTGAGTGGAGTTTTCTCCACTGTTGATCTGTGGCGCCTGCGCTTGTAGCTCCCTCTTCGGGTGAGAAGGATCGTCTCCGAGAGGACCTCGGACATGGCTGTGCCACGGGCCAATGGAACATCAGGTAACACAAATGTTCAAATTCAACTTGAATTCATAGTTGCACCGGGTATGGAGCCGGGCACCATGTTGGAAACCCAGGTTTGAATAAGTTTGAGACGTTTGTTTCTCTTCCAAAAACACTTGTCTCGAAACCTGTGGGCAACCAACCCTACCCCCCTTTTTCGCTAGAGATTCCAGCAACCCTCCCCCCTGGGAAGAGAAACAAACTAACTCCATCTATTCAAAAAGGCAATCGTTTTTCGAGACAAAACTAACCTTTTTGGCGAGGGGGAAAACGTTTGTTTCGACCCCTGGAAACAAACGTTTCAACCAGAAAAACGCATGGTTAAGAAAGCGGGATAGACACTAAAGTTTCAAAACTGAAGTTTCAAGTTTCGGAAACCAAGGGTTTTCTCCGGGGAGTTTTGGAATTTGTTTGTTTGGTGCCACGGGCAGCAGGATGGCATAGGTAAACTTTTGATGCGGGCCAAAGAAGGACATGCGGGTCATGCGGGACCTTAAACAATGTTCCAACATGCCTTGCGTTCTGCATCGTTCTGCCATCACAGGGGCGGACTTTGAGTCAAAGAGATCTGCAACAAGATTAAGATGATTAAGGTGGGAACATGTGTTTTAAAGCAAAAAGGACAAAATGACAAGATATCATACGTGCGCGTGCGTGCAACATGTCGCACAAGGTGGACTCACAAAGGATTGCAAACAGGCCCGTTGCAAACAGCGATAAGAAGAACCTGCAAGGCAGCCAGCAGCAGCAGATGGAAAGAGCGTTTTGGCAAAGCAAAGCTTTAGATAGAGAGAGGCCTTCGACGCGAAAACACGAAAGGAAACTGTTTTAGAACATGAAGTAACGGACGAACGACAAAGGTTTGAAAGAGATTTTGTTGAAACTAGGAGGGACAGCAAAACAAAGAATAGTTGAGTGGGGCTGAGGCTGGAAGCTTGCATGAACAGGGAGGTTATAAATATATATATATATGCAAGGAAAGTTATAGTTTCTTAGAACCTTTCCTTGTAAGCAGGTTTGACACAACCATTGGCGCGGTCGAAGCTCAATAGAGTCGCGGTGCCGAGCATTGGCGAGACCTGAAGGGGGGGCACCGGGAAATATGAGTTTCCAGATGCAGAAACAAACGTTTTGAAACAAGAGTTATCCCAGGAAAGCAAAGGTTTGAAACAACAGTTTTGCATCGGGTGGGAATTTTACTCTTGTACGGTTCTGCTTTTTGGGTGAAACAAAGGTTTCTCTGAAACGTTTCCTAGAAAACAAGCAAACAAACCATTCAACAAACAAACTTCTACTTTAAAAAAGTTTGCTGTTGAGGTTGGAAAACTGACCGCTTCTGAGTTTGTTTTGAATTTCTGGGTTTCAAACAAACGTTTCGAGAAAGGTTTGTTTCTGGGTTAGAAACTTACCTTTCAGTCCAAAAATGCTAGTGTTTTTGTGCTCAAACTTACGAGAAGAAACGATAGCTTCACTCAGCCAAACAAACCTTGCCTCTGCTGACTAAACATTTGTTTTCCGCAGATCCGACCGAAGCGTTTCTCCAAACAACAAACTCCGGCCGCCATTTTACATGTGGTACATACTCTTGCGATCTCCGGCCGCTATAAATATGTGTAATTATTTGTAAAACTGTATGGATGGTATATGAGTATATATATATAATATGTCTGTGTGCGTCTGTGTGTATATATAACTATGTAAATATATATATATGATTTATATATATAATTATATGTTATAATTATTATATATAGTTATGTAAGTTATGTGTATATATATATATAAGAACACAACGCGCACAAATGCCATCAGTTCAGGCATTCCATTCCTGACACATCTAGGTCGCTTGCATTGACGCCCACGTTTGGTGGGAGACACAAGAGCTAGCACCGCCCTGACGACAATGCCGCATTTGTATGCGTTTGTACTGTCCTCATTTAGCTTTCTTATCTATCTTACTTGAAAGGGCACGGTCAACTCGGGCTCATCACAGTTGAACCATGGCTCCTTCGCTTGCATGGTGCTGGCGAAGGAAGTCGAGCTCCTGAAGAGCGGGAAGTGTGGCAAATCTCCAATTCTTTGGTGACTTCGACTGGCTCACAGCATCGGAATCAATGGCAAGCGTTCACATGTCCCGAGAGAACTTCTTAGCGGTGAGCTTTGAGAGGCAGCGACTCTCAATCCAACACGTTCTCGACCTACACTGACCTACATCATGGCATGGCACACCCCCCCTCCCTTACTCCCCCCCCCTGGAGAGTTACTTATTCCTTGCTTATTTTGGGAATAAAGCCTTTGAACAAAATAAGGTGGAAATAAACATGGAATAAGCTATGATATCTCACTGCCACTTCCTTCTTTAGGACAGGTGGATTTCGGAAAAATAATGCTTGAATAGCCTATGATTTTCCAGTGTAAACAACAAGGGAGACCAAAAAGAAAACCGATCAAAATAGCTGTTGTTCAGAAGACAAAACAAGAACCCACAAATTGACAATATACCATTGCTTTGGGCCCCACACTGAAACTGAATGATTGCGACATGGTATTTTGTTTCAAACACAAATCCCAAATTTCACCAGAAGAGGTTGAACACCTGAATATATTAATACCATCGTGTGAAATCTTCCCTTAATATGGGGCTGCCCCAAAATCATCTCAGATTCCACCATTTAAATATCAGGAATAAGCCAGGAATAAGGCAGGAATAAGCAGAATATGCTGCAGAGAGCCAAAATAAAAAAAAGAGCAGAAACAAGGCAGGAATAAGCAAGGAATAAGGCAGGAATAAGCCAGGAATAAGGCAGGAATAAGCAGAATATGCTGCAGAAAGCTCAAATCCAAAAATAAGGCAGAAATAAGGCAGGAATAAGCCAGGAATAAGGCAGGAATAAGCAGAATATGCTGCAGAAAGCCGAAATCCAAAAATAAGGCAGAAATAAGGCAGGAATAAGCCAGGAATAAGGCAGGAATAAGCAGAATATGCTGCAGAAAGCCAAAATCCAAAAATAAGGCAGAAATAAGGCAGGAATAATATAGGCAGGAATAAATCAGGAATAAGGCAGGAATAAGCAGAATATGCTGCAGAAAGCCAAAATCCAAAAATAAGGCAGGAATAAGCAAGGAATAAGGCAGGAATAAGCCAGGAATAAGGCAGGAATAAGCAGAATATGCTGCAGAAAGCCAAAATCCAAAAATAAGGCAGAAATAAGGCAGGAATAATATAGGCAGGAATAAATCAGGAATAAGGCAGGAATAAGCAGAATATGCTGCAGAAAGCCAAAGTCCAAAAATAAGGCAGTAATAAGCAAGGAACAAGGCAGGAACAAGCAGAATCTGTCGCAGAAAGCCAAAATCAAAAAAAGGCAGAGATAAGGCAGGAAGATAAGCCATATAAACCAGGTTTGGGCAACCCAAGCGGTGGCTACTCGCAGGCAAAGCAACACGAGCAAAATATGAAAAATCATCCTTGTCTATTACGGACTTGAAGCGGCCGGCGAGGTGTCTATTGCTTGAAAAAAAAATAAGGGTGGAATAAGGTCTCACTCACTTGTTTCTCCACTTGCCATCCTGTTGGAAAAATAAAGGTGGAATAACACTGGAATAAGCATTTTATCTTATTCCCTCCTTATTTGGGTATTATTTTTCTGTTTACAAAATAGTACCTTAAATATAATTCAGGAGGGAGGGGGGGGTAAGGGGGGGGGGTGTGCCATGCCATGAACCCATGCTTCCTGAGGCTGCGCAGCACAGAGGGCCCATCGTCACCTGAAAGAGAAGCTACCGGAAGCAGGTTCAGGCTGCTTATGACAGGAATTCGGCGATCACTACTGGCATCTCAAGATCGCCAGTGCCATCACTGGGCTCATGGCTGCGCATCCGCCATGGTGATATCGAGCCTGGCGAAGGTCAGCATAAGGATTGCCTCTGTCCCTCCTGCAGCCACGCTCCCCACCTGCTCCCTCCCCACCTGGTCGTCCCGCAAAGCCAGAACCTGGTTTTGACCTCGCCAAGGAAAATCAACGGCAATTGGGAATTGGCGAAAAGCCTCACTTGCACCCAAAGAAACGACTCACTTGCGCCCAGATTGACATCACCACTTCAGGACCATGTTACTTATCAATGATTCAACCATTTGGAGTTTACTTTTAGGGGACTTGGGGAAGGACTTGGGAACGAATGCACTCATGCAACACTCCTTTTTGTAAAAAAAAACATTTAGGGTCTACGTTTAGGGGACTTGGGGGGGAAACTAATAACTAGGGAGGGACATGGGGGCATGCAGCAAAACCATGCACACATGCAATACTCCTTTACAGCAAGAACCATTGAGATCCATTGAGTGTTTACTTTTAGGGGACTTCGGGGGGACTCGGGGATTAGGGAGGGACATGGTGACATGGAGGTTTCAGCAACAGATTGCATGCAAGCAACTTTCTTTCAGAAAGAGCCAGCTATTCAGCGCCAACTTTCAAGGGACTTGGGGGAGGGACATAGGGGCATTTAGCAACAGAATGCAGGGTCCACTTTTAGGGGACTCGGGGGGAATGAGGGGACCATAGGGGGAACTTGTGGAGTTGGCCGGACTATGCGAACACGCGGCTTTTTAAAAATGGAGACTGTAGACATCTCAAATCTATGCAAAGATACAGCCATACAACTTTTAGGGGATTGGGGGAGCTTGGCGACTGGAGGGGCATTAGGAGGGACGTAGAGGCATGCGCAAAAACATGCAAAAACAGATTCAACCACCCCGTGTGCTGTTTAACCATTCTTAGGGGAATTGGGAACTAGCTACGAGTACCCGGGCACAAACGAGACAAACACACGGGCACAAGCGAGGCCGTAACCACAAGCACCAGCGCAACTGACGGCAACTGACAGCAAGTTTAGAATCATCTGAAGGTCTAAAGGTCATGGAGGAAGTCTACAAACAGAACACTATTATATACTATAGGATACTGGGATACACTGATGCGCAAGGACTCAAGGACTCTCAATGATTCTGAGAGTAGAGCGATGGCATGTTGGCAAGGTTCAGCGTAGGGGTCGCCTGTGTGAAAAATGAGGCCAGGTAAACGCTTGTACCACCCTGAATCTAAGAGCAAGAATGACAAGTGAAGTAGCATGCCTTGAGCAAGAAACGTCCTTCGCCCCTGTCATCATCCACATCCTGCAGTATTTTGAATCTCTGCTGACATTGACGCTATATGTAGCGAGACGTGGTGGCTGAGCGATGCCCACTGTGATGCTCCTGGAGGTCATGAGGCGTTGCCTCACCACTGGACTCGCCAACTGCATCTCTGCATTGTAGGACTGACATCTCAAGAGATCGCCCATCACCACATATCACCAGATTATCACCACCTCAACTTTCGAAAACTTTTTTTTGCTTCAACATCATAGGCCCTGACGGCAGTCGAGATGAGGTCATCATCCTCCCAGGGACGCAGCCAGCAGCCCCCCGTCAAAGCAACTGCTAGAGACTACATCGCCCGCCAATGCTTGGCGACAGGTACGGACATAAACACAAGTCTTGCACATTCCAGCCTATCAGTCAGGAGTGTCCATTTGCACAATGATAGCTGGGGTGAGTCAAATTTACTTGACTTCAGATGAGTGCATTGCTGACAAGCGCTCACGGCCGGCTGAGAATCACAACATATTGATTCAGACACTGAGGCAAATAGCATGTAACGGCAACCAAGCCTTGCAAACGGCCGTCTGCATATTCCTGGACTGCATATAGCGTTCCGGCTTTGATGTACAAGAAGCTGTGTGGGTATCATGCACGTATTCCCCCGGGAACCTTTCTTCAAGCATGTTACACAATGAGTCATTTGATGTTTTGGCTTTATTCAGCTTGCAAAAGGCACAATAGCTGGGACCCACAGGCGCAATGACAAACAAGGTGAAGGATGGTGAAGGGCATCGAATCTAAATTGAGGATGGTTCTTTGCAGCCTGAATTGTTTTGAATTGTTTACATTACCACTTCACACCGTCCAACTCTCCGCACCTCGCCCTCCTTGTTCGCCTCAACGGCACGGGAATTGCTTTGGTTGAATGTGACTTCTCATTCTGGGAACGGTGCATTAGTTCACACTTCAATGAACTTCAATGTCACTCTTCAATGTGACCATCTCGCCCAAACGGTGAGTCTGTGCCAAAATTGTGATAAACCTACTTGCTCAGTACCCTTGTGACCGTATCATGGCAAAAGTGCTCAGCAGACCTCCAAGGAGAAGGAAAGGTACAGTACATGAACATACAATTTTTATCAAATGTTCATCATATTCCGCTCCGCCTACAGTTCAGTAAGGGCCTGGCTCCCGCACCTCAATGAAGATGAAGGAAGTAGCTTAAGAGAAGCATTCCAAGAATTCTCTGCTATACACATTTGCTAAATTTGACCCTGGGCAGAAAAGAATACAGGAGTAAGGAGCTTCAAGTTCCCAGGTTTGAACTGCCGGCTGGTGTGGTATTCGTGTAAAACAGGACTTATGGTTTCTTTTCAAGACTCTGTCGGCCTTTGCCAGTCTGCTCTTGCTTCACTACACGGGGCTGATATATTAGAGTTTCCAAAGTTCAGTTGGGAATCTGGGGAGATGCTGTAACAAATGATGTAGACAAACATGTTCATGAATTTCCTGAGGCATTAGAAATGATTTGGATCGCTAGACATGGGATTTCTGGTACCGTTCGCTTTCCTGGTCTGGGCTCTGGGCTCCAGTGAGATCGGTGAACGTCATCCAAAAGGCATGCGCCTGAGGGCTCGTGACGGTCACGGTAACTCCACCAGATTTCATACAAGAAACTGTATACTACGGCTTCCATCGCCATATATCGCCATAGCTATTACATGAATGACTGACTGAATGACTCACTTCCACTGCACTTATGTATACATAGATAGATAGATAGATAGATAGATTAGATTAGATTAGATTAGATTAGATTAGATTAGATAGATAGATAGCTAGATAGGTAGATAGATAGATAGATAGGTAGGTAGGTAGATAGATAGATAGATATAATATGCAGTTATTCATTGCATTACGTGTTATATGTACTTAATAAATCTCTCTCTCTCTCTCTCTCCCTCCATCGCCGTCTGGTTCAGTTCAACCAAGGTATTTATTGAAGTGTGTATTGGCAATACTGGTATTTTCATGTATTTTCCCATCAGCAAGCACAGCGCAGCAGTGCCGGTTTCGCCGGCTTTGCTTCACGCGCCTGTCCAAGGTTCAGGACCAGCCGGTCCCCGTCGAAGAGGTGTCGTTGCTCACCCTTGGCCAGGGCCTTGGGTCTTAGCTGGTCTGTGATTGATGATAGGTCCAAGGCATCTGAGGCCAAGACAGACCAAGACAAGCCAAACAAGCCAAACCCAATGAGAGCCAAAACATGTTCTATGCTGAGTCTTTGAGCCTCGTACACAGGGCTCACAAGCCTGCAGATAAAGCGGCGAGAATGCACACCAACCACAAATATCACCCATGGCATCCGGTTAGATTGTATCATGTTGTATCATGTTGTATCATGTTGTATCAGGCATATTCTTCCGGAGTGCAGTAGGGGTGTCAGGATGGGCAGCACATGGTGGAGGTCTGACCTCCATGTTGGCCACCACGTGGACTGGATTTACTTCACCTCATCTGGCGGGAGCTCATGGAAAGAGCTCACACGTTGCCAAAGGCACCTACAAACTACAAACCGTTTACAAACCCATATATGCTTCCAAATCGAACAGGTTGCTCATCAATAGGGGTCTGTCACATCCACAAGGCATGGCACGATTCTTTGGAAAACCTCTGGGACGGCATCGCTTCCACACTCAATTCAGCCAGAAAGCTCAAATTTCGTGCGACAAAGGAGAATCTTCCATCTCCCGCGCGCCACGTTTGAACCTGATGCATTCAGCCGACGAGCGGCAATGGTTGCACAATATTGCACATCATGCTGTGTATCCATTTGCCCCCCCGGGCCTTTGACCTGCCTTCGCATCTCCTAGGAAATCAGGGCGCCTCTATGTGTTGCCGTGACAACGTGCTCAAGGCATCTGGGTGAAGCACCTCAAGCCAGCAAATGGAGCAGGCAGAAAGCGGTCGTGAGACGCAACAAATACATGCCAGTCTATGAAATTCAGAACGTTGAGCGGGCTTTCCCATTGGCAATTTGCAGGGCGAATTCGCAATGCATTCACTCTCTGTCTCTCGTGGTAGTGGCAGCCTCCCAGCTGTGCTCAACCTTCAGTCTCAACAGACCCGGCCTCTGGCCAGAAGTCCAGCTGATGAGCGCGGCCAATCAGGAAGGAACTGCCCAGGGCTGCCGCTGATCAAACATGGCTTAAAAAGAAATGAAGGAAGTTGCATGCAGAAACTTAAGCAGCATAGCAGATCTAATCTAAGCAGCTTCACCAGCTATCTGTGACTTCATGAGTCACATGACGCCACCTGCATAGTTCTCACTGACCTTCCCAAAGCTCCCGTCCACTCCTGAAAGGCTCCGCACTTTGCATCGGCACGAAGGCAAGCCGCCGCGCATCGTCGGGCAACTGAGGTTGTGCCAGCATTGGCCAGTCATGCAGTGGCAAGTGAGGAAGGGGATGCCAATGGCATTGAACATGGACAGCAATGCATAGCAATGCGATGCTCAGCCAAGATATTCGGACAACGATGCAATGCCTGCATCTTCACACCTGGCCCAAGCACTTCCAAAAAGAGTGCCAGGTCACCGACTGCCTGGGGCAAATTGAAGCCGATGAACATGATGAACTCATATGAACTCTCAAATTGAAACAGGCTGGGGCAAAATGGGCAAAATGGGCAAACTTGCAAGCTGATCAAGCTGATCAAGCTAATCAAGCTGATCAAGCTGGAAGTTGTTGATCAGGCTCCCAGCATCTGAATTTGGCGGCGCTGCAGGCACAGCCGGCGTATTTTGTCGCAAAGTTGTGCCTTGCACCACTCTGCACATCTCTGCACACTCACTTTCAGACAAAACATTCCATCCTTGTGCTTCCGGAGTCCTCCCTTGTGCCTGATGTCAATGGACCTTGGGGTGCACTGAGACGGTCTCTCTGCCCATCTCGACCTTAGACGCTGCCGCTCGGATCGCACTGGGCCAAACTTTGAGGCCACTTGAGCCACTTGAGCCACTTGAGCCACTTGCGCCGCTCATCTTTGGAGCTGCGCGCTTTACTAAGACTAAGAGCTGGGCTCAGCTGCGCAGCCAGGGTGGATGCCCGTGCCACGCCACGTTGCATGCCATCTCCTGCTCCAGGTTGGTACAGTCTTGTAGTCAAGTCGCAAAGCTTCAAAAAACGTGTTGGGTTTTTAATGTTTTTCTCCACGTGTGCACGAACAGCTCCTACGCCTGGTGGACATCTATCAGGCGCGGGCAGGTCAACACCCTGAATGCGAGTGAGCAAAAAGTGTGGGAGTACAAGTAGCAGTGGGGAGCACAGTTCAGCGAAATAGAACCAGAATCAGAATATCCCATCAAACGCAAAATTCTCCCTTCGTACCACGTTGCCACGTCTCTCCTGAAAGATCTGAAAGCTCTTCTGTATGCAAAGAAAATTTGGACGACTCCAAGATGACAACAATGCCTTCCCACCAGTCCCACCAGTCACTACTGAGTCACTGTTCACACTGTCCACCTCCAGGCAGGAGCGGGAGAGATCGAAACGGAATTGGATAAACTCTACCTGGACAAGGAGGCACTGCAATGACAACTCAAAAAACAGCAGAAACATGAGAGCGGAAGAACACCACAAACCAATCATACCAGCTCCATCAGATCAAACGATTCACCTCCGATTTTCCAGCAGTTGGCCCAAAGCGCGTCAATGTAACCTTGCCGAGATCATGGAGCCAGGACCGCCATGCGCATCTTTGAAAAACCTAATCATGATGACAATCCTGTTGTAGCATCACATCTTGTCGCCCTGCAAGTCCTCTTTTCATGCGGCAAGCCAGACAGATTCGGTTTGGCAAGCCGAGTTGCCAGGTCGCCATGCTGCAAAGGAGCTTGATCACCACGGCCCTGAATTGTATGTAGAATAAATTGTAATGAGGAATGGGGAGGAATCAGGTGTTTTGAACTGACCCTCTTATTCTTCTAGCAAGCACACTTATGCTGTTGTCGTCAGCCTTCCGACCCTCTATGCCTCTTACTCGCTGCCGCCTGTAACAGCTGATCGTTCAATCTGGTCCCATTGCCACTGCAATTCTTCAGAACAAAGCGCCGTAGTCCTAACGCTGGAAATCAAGTGGAATTGGATGCAACTTCCACGAAGTGTGAAGAGTGTGAAGGGACAAACACTGCATCAAGCCAGCGCAAATGAAGCACAACAAGGTCATAGAGAAATATAGGAAGGAGAGGGTTCCATTTGCATAAATGGAAACATATGGAAACCAACACATGCGAAAAGCCCGCCAGATCTCACTCTCGCCTTTCGCTGCCGGGCTGCAATCAATCCAAATCTGGGCATGGGAACAAGGAACCAAAACCAAAAATCTTGAGGTACCAAGAATTTTCCTTGGACTTGAATGCGGAACTATTTCGCTTCAAGAGGTACCTCCTACAATCAGTACAATCAGTACAATCCATGTCTGGCAAGAGCAGCAAGCTCAGGGATTCAATAATTTGAAGGAAAATTCAGAAGTGAGTTGAAATGAGTTGAAGCTCATTTTCAATGATCAAAGTCAGTCTCCCCTTGCCTGAAAATGTTCTCGGGAGATGGTCGACCGCCCAGAGGCACTCTTGGCCACTAGCTCCTCACGTGACATCTGAATTGAATGTGCACATCTTCGCAAGAAAGCTGACATGCATCCCTAAATGCCGCCGTAAAAGAGAGCCGCACTCTTGAAACAAAACGGAAATCATAGATGAATATAAATGATGGAAAAAAGATAAACAAAGATGGAACCTTTTTGGGGGGCTGTTCTGCTTGTCATTCGATCGATTCTGGCTTCCCAGTGAGAAACCCTCGCTCCTCGAATAAAGGTGTCTGAAAGGCACGTCCGACGCAAAGTGGCCCCTGCGGCATCACTTGACGTGTGGTTACAGCTGTAGAGCCACAAAGGGTCGTCTTGAAGAATTACAGGGGCATACTGCATACAGATCTTGAGTTCAGCTCTTCAGTTTTCTGAATTGACTTGGGATTTCGTATTCTGCTGCCTTGCGATTTGCTGCAGCTAAAGTGTCCCCAAGACACTCCTTGAGGCACAGGAAGAATGGAAACATGAGCCGTATGGCTGTATTGACAATGTGCGATGCTCATCTCAAAGTTCCCTGTCCTGCGCAGTGAGGCCATGCACAATTCGACGCTTCTCCAGAGAAATGCTTTGAAGGTCGGCGCCTGGGTGAACGAAATGGAACGGAGAGTCGAACTGGTCAGATGTGGGGCATGGGCACAAGCACAAGACTTATGAGATCAACCTTTAAGCCCAAATTTCAGAAGCTGTACACATCTGTACACTTGAACGACTTCCATCATGGAGTTGGTCATAAATTCATAAATTTTGGGGAGTCACAACAACCATATCCATGTGGTACCAGATAAGCCGTAGATGCCGTCTCGCAAACTCGCGGCCGGCCTTGCGCGCGAACACATTCCAGGGCAAAGAGCTCCATGGCAAAGGGTTCCGGATGCTGAATTACCTGGCCGAAGGTGGCCCAAATCCAACCGGAAATGGTAGAATCGGAGATAATATAATAATCATATATATATAATTATGTATTATCTATATAATATAAAGTATAAAGTTAAAGGATTATAAAGGTATATATTCATTACAGTAATATGGAATATCAACGGATATCACAAAATACCCAAACTAGTTGAAGGCCTCAAAAGAAATGACCAATGATTTTAAAAATATATGGGCGATGGCTGCACCAGGTTTGAAGGCCTGGAACACCGAAACATTTTCCGTGGAACAAGTGTTGTTCAGGTTGGAAAGTCAAGTCACCACCCAACAAAGGCGGTTGATCAAGGGGCTAAGAACAGAGCCCACCCGGCCCACACAAAATTTCAATGTTTGGAGAAGAGATCATCAAAGTGTCGCCCAAGGGCGGACACATGTCCGACCACTGGCCTCTCGCGGGCTGAGCGGCTGCTCCGTCACCTAGGCATCAAAACCCAGCAGCCAAAGTATCCAAAAGTGACACTGAGATTTGGGGATCTCCGGAGGCCATGAAAGACCCACAGTGCCACAAATTTATTAACGCTCACCATATATGAAGATGTCAAACGTCCAAGTTGTCAAGTTAACTCAGACTTACTTTGCTCGCGCCGAAGCCTGAGCTTCCACACCACCCCGTGACTTAAGCTGACGCGCCTCTCCTGGCTGACCCCACGCACCTCAGCGCCATTACCTCTAAAGAATCGCAAAGGAAGGAACACCATAGGAATACCTTATCACTATGTTATCACTATGTTATCACTATGTTATCACTAATTATCACTTAGCCACTTAGCCACTTAGCTTATAAACTTATCACCTTCTAGGCTCTCGCCACCTCTCTCTCTCTCTCTCTCCGGCTTTCGTTGCTTGTGGCCACCAAAAACAACCCAACAGTCATCACTTTGCTGTCATGCCAGGACACTGCGGCCAGCGGCTGTGGCGGATCTCTTGGAGCTGACTCAAGCGCTCGCAAAGCGCGCACCTGCTTCCGATGACATCTTCATAGGAGAGATGGGATTGATGTGGGGTGCGACCTGGGTCTTGAATTTGAGGATGTGCCTGCTCGTTAGGACATGATAGGTAGATCTGCTGCTCCTTTGGTCATATGATATGAGTGCGTGAAGATGTTCATACTAGTCTCCAATCAGATTCAAACCCGCTGAGGTAGCTTCTTCATGCTTCTCCCAGGCTCTCTGACTCCTGAGCTCCCTGCCACGTCGGCAAAGCTAGGTCGAGCTTCCTTCGACAGTTTGTGGCAGCAAACATCTGTCAATTTTCGGATGTCGACTGGGCTATGGGTGTTGTCATATTATCTTGTCCAAACTGCAGGCAAATAAAGGCACTCATGCCACTACAAGATCTACAAGTGCTTGTGACTTCCCCCTCTTGAATGACTCACTTGCAAGGTGATGGTTGAATAAATGTGCATATTTCTGATTCTACATGCTCTTAATGTTTTATATTGCGTTGCATGAAGAGTTCCAAACTTAGTATTTTCAATGGTCCTCCTGCATCATGGTACAGCTGAGCGCCAGTTCGGCAACTCTTTGGGCAACTGCCGGAGGCCAAACAGCCTCCGGCAAAGAGGATCCGCTTCCAGGATGGCGGTCCAGGTGCAGCACAAGCTGAAAAAAACGAAAAAGCTGAAAAAGCTGAAAATAATCGAAAAGCAAAATATAGCCGTGCCTTAGTATCCAAAAGCTTCAGCACGCAGCTGATGTCACCATTGATTTGCGAGGTGAGGTACTGCCAACAGCCGATGAGGAAACACCACTGCATGAAGCTTACGCACCAAAGGTCCAATGCGGGCCAGGTCCACAGCCCAGGCTTGCCGCAGAACTCTTGTGTTACTGTAGAACCCATCACATCTTCAACGAAAACAACGGACAATCGGATAGTATCTAAGTTAAATGTTGTATCCTGATTAGTGGCTAGGTTCGCTATTGTGTCAAAAATGAGTCCAAATTATTGTGAACCCATGCATTGTTTCGAAGGTTCACTATTGTGGCAAGAAATCTTGGGAGACCATTTTTGGGGAAAAAACACCAACATGTAATTACTGAGGCAGACTCTTTTTCCAAAAACGCTGTCGCTCGGTCAAGTACTACAAGTACTACAAGTTCATCGGCCAAAAAAGAAGTTTTAATTACAGTAGATTTCAATTGTAGCCAATTGAAATCCTTACTTAAGTACGGATTTATTTTCTGGGACACCACTTTTTAACACCCAACTTTGAAGAGGGTATAGCTATTGTTTGGGGGGGGCCTTACACTAATCAGGACGAAACATTGATTTTATAGACTCAAATTATGTATGCATGCTGCATGACTATATAGTTGTAGAATCGAAACACGCTGCACCTGCCACAATGTCACAATCTTGCAACAAATGCGATCCGGTAAGAGCATCTGACCTGGATTTGCCCATGACCTTCACGGCTCTTTCGGCTCATGTAGGCGGGCCTTGCAGCTGATGGCACAGCCTGAAACCCTCGGTATGAACCCTTCAGAAGGGGGTCATAGGCATACTGCATTGCTGCATGCTCAAAATGTTCGATCCAGTGTGATCAACCTCAGCATTCTGTCAGCCCCATTCAAGACCATGCTTGGACAAAGGTGTCTCATTATTATCTTGAGGATCAAATTCCTCGTAAACTAGTGTTGGCTTTGGTGGTCAGAATGTGAGTGACAGAAGCAACAGCGGACGACAAAAGAAGTCAGTCGAAGCAAACTTGAAAGATTTGATAAGTTGCCCTTTTTACAACACCCAATTCAAAGTTGGATGCACTTTTAACCAAACCTCAACCCCAAGCCCTGGCAGAACTGGGTTGCTCGGCGGATGTGCCGTCAGTAGCTCCAAAAGCACCATTCCAAATGAATACACCTTTTGACAGGGCAGAGTTGATCTTGCATGTCAATCATGTCAAGACCAAGGATAATCCACTGCAAAAGTGCATCTAACAGACCTAAGAATCTACAGCCAATATATAACCATGTTTGCCATCCATGGGAACTGGTGAAAATGATCGAAAATATCAATTCAAATGCATCCTTTGTACAGTATATAGCATTGGATATCGTGTCAACGGCTTGCAGGATTCGCCTCAGAGCCTTCCGTCACCACTCCACGACGCACGTAAAGAGGACATGCATAGCCGACCTGTCAGAAACGAATCAAGAACAACAAGGCCAAATGCCACGGGTTCGTGAGGCCTACCATGTCATGAAACTGCCGCCCTCTGAGGCTTGTGCGGTGCCAGATGCTCTGGCCACGCGGTGTGCTGCAGCATGAGACAGACAGGCTAGGCCTGGTAAGTTTTTAGGGGAAGTGGGGCAGTCGAACAGCTTGAAACAGCTTCAATTCAATAAATACAAGCCAGTTGCAGTGCAAAAAGGGGAAATCGGCTGTCCCTCCGCATGTGCACAACTTATTGTGCTTACGTCCCTTGTCCGCCCTCAACTCAATTTTGGTCTAGATCCGCCCAACCCGGCAGGAACAAGGGGGGACCGCGTGGCATTTATGTAGCTCTTCCAAATGCAGTTTTTTTGTGATATGTTCGGGATCTCTGAGACTCAGACCAAAGTCAGCCATTTTTGCGGTGCCATTTTTGTCTAGAAGAATGTTTGGACTCTTAATGTCGCGGTGAAACACCTCAAACAGGTGGATCAAATAGGTGGATCATTTTGGCTGTAAGACGCATGTAATGCACATCAGACCTGGTGGGTTTCCTCAAACTAAGTATCTTAGAGCAGCTTAGAAGGTTCTACAGCGTCGTCCTGTTTACCCCTCCTCACACCTGCTAGGCCTTTGAAGTCAACTTAGAGCAGAGCTTTGGGTGAAGAATGATGAAGGTGAGATAGGCCACAAGCAGCATCCAAAGCAACACCCACCTCATTCACGACCATGCACCCACAAGATCCAGTTTGTAGCTCAGCTGGTCCAGTTACGTCCAATCCACATCCAGGGACATGAGGATTTGACCCGGTCTTGCCATGCAAAGGGGGCATTTTCGTGACTGCTCCTCTGGAGCCTGATCCAACTCTTCAACTGAAGCAGATCCAAAATATCCAAAGTTCCAAAACGAATGCAGCAAAGACCTCCTGATGTTCAATGAAAAGTGACTTGAACATGCCTACTATATCCTACTATACTATTATAGATATTATAGTGATTCTGCATTGAGTGATTCACAGCCCAGGTCCAAAAGCGGACAACACTCCCCTGTTGCGACACTGTGGGGCCCATCGCTCCTGCGGTGCACATCACCTCCTGCCAGCATCTCGTACACGAGGAGCCGCTGCGGTCCATTACGTGCAAATCCTAAGTGCACCAAAAAAGATCACCAAAAAAGATCATAAGATATCATAAGATATCATAAGATATCATAAGTGCACCAAAAATTGCCCAGGTCGTCAGATTCACAAAATTCACAAAAACCAAAAGCATCAAAAAGAGCATCTGCAAAAGTTAAAAGATAGAGAAGGCTTAAATGCCTTCAATGTCGCGGGTGTCGCTTCTGCCACAGCCAAGGCGGCGACCCATAAGAATCACGAGATTGGGATGTCGAAACTTGCTGAGGACCTTTGGCAAATTGCAAAACAAAACCTTGACATTTGACGCATTTGACATACCTGTAATTGTGTAAAATCTCCCGCCAATTCGGGGCCGGCAACGTCAACGTCCAATTGAATTTGATTGGATGGTTGGCCCTTCACTGCACCTTCACCTCCTCCTCAAAGCCAGCTTCGTTTGGCACTTCCAGCACCTGGGAGAGCGTGGTCGTAGGCAGAACATGGCAGAACTATCACACTATATCAAACTGCGCATCAAACTGCAATCCAATCATATCCAATCGCAAGAACGAATCATTCCTCGGTCCTCCATACTATAGCCAGCTCTTTTCTTGAATATACATGCTCCCATGCGGCTGTCTATGCAAAGCCCTCCCTTTAAGATAGTTTGAATGTAACCTGCTGTCTGAGCACTCAAAAAAAAAACTGGTCTTGGTGCTGTCTGGCAAGTCAATGAATGGCTGGGCGAAAGGACTGATAGCCAACTACAACTTCCAAACTCCAATGGCCGCTCAACTTCAAAACATCTGCAGAAATTTATGCTAAAAGCTTCAAGGCTGGTCTCAAAGCCCCAACCTTGATAGCAACTTCGGTTCCCTCCTGAGGCGAGTAAGGTCAGCTTTGCACCACTTGGGCGCACGCCAACTGCATATGAAAAAAGTGTCTGTCTCCTTGAGCACCCCTTTAAACACACCACCTCAGAGCGATCCGAGTTGATCCAAGTTGATCCAAGTTGATCCAAGCGCAAATCGTGTCCAAATCCGGCCCTCCGGCCCTCCGGCCCTCCGTCCCTCCGTTTGAATCGCCACTTTCTCAAAGGACCAAGTGCCAGGCCGTAGGATCCGGAACCTCAACTACTTCGACTTGCTTCGACTTGCTTCGACTTGCTTCGACTGTCAATTAGGACTTGCATGGACCAAGTGACTTGCAGCCGAAATCAAGAGCAACTGTATCAACTGTCAATGACAATCTCAATGATCATCACTGTGGCACTCTTGATTTCATCCCAAACGTCTTCATCAAACTGGTAGCAATTCCCAACTGCGAACCCCCAAGTTGCTCAGCCAGAGTAAGCTCGGTTCCAAGTTTCACGGCATTGTCAAAGTTGCTGGTGGCCTGGCACTGAATGCTGCGTCCAAAATCTATAAGCTTCAGTAACTTCAGTAGGAATGGCAATCGCCAAACAAGTATGGCAGAGTATGGAGCGGCCTACAGCATCCCAGGACCATGGCTTGACAGGTGACAAACATGATGCGACATGTTGAAGTTTCCAACTTTTTAGATATAGATTGGGTTTGAAAATGGTCCGTCCATTTCATTCGCTATGGTGCCAGCCTGATTGAGCTCCTCGTAGGTATATTCCAGGCTGATGTCATTCAGACTTCTGTCCTTAGAATGCGACATGGCTCGCTAGCCTCGGTCTTGGCCTCGTAGCCTTCTAAAATCTCTAAGCATTCCAATACTCCACTGGGATTTGAGTCGCCCGACGGCCTGCAGCCTGCAACAGAATTCAGTAGAGTCTTGGTTTGGTGAAGGTTCTCAACATACATCAACATACTGAATCATCTGAATGAATTCTTATCATTTCTCTTACATGGGCTGGTGAATGGAGCGGGCTCATCGGAGCCAGCAGAGTTCAGCCGAGTTGTCCCCTACGAGCCTCTGCCCAGGACCAAAACAAGGCGCTGGCTCTGGCGCTGGCTCCGGCAAACGGAAGTTGCAAGGCACCTCTGCAAACAATTGCGGTAACGTAACAAGTCGTAACATATTAGCTGCCACTACCAGCCACTACAGTGCCAGCCACTACCATTCACCAACACATACTGACACTGTCTCCTGCTATGGCGAAGTTTCGGAGTCCAAAGAAATGCTGTGAGACGGCTCCCAGCCCATGGTGGCTGGGCTAATCCTCATCCGAAGAGTACATATTCACAGCTTCGGGATCTTCGGGCCCAGAGCATGCTTGTGGCTCTGGTGCTACTTCAGCATCCGAAAAAAAGTCCAACATCAAGTCCTGCATCTCATCCTCAGCCGCTATGGCTGCAGCCTCTCGTTGCTTGCCTTGAAGCCTGGGTTTTGACAGGGCCAACTGAGATGATGGAGGACAGCTTGTGCCGTGAAAAGAGGGTGCATGTGAAGTTCTAGAAGCAGACTGAGGCTTTTGACGAGGCTTGGCAGAACCCCATGGTTTTCGATGCTTCGCTTCGGTCTTGACGCTATCCGAACGCACACGAGGAATGTGCGAAGCTTGATTCAAATCCATCTGCGAACGAAGCCGCCCACGGCCCACCAAACTGTTGTCTACTCCGCTCCAACGTGTCTTGTCAAGGACACGCTGGTAACGTCGGAGCTTTTCCCCATCATCTGGAGCTGTGTTGTCTGGCACCAGCGTCATTGCAGCCACCTTGCCAGCCTGTGTCACAAGCTTGGCATTGGATGTGTCTTCATTCACGAACAAGGTGTCCCGATACTTGAGGCAAAGAGCTGTCAACCCAGTGTTGCTGATTCTATCGCCCGCATCTTGAAGCTTGCCAGCAAGGTATCTCTCTCGCAAATGTTTATGGTAGCAACGGAGCATTGGAAGGATCATGGCAGGCTTTCCGCGGCGTTCAGCCAAGCATACAGCTGAGGCCCCGTTTAGGGTCTCCTGCAGCAAGTGTCTCACCTTCGTGCCATCATGTTTGCAAATGGCTTGCACTGCCTGCTCGTAGTCATGCTCAACTGCTAAATGCAAAGCAGTGCGACCCGTGGACGTCACAGCATCCAGTTGGGCCCGTGCTTGAAGCAACAAGGACAGCAGTCGAGCATCACCCTTTTCTGCTGCCAGGTGCAGAGCAGACTTCCCCGAAGGAAGGGATGTATGAATCCCTGCTGCAGACTTGTCTTGCAGCAACAACTCAGCCACTTCTGAAAAACCACGATTCAATGCAACCAACAATGGCGTCTCTTCATTGTCGTCGGTATCACGACGGGGGAAGAAAGCTCCCAACGGTCCCAGTAGGACAGAGACATATGGCACAAGCCCTGCCTACAGGTTGCTGCGATGATACTGAGATGAATTTGGGGAAAACAAGGGGAGACAAAAAGGTGAGATCTGGATTTTTATATCTTAGCTGCCATTAGATGGTGTTCGTAAAGTTTGCCTAAGTTTGAAGCAACGCTGTGCGCCTCGCAAGCTGACAGCAATGCGCGCCGTGCTAAAGACTGCCCACGCTGCTCTGGGGTCAAAGATTCTGCCATGACTTGCATAGCCTCAAGACGTCCTCCAGAAGCTTTTTCTGCCGGTGCCTTTCGCAGCCACATTTTTTGAATGAATAAGCATATCCTACCGTAAAACAATGCTTTACGGGAACGAAACTCAAGAAAACACAGTGGTGGAGTCACGATTTCTTCAAGATGAGCCTGCAACGCAGCAGATAGTGCACATTCACCTCCAGGGTATCGCGGAAAACTCCTTGACGGTTCCACATTGAAGACACTTCCATGCAAAGGCGAAGCCCCAGCATTCAGAAGCTCACGAACCGAGGGAACATCGCCATGCCGTGCAGCCCAAAAAAGTGCAGTGGTGCCACCCTTGCCGCTGCACTCCTGTACGCGAGCATGATATCGCGGCTCTAGCCAAAAAAAAAATGCACGTTCATAATTTGGACATTTCCACTATCTAACCGAATCTAACCCCACAACCAAGAATTTCTGGATCAGCTCGCAGCAAGGAAAGACCAAACCAAGGTTCTGGAACAGCTCGTAGCTCCAACAACAGTGTGACAGCTGTAGCTTGATGACGCTTCGCTGCTCTCCAAAGAGGTGGAGGAATACCTTCCATAGAACCCTTCCTTCCATTCAGCAGGTGTACCAACTGATCTGCATCCCAACTTTGCGCAGCTGCTGCTTGGAGAAAGGTGCAGTAACCATGGCCTGCTGCCCAAGAAAAAGTCTCTCTGAAGTGCTCAGGGCACCCAGCGTTTGGCCGAGCTCGGTCCAAGCGACTGAAAATTTTGGCACGAGCAGCTGTTGCTGTCGTCAGAGTGGCTGGCAGGTCGAAGGTCCCAAAGGTTTGAACAAACAAACGGTGCGCCATGACGTCTGCAGCTGCCAATGATGATCGTGAACAAGTGGCAAAGCGAAGGGCATCTGGAGCGCAGCAGTGCAGGACCACGCGTGAGAGCACGTCATCCGAGAGATCTTCGGCGAAGTCCAACGGTAATCTGGCCGCATCACTCGTCGCATTGCTCTCCATCAGGCACCATGCACACCATCGAATGCCATTGCACAAAAGCGAATCACGCAGCGAATTCGTCTGCCACCTTTCGAGGTCCTGCTTGGCGGTAGTGTATTATTTTGTATGGAACTGCCCGCTTGTCTCTTAAGAGGGTTAAAGTTGAAGAACGCGCAGAACATGTGGGATACATACCAAGAAACCTAGACTCAAACCTCAACCAGAACCAGACTCATTGAATAATCGGCAGCACTGGAGCCAAACGCACCACCGCAAACATAGTGCGCGCAAGACATGACATTTGTGCTGGACCTGGCAGCTCTCTGGGTGCACTTAGTTTCAACATAGATGGTCTAGCAACTGTGCATCAGCAATTTGCCTGCTGCAAGCGATGCACATTCCCCAACGGTGGGGTCAGGGGCTTGAAAAACTGCATCGCATTTTTTTGCGCGTCGCCATGGAAAGCTGGCATGAAGGCTCTGAAAGAAATCAGAGTTGAGAGTGTTACTTCCATGGTTTGGCTCATTCTTTCACTGTCGTAGTTTAGGTCATCCTGAAACTAAAATATGTGCTGCCACTTGAAACGGCTCTGAGCCCAGACACAAGAAGATTGCCAAAACCGGGATGTTCAATCTTTGACGGGATTTGATGGCTCTCTTGCTGGCTACTGTGTGGCTGGCCTTGGTTTTTGCCGCTTGAATTCTGGGTATGATGTGCACCATCCATCTGAATGCTGCCAGGCCAAAAAAAGCTGCAGGCAAGTTCAAATGATTGGAGGGAAACGAGGGCTCTGCAGGAAATTCCGGGTAAACATGGAACATGATGTCACTAAAATGAGGCATGAATGTCTTTGTGTGAACAACTCTGCCACTGTAACCTGCCCCCTCCATGGGATTTTATGATAACATTTTACCCTCCAAATCCTTCACCCTTCACCACCTCTACTTTTCCCACCAGTCTCTTCATGTCCCTGTCTGCTGCACTACTTGGCTGCATCTGCTACAGTGTGAGCAAGTTTCAGGCGGTTTCAGGTGCCCACTTCCTTCTCCTGTCTTCTCCTGCCTTCTCAGCCATGCGTTGGCATGGCGAACTTCCTGAAACCATCGTCAAATCATTAGCTCTCGGATCTCTTGGACTTCTATCAGAAACACTCCGTCCGTGAATGGTTTTGATCTTGGGACAAAACTGTCTCGCCATGAGTCGCTGCTCAGTTGCCCTTCTTGGAAGCTGCAGCCCGCTGTTCTTGAACAGCATGAGCTGAATCAGCTTTAGCCAGTTCATGTCGTTCATCATGTGTCAAAATGCGCTCCAAGTCTAAACGGCTGAAGGCTCTGCCAGCGATTGTCGCAGCTTGTCGGTGCAAATAGAACCAGCCGTAGTCCAAGCAAGTTTGGGCCAGCCCGAACGCCGTGAAACCCAGAAGAACCTGCAGAGTTTGATATCAGAAATCAGAATAATGCAAAAGTGCAGAGTTTAACAACATTGAACAATTCTAGATGTAGAGGCTGCCACACCTTATTGAACCCGTCCTGAGTGGCTAGTTGACCAAAGCTGAAGTAGCCAATGCTTCCGGTGCCAATAACTGCTAATCTGAGGCCATGCTGAAGTGCTATGGGTTTTCGGCCTTCATAGAACCACTGCCTCAAATGCCCAAAAGAATTGGATTGACTTGCAGCACTTCTGAGACTGCTGGACCTAGCATGCGTAGCAACGCTAAATACCTCCCCATTTCGGATTGCGTGCATATATGTCTGTACATATATATATATGTATATATATATATAATCATTTAAATATTAATAAAATATAATATATTTTTTTATACAATACATTAAATATAACACTTTAAATATATATATAATAAAAATAGTGTATAATGTTATACTATATATTATATATTGAATATGTAAAATAAAATATGAATATATATATATACTATACTACATTATTATATAGATATACTATATATTATACTATATATACATATGATACATATATATATATATTATACACACGTATGTGTGCCAGGACAACCTCTTTTAGAGATCACTTAGACCTTAGACCCCAAAAAAAATCTGACTTATGACATGTTTGTTTGCTAAGTGACCTCTGTCCTTCTTTTCTAAGTAGATACAAGTTCAACTCGAATTGCGACTGCATCTTCTTCAAGCGTGTCAATGGATGTCATGAGCGCGTCGTCGAGGGGTGGGGCGTATCGAGAAAGAGGTCACTTAGAAGACTGAGCATGTCAGAAGGCCTAAGGGGTCACTTAGCATGTCAAAAGGGGTCACTTAGCATTTGGCGTATTTTGACCCTCGTGCGTGCCAATGCATGTTCCAGGCGTGTCAGAAAAAGGCCACTTAGGCACCGCAGGATCTGGGTCAGCATGCTATCCTTCTGCCAAGATAAATTCAAATCCAAGAAATCAGATGAATCCTAAAGGTGGTGAGTGACCTTGATAGTCAAAGTGACCTTTCGACAAAAGATTTCATCTGTGTATATATATATAATATATTTCAAAAAATATATATAATTATAATACATATGTGTGTTGCATTTTGTGTGTGTGTCGGCACACTCATTCTAGATCAGCGTAACAGTATCTGTTTGTCTTTCCTCACCCAGGTGCACCACTTTGAACTGATCTCTCAGAACGTCAAAGTGCACGGTGCAATCAATATGACTCGCGTCACGAAGTTGCCAAGGGTTCCACGAAACAAATGGCCAGCTGTATGGCACCTGGTAGTTTCGTACGTCGACTCTGGCCACGATCTCCAAACCAGACACTCTCAATGGCGCTGCTTCGCTCCCGATGTCTGCCATATTTCGCCCGGCAGCCGCCAGCACATCTTCGATGCTCAGCATTAAGTAACCCGGTCCATAGTCTGTGTCAGGTACCAACTGCTCATATCGGGAAGCAAAAGGCGTCCCATCTGGTCCAAAAGCTTGGCACTTGGAGACATGAGGCGCAGTTTCACGAGCAGTTGAGAATGAAACTTCAAAAACGATCGTGGACTTCTCAATTGCTTCATAAAGATATACCTCACTGGTGTTGTACTGGGGGTCGGATCCTTCTGCCAATGAAAAGGCCACCTCCACCTGGTTGGAAGTTGCATAGAACAATGTGCTCACCTCATTCTCTGGTCTGATGCACTCAATTCTCTCACTGCCCCATGTCATGCCATCAGAATACCTCAGATCACACAAGCCACAGTGTTGATGAGCTACTGGCAGCTACTGCTATTTTCAATCGCATCCAGTGCGCGGGAAACAACAAGCAACAGAAATGACACTCTTCGTGTCATGTGATATTCAAATCCAACCAAGCCCACCCCCACAACTCAGCACGGTTTTGGAGTGCTGCAGAGGTCCAAAGATCTCAAAGCCTAGCAGCCAGGGTTCAACCTGGCATCCAATTTGCGACAGAACATGTAGTCATGCGGCATCAGTCACCTCTTTGCTTTGCGCGGCATTTGAGCATTTGTTGCATGTCACCGTGTCAGCACTGCCAACCACAAATTCGTAGTTTGAATTGTAGTAAACCGCACACGGTCTTCCACAGGTGAGAGCGTGCGAAAATTAAAGCCTTCGTGTTCAGGTGGACCACATGGTTGCGGCGGGATTTCACGAGGCGTGGTAGATATTTAACGTTGTCCTCATTTCATTTGCTGCTGAGGTCCTTGATGGCATTCTCCAAGTTGGACCTTGTTCCTTCTGAGTCCGTCTTGAAGTTGCGCAGTTCTGCCTCCAGTTTTCTGATCATGGTCAGCTTGACCTCAGGTTCTGTAGGCACGTGAGCGTGAATGTTCGGGTTCAGCTTGCGCATCTCTGCGTCCACTTGATCCGCATTTTTGAGGAGGTCATTGTCCCCAAACTTCTAACCACGTTCACGGCCAAACGCCTCCTGGGCGTATTCCAAATGATACTGCTTTTACATCTGCCTGAGACCTGGATCTCCCCTTGGAGCCCTGCCTGACGATCTCGGCCTCGGCGTCCATGACCTGGAGGGGCTGGATGGTCTTGAAGTTTCCTTTTGATTTCGTTCCCGTCTGTTCGATCTCGACCTAGACCTTCGTCCCACAGGGCAATTTCTTGGTATGTTGTTGGGTGCCGGACTTGATTGGACTGTGTTCCTGGCCACGACGCCTGGCTTGGACTTCTTTATAACCTCACTGAGCGCAGACATTCTTGACGTGAGGAATTCTTCCTTGCCCATGAGCAACAGCTGGGACACGGCCAATACTGCGTATTCTTTGCGCAGCTTCACCGGGATATTCGGCTGAAGCTCTGGACTTGTCGGGGCCAATGATCGGCTCATGTGTCGCCTTCCCGCAGTTGCACTCCAATGACGAAAGCAGGAAATCCCAGCAGCGTGCCACAAAATTGCTGTAGTTTGTAATGCTCTTCCCCTCTTGCACGTTCTCTGTGAAACCTGCAAGTGTTGAACCAAGCCATCAGTCTCTTGGGTCCTTCTGAAAAACTTTCTCATCTCCCGCAACTCCCAAGCTGACAGGGCACCTTCAACATCAGACGGACGCCAAACACGATGGCAAAAATTTCAACACAAGAAGAAAACCAAGGCCCAAAAAGGGGAGCGGCAAAGCAAAGCAGAAATGCTTGGTGTGGAACAACGGAAATGGTGCATGCAGCGGGATGCCACCCGGTCAGCCAAGAACAAACGGGAGCACCGTTGTGCGTTGTGCAACTTGCTGGGTCATCCATCTATGTCGTGCTCAAGCAAGGAAAAGAAATGAACCCCAATCAGTGTGGTGCTGGCGAACACGAAGGTGATGCAGGTGCGCCCAAGGAAGAGTCGAAGACAGCCAGCCGACGACTCCTCATACACGGAGACCTACACCTACGAGTCCGGTGAAGGGGAGGACGGCACCAAGGACGGGGGAGACGACCCAGATTCTGAGGACCCTTTGAAACCTTGGAGGAATACTACGGCATGCCCATCATTTTGCAGGTGCCAACGACCCTTTGTCAGGCGCAATGAGAGGTGAAGCACTTAGGAAGGGAATCAAGCTCAAGGTCGTCAGCGTGGAAAAAGATTCAGGCACAGGTGACTTGCTCGATGCAGAACCATACACAACTCGTTTGCGGTGGGCTGCACGTGGCTACATTGACGCATGCCACGCTGGGTTCCCAGTTCCCATGCTCCACATTCTCAAGGTTGCGACATCGACAAGCTGAAGGTCTTTCGGGCCCTGCAAGATCAAAGACGGAATCACGCGGCCTGAGCACCAATACGACCTTGCAACAAATTTCATGCGACATTGTGGCACCAACATGCAAAGAACGGGACCACAGACCGACCGCGTATGGGAAGGTGTGGAAAAAGAAAGAGCTGCCCCTGACACGTGTGGTGCCGATCCGCCGAGCTTAGTAAATGCAGCTTAATAAATGCAGGATCAACAAGAGGGGACACTGGCAGGCACGCAGAGACCATGCTGGGACAGCAAGTTGGGCGGCAGAGCCAGGATGGGAAAAGGGGCATCGCATCAGCCACAAAAAACACAAGCAGGGACTTGAACTCACGGTCATGAATTAGAAACTAAAAGGTGAGAAATTGGCAAAACCTAGCAAGAAATAGCGGGTCACTGCAGCTCAGAAGAGGATGTCCACGGCGGGGAGCATCAACGAGCAACTCCCTCGCTGCGACGCCGCAAAGCGGCCCGAGCCCGAAAAGAACGAATGGCTACCCCCAACTCTTGAAGGAGAAGGGAGAAGCAAGTTGCAGGGTCCTCCCCTGATTGGGCTGCAACGGCTTGGGCGACATGCTTCAGCACAGCCATAGCACCCTCATCCCAGGCACCTGTGCTTTCAGCAACCATAGGGACAAAGCAAACTCCTTGTGCGCGGCACGCCTCGGCAGCTTGAAGGTGCGCCTCTCTTTGTGCCGAGCGTAAGCCGCTGCGGCAGCCAAAGGTTTCTGACTCGCCTGAGCGAGGGTCTCCTGCCGCTGGGGCGCCGTGATGGCGAAGTCTAAGGCAGAAGGAGACCGAGCAAAGGCTGGCAAGAAAACATCGGCAGGGCGCCGGCGAGCACAGTGACCATCCTCACGATTTTGGGAAAGCAACAGGCCGGGTCAGGGTCGTTCCCGTTCCGGCCGGAGGCCAGCCCGGTGTGCCCAAGCACAGACAATGTCACGGACAGCATAATGGCGTTGAGTGCGCTCGCCACCAGCCCTACACATCCCCGCATGGTAGTTGTGGATGTCCATAACTCCGTCACAAAGCGGGCACCAAGCATCCGCGTCAGCATCAGGGATCTGCAGTCGTGCCCGAAGTTCGGAAATAAAGGCTGCAGGTTCCAGGCGGGTGCAGCCCGCTGGTACAGCGGCGAGGAAAGCCCGACCTCCTACGGAGGCTTCTGAAAGCAGGGTTGCGCGCCCAGCAACGCTAGCATGTCCGAGTTGTTCCTGCCAGCCAGCATGGTCCATCCGCTGGGACATGGCGTGCTGCTTGCTAGGGAGAACATCGTCCAAAGTGATGTGGGCTTCAGGCTCGAGTTTCGAGTTGAAGCAAGGAAGGGCCGCAGCAACTTCCGGGCAAGACTTAGCCTCATTGGGGCAGAAGGTCGCATCAAGCGCAGCCCCAGCCTGGAGGGCGCATGCCCAGGACGCCAGAAAGGCAGCACAACCCCAAAGCAGCTTGTTTCCATTGCAAAGCGTTCGGGTGCGGCCCGGTGAAATCCCCGAAGCTACGACGAACCATGCCGTCGAACATGCGCAAGGCTGCTTTTTGTGGGACAGCAGGGTTGCAACGCATGCTGTGGAGCATACGTGCGAAGCCAGCGCAGGCTCGCAGAAACCGCAATCCAACTTGGGGGTCTTCCAGCTCACCCAAAGCGTCAAGCAAGTCGCCGGCTTTGGCGGCCCGTTCCACGGTGTGGGAGTGGATAAAGCTATCCTCGCTGATGGCAGCCCCCAAGAGCTCAAAGTTGCCGGCGACGCGGCAGCTTCCATCGGCGTGGGCGCGGAGCAATGCATCAGGAAAATGGCAATGGAGGGCCGCGATGTCCATGCGACCCACAGCAATCAGCTCAGATTTGGCAAAATTGAGGCGGAGCCCAATGGTAGCGGCCCGCGCTTCAACCAGCCGAAGCGCAGCACTGACGGCATGGATGTTGCCAGCCAGGACCCCGTCATCCAGGTAGTGCACAGCAATGTCTAGCCCTGCATTGCGAAGGTCCTGAGCCAGGGGTTACAAAGCAGCCGCGAAAAGAAGCGGCCCAAGAGGATCGCCTTGTTGAACGCCAGCGCAAGATTCAACAACCCATTCATCAAATTGTAGCCGGGTCGGCCGCTGGTAGCACCAAGTTGCCCACCGTGGAAAACGGTCCCGGATGGCAGAAAGGACGGCATCGCGGCGGACCGTGTTGAAGGCATTGGCGAAGTCAAGCTTGAGGGCCACCTTGTCCGATGAGGTCTGGTGTCTCCGGTGCCAGGCGCGCACCGTGTGAATTGTTTTTTCGGCACCTCCCGGGACGGCGACGCCAACTTGGGCAGGCCAGAAAAAGGACTGGGCATCATTCCGCACGATGCCCATGAGGCACTTGCCGGTCAGTCGACGCAGAATCTCCCCCACGGCTATTGGCCGAACCCCGCCTTGAGGTTTTGGGAGGGCTACAAGCCCAGCGCCCGCCAGGACTGGGGCCAGGAATTCTGGGGCTCTTCCTTGAGCCAGCAGGTTCACAACAGCAGTGAGCTGGGAGAGGAAAGCATCACTGCCGCCAGCCACATTAGCATCCATCAGGTGCTGAACGCGGAGCCCGCTAGGCCCGGGCGCAGTTTCAGAGGGGAAAAGCCCGGAGGCATCGCGCGACGGCGCAATCTCTGGTGCGACAGGGAGATCATTCATGACAACCGCCGTGGGAGGAGGCTGTTGTCGATGAAGGGCTCGCAAGGCCTCAGCAGTTGCGGCGGTTGGTGGGCACAGCCCTTTGGAGAGAAGAGCTGCGCAAGCCTTGCGGTCGAAGCCCTCACGGGCCAAGCCAATGGCCAGAGCTTTTCGTTGTTCAAGCTCAAGCAAGCCAGGCCCCCGCTTTAAAGCAGTGCCGGATTCCCAAAGGGATAGCCTTTCCCCCTCCTGCCACCGATGCAAGCGGTCCAAGGTGTATGCAGCAGTGGTTTTTCGATGTTGCCTGCCGCCACGGTGGGGGGGCGCAAAGGACACACTTGGGGAGCATGCAAAGCTCACGCCAAGCTTTGTCATCATTGCGATGGGCGGCAGCAGCCAAGGCCCGAGTCAAGACCTGGGCCCACGCATGGCGTGCGGCACTGGGGACGTGCTGGATGGTGGCAGTCTTGGCAGCTTGAATGGCTGAAAGGGATGGGAGTTGCAAGCCGTCAGTGTCCATTGGGATGGCAGCGTCCACTGCGGCCCGAGCCTCCGGCCGGCAAGTGGGGTGGACCCCGTGAGCTTGGGAAACACTGAGACCGCAAACGAGACACCGAGTGCGGTTGTGGGAATGGAGCCAGGCAGTGGGCACATCCCCTTGCAAGGAACCGGCAAGGTGTGCATCGATGTGGGACTTCATCGTTGCAACTGTGGCCCAACCCCGGGCCCGAGCTGGGTCAGAGCAAGGACATGCTGGAACCGGGCAAAACACCCGTTGAGCTTGCGGCCGTCGCGCGGGAGACCTTTCCCGCCCAGCAGGTGTGCTAGGGAGAGCGGGTCCCGGATTCTGGGCTTCACCAATGCGCAGCCCACGGTGAGGCCACCCTGCCCAGGCCTGACGCCGCTGCTGATGGTGACAGGCCCTCCGACAGTGCCAGCGGACAGGCGAAGGGTCAGGTGGCAGTTCTTGCCACTGGTTGTTCAATGTTTTCGTGACAGCGAGCCGTTGACGGCGGCTGAGGGAGGGCGGAAGCTGGCAGGGGCGTGGCAGTGCTGACAGGTGGCTGGAACCACCACAAGCTGGAAAGCTGGGGTCGGAGAATGAGGATGGGCACAGAGAGCAGGGAGGTCAAGCAGCGAAGTTGAAGTCCGGGTGACGGTGCCATGTGCGCCCTGCGCGCAGCCGCACAGGGGACCCCGCCCGACCGAGCCTGTACACCAGAGGTCCTAAGACGTGGGACCGCGTACAAGGCACGGAAGGGATCCCGCTGCAGCCACCAGCAGAGGCCGAGGAAAGGCAGCTAACTAACGGATGGCCCGGATCTTGGAACCCAGGTCGGTTGACATCGCGCCGAAGGAGATTCGAGGAAGTCGAGCCCTGTGCCGGCCATTGCGACCCTGGAGAATCCCCTTCCGAGCCCTGTGGTGTGATGGCCTTCACACCTGTGGATTCAAGTTGCCCTCGGTGACCCACGGCCAAGTCAAGGCTGGTGCATGGACCTGAGTATGCCAAAATGTGTCGGCGAGGGAGATCATGGTGAACACATAGTTCCAAGACCTCTTTGCATCCCAGTTTGCTGAGGTTTTTTTTTCCCGCCTTCGTGTCCATGAGAACCTTCGTGTTTGATCGCGCTGAACATGCCAGCTCGTCCGCTGCGTACACCAAGCCCCATTCCGTCGGGTAGGTCCTGGTCAGCTTCTCTATCACCACCTCGTAGCTGCGGAGCCGTCCCAAAGAAACTGCGTCCAACATGACTATTGCCGGTTTCAATATCCGGAATGATGTCCGCCATTTTGGGCAAAGGTGGAATGTCCCGGCAATTCCTTCGTGACGTACCCGGTCGAAGTGAAGTAAGCACAAAGGACCGGAACTTAGCAATTTTCACAGCTCTCTGACGGTAAGGGACCCAAATGACGAAATCCACAAATGGCGCCGCATCTTGGATCTGAATGCACCTTTGTAAAGCGCTGACTTGTTCCACTGCGGGACCTTCTTCTTCTACAGGCCAACCCCCAATGACTGATAGGTATTGTTGGTACCAACCTGCACGGACATCCTTCACCTGGACCACAAACTCCACATCGTCTACGGTCTGTAATCTGCGTCATCTTGAGCTTCCGCTCCATGGGACTCGGGTTTGTCGAGGTTGGTCCAGGCGTAGGGCTTGGTGTTGATCTCTGGCCCATGAATGGCGATTGATTTCTCCATGTGTCCCAATCTCCTCCCCCCCTTAAATGATCTTAAATGTACTTTTTCCGCTAAGTTGCACACCCTTCCACACGGGATTCCTGAAGTGCGGTCAACACAGAACCATCGGGTTTGAGCTCTCTCCAGCGCTGCCGCCACCAGTACAGCAAGAAGTTTCAAATCCGCCCCAAGGTTTCCAGCCATGTTCACAAAGGCATTCCAAAGCTGGTCTGGGAACTCGCAATGTTGTTTCACCTGCATCAGGATCCGCATTTGCATTGCAACAGCCTGGAAGAGAAACATGGCAAACCGCGAAAATCCTTAGCAAAAACATCATGGTAGGATATCGCGTGTCAGTCAGGCCTTGAGCCAACACGGCAAGCCATGAGAAATGAGTGTCCATCACAAAAACTTTGCTTTTCTCTCACGAAAACTGACCCGATGACCCAACTGGGCACTGCCAAGAAGCGCGGCGCTGAAAGACATTCCACAATATGAAGCAGGTGATGTTAAGTTTGGCCACCAACTCCCATCCACAGAACGGTCCTGAAAATCAAGACCAAATTCATCCAAATTTGCGATGTGGAAATCTAAACACGGCCATGTGTTTCAAAATCATCGTTGTGTTATTTCTTCGGACCATTCGTGTTTTGTTTCGTTCATTTTATCTTTCCAACATGAACTGTCTATTCAGCATTATTCAGCCACCATGCCCGTACGCTGTGATTTGCCTATTTCTGCTGCCGCTCCTGCCAAAAGGCGACGTCCACGTTTGGAACGTGCCGTTCAACATACGCATGCTGCCCTAGCAAGGACACTAACAAAGTCCAAAGAACAACAGCACCTCCACAAAGCCTCAGGGCAGAATCCAAACAACATGACCGTTACAAATGAACACATGCAAGCGCGTTGCACTTGTTTCCACCTTGTTTCTCACCCCGCCAATTCAAATCTCCTAAGGGGAAAAACGGCAGGCCTTGAGAGATATAGATCAATCATAGAATATCATAGATTCGGAAACTTTGAGGCAGAGACAACCACAACAAACTCAAGGTCGGGCTGTGGATCTCGACATATCGGGCGGTGTAGAATGCCGGAAGGAAGGGTCCCATGGCACAAAAAACGCAAAACAGGTCCAACAAAAACAGCAAGACTCAGCAAGATTCCCATGCTGTACTCAATGTAGTCATGCTGTTAAATATTGATGACCCCAAATCTGATTAATTTGTGCGCGGGTGTCTCCAAAAAGTTGGTTGCTGGGGAAATTGAATTGAATTGCCATGTCAAGTTTGGATGCGTGAAGTTTCAACGTTGTCGAAGGAGTCGGTGGAATTATACTGCGAACGTTAAAGAACCGAGATGAAGATGAAACCATGGTCATCACAAAAATAACGCGGTGTTTGGATTTGGATTGGCAACCATCTCTCTTGGCGCTGCCCTTGCAATTTTACAAGCTGCATGGCATTCGTCAAAGACACGCAGCGCTGAATGCAAAAAACAAGGGTTCACAACAAATCGCAAGCAACACGTTCCTGCACACATAGGTGATTGCACTGGTCTTCTCAGGATTACACCAAAAAATATCACAAATCAAAGATTGCGCTCGGGTTTTTTCCGTCCAGCGCCTTGCTCAGAGGAAGGGTCCGTTTGAGACAAACTCATAGCACTGAGGAAGCACCATACCATGTTGTGTGCATACATCCGGTCTCGGGGTCAGGGGTCCCTCTCCATGGTCCGATTGAAACAAACCCACCATTCTTGAACAAGTAGGTGACAAAAAAAAACACCAGCTGCGAACAACATGGTTCAAGTTCAACAAACGCGGCGGAATATTTACAAACGATTTTTTTTGCATTTCATTGCCTTAAAATGTTCAGCGCGTTGGTTTGTTCAGCTGCCCTGTTTGGTTTGGCCATGTTGCCACCAGAGCATAAATTCAAAATCAGGATGTGGCACACCGGAAATTTTTGCCAGCTCTTGGTGTGCTGGATACTGGATGAAAAAGGATGGAAAGGATTGGTCAATCGTGTAAACCAATTGAGGAATCCAAAGGGTGTTCTACACATCGCCCGCAAATTTATCAATTCGATGATTCAAATTGGTTTCCAATATAGCGGCCGTTCCAATTGTTACGTTTTTTTTGTTATGATCACGGAATCCTAATCATGATCGCGTGCATACCTTCATAATCCACCAAAACCGTCGGATGCTTGGTGCGCACTTTTTCCTTTTCAATCAGCATCGTGCGCTGATCTCAGCAAACCCGGCCACGAAAGGCCACCAACATGGAAATCAAAACAAACAAAACCCAAACGGGAACCAAACACCCAACACTGTTCAAACTTAGCTGCTCAATTTTCGATATTTGGCGCCAGCGGCACAACCACAAATTTATATCACACAATCGTCCTGATGTTTGGTGCTATTGTTTTCCAAGTGAACACATTCATGCAAGGTCCAATTTTGCCAACGGCATCGTGATCCTTGTGTCGCAGTTCAACGTTTCCCACGCCCTTAACGTATTCACCCAATTGCACCAACGTAGTAGCCCCTTAGACCCACCAACGCTTAGCCAAAAAAATGTTGGGACTCGGTGGCATCCTTTCAAATAATGTAACCAAGCGTTTTGCCACCGGGGTTGATTGGCGCTAGCTATGGTCTGGCCGGTTGTTGCCACACGGCTCATCAATCACAAGGGAAACGGAGACAGGACCGAAGCGGACGCATGGTAGACAACACAGCCAACAGCAACCCAAAACGACGAAGGAAAAGTAAAGGGAAATTGTGCCAAAAGCAGCTTGGAATGTGAAGGCGAAGAAAAGGGTAACAATCTCGGGAGACAGGGCAGAATTTGTTCTGATTCATCGGAAGCAAAAACGAAACATGTTCATTCAACATGCGGCAAAGCATTCGGTGCCTGTCTGCTGCAGACGGTTTTGTTCCAAGATGTGCAGGGCTCCATATGGGCCGACTTATTTGATTTAAGAATTTTGTAAATTCCAGGCCCATAAATATTTACCTTGGACATGTTCCAACCTACCTGTTCCGAGTTTGTGAACAATTTGGCGCCAAGCAGCGCTGTCGACGTACATTGTTGCACCCACTTGTCATGAAGAAACAAATGTTCCAGGTCAGGGTGCCGGGAAGGAGGGTGGACTGACTGCGGCTGACTACAGCTGAGCGACTGGCTGCGCCTGACTCCGGCTCACTGCGACTGACTCCGGCTGATTCCGGCTGGCTCCGGCTGACTCGGCTGACTCCGGCTGACCCGGCTGACTCCACATGACTTCGGCTGACTGCGGCTCACTGCGGCTGACTCCGGGTGACTCCGGCTGCCTTCGGCTAACCACTTGACTTCTGACAGCTGCAGGTGCATGTGGAAGAAATTGGAACGTGCAAGGAAAATATGAATGAAAATGCAGGTAAAGGCTTGGAAGTGAAATCGCAGCATCAAATACAAGCGAAAAGGTTGCGAGGCAAAAAGCAAGTGGAAGGTGCCATCATCTAAATACAAGGGACGGAAGTAACGGGGTAGAATGGAGCATGTATCTGTGTAAACCACTAAGTGCACGTGAAAGAAATTGACCCTTAGCCAGCACCTAGAACAAGGCCAGGTGCAAGCAAAAAAATGGAAGAGCAGCATCAAGTGCAAATGAATAAAGTTGAACAGCAGAGTTGATTGTGCGTGCAAAGGAAAAATTGCAAGATGTTCACGCGAAGCATGTAATACAACTGCAGGAAATTGAAACATGGAATCAAGTATGTGCAGGTCAAAGTTTTTGAGCCGCAGCGGCAACTGCAAGTCAAAGGGTGCAAGTGAAGAATGTTGAGGCTTAGCAATGACTCAAGTAGGAAGTGTTGAAATGTAGACCAACGGATGCGGTGCAAGTGCAAGTGGCATATTTGAAATGTAGCTGCTCAGCAACAGAGAAAGGCGGAAGTGCAAATAGTTGATGATGTGCGGCAGCACACGGTGCAAGTGAGAACGCAACTGAAGAACAAGTCAATTCAAGTAAAATGACTATACATGGCTGCATTCGCCGGGGCAACCGTGTTCGGTTCTGCTATGTTGCCTGCCATTCTGCTCGGTTTTGTCGGGGAAACGAGCTACGTTTTATGACTCAACATGCGAGCGGTGTTCACATGTTGAACGTATTGTGTTGAAAGGAAACGGCGACATGTTTGTATAAAAATGACTCAACATATATGTTCCACTGTTTTTGTGTGTAGACTCGAAATGTCCGAGCATGCCGTCGAAAGGAGAGGGGAAGCGTCAAGAGTCAATGTCAAAAGTTGACCCAACATGTCAGCGTTGTTCATTTGGGGGACATACATGGATATAAAGTTTGGTAGCGCCGTGGTTAAAAATCGGTTTAATTTCAAATTTTTGGGAACACAACATGTCTACTGCGTTCATATCACGTTAGAGATGCCTCTAAAACATGGTTCAGTATGCCAATTTGTTCGCTCTGATTTTTTTCTCTCCCAGCATGGAAAAAAAAAAGTTGGTTCAGCATCTCAAAGTTGTTCATGTATTCAACACCATGTCATGCGGGAGGGAGGAGGAGGTGAAATTGTTAGTTTCAGCGTTTTCGTTTGCCTTCACCGTATCAATATTTCCTTCCTTTTCGTCTGGACCCTATTTTTTTTTGTGTCAACTATATTTTTTTTCTGTCAGATGTCCTCGTTATTTCAACTCGTTATGTTCCTTCCTTTTTGTCTCAACCTTGTCCTTTTCGTTCCCAACCTGTTCTTTCATGTCGACCCTGTCCCTTAATTTCAACCCTATCGTTTCGTTTCTGTCTTCAATTCCTTCGTTGTTCATTTCAGCCCCGTTCTTTTCGTCTCAACCCTGCTCCTCCGTTTCCACCCTATCCTTTTGTCCTAAGGTTCGCCTTCTTCGTTGCAGCCTTGTTTTGTGGTTTCAACCCACTATTTTCGTTTCAAGTTTTTTTCCTTGACACTATCGTTTCCATTCAACCCTTTTTCCTTTTCGTGTCGATTTTTTCCATTGGTTTCATGAAACTGGTAAAACTCTGAAGAGTACCGACAAGTGGACGCATTGAAAAACGAGAGGACATAAGTAACCAAATCTGAATTTTGCATGTGTGCAAACGCAAGCGTGAGATGTTGAAGGAAAAATGTGCGCTGTGCAACCGCGACGCCTAATCCAAATACTTTTTGAATAAAAAACCGAAACCGACCTCATCATTGCGCGCAAATGGCAATGAAAAATGTTGAACCGTAGTCACCGGTGCAAAAATGCAGGTGAAACATTTGCACCCGAAACATCAATACAAGTGAAGGAAGCGAAGTGTGGAACCAAGGACATACGTGCAGGTGAAAGGCTGTGAGCCGCAGCTACAAGTGCGAGTGAAATGGCGGAAGTGAAAGGTGCGTGGCATTCAACACAAATGAATGCGACAACGAACCATGTCGATGCGTAGGAGCAAAACAACTTAAAGAAGTTCAAGCGTAGAAGAAGTTTGCGCCTGTGCAAGTGTAAAATGTTGAAAAGCACCACGAAACGTAATTGAAGAACGAGCGTGTGAAGGATGTGCAAGCTTAGCATCAAGATGCGTCAAGGACAAGTGGAGGAAGTTGAATGCGTGGGCGCCAGTGTATGTGCACGATGTCAAAACACAGCATGGGTTACAAATTTAAAAAACGGAAGCGTCAGGAGAAGCATGCGTTGGCAAGCAAACATGTTGAAGCGCAGCGCCAAGCACACAAAGAGGCAAGTGACAGACGTCAAAACATAGGAACAAGAACAAGTGACACAAACTACGGCATAGAATTTTGACCTAACAACAACTGCGAGCAAAAGGTCTTAAAACATAGCCTCAAGTATTCGGCGCAAGTGTAAGTGGCAGTAGAAACGCAAATGGCTGATGTTGAAGTGCAGCACACAGTGCAAGTGAGAGTGCAGGTGATGAAAAAAAACAATCAAAATAGTTGATTATACATGGTTGTGCTAGGCAGCGGGCGCAATTTGTTGCCTTTGGCCGTGTTCGGTTGCGCTAGGCAATGTTCTGCGAGAAAAGTGCATTTTTTTTGTTGACAATGAGTCCCCATGGCAATGTTCTTACGTTTTGCTTAAATTGAGCGATTTGTGGCGTAGACGATGATTTTTT